TGTTTATTTCTCATTTTTTAAACTCACTTTTTTAATTCAACGAGGCCCGAATCCTGTCGATAAACGGCCGATAAACTGTCATAATGATCACGGTGCAAAGTTAGTTGCACTCGTCACAACTGAGAGAGAGAGAGAGAGAGAGAGCACCGCAACTATCATCATCAACAAAGTCGAGTGACTTTTTCGGCAACTTCTGCATTGTCGCCCGAATAGGAGTAAGGACAACCCGTCGTACTGACCTATATATTGACGTTACACCCTGTACGCGGAAACGGAATCGGTTGGCTTCCCTCTCCGCGCCGTGTGCTCCTCCCTTCCGGCCGCGACCGGTGCAATTTTCCAGCGGGGAGGAAGAGCGATGTATCCGCTAACAAGCGAAGGGGTCAACAGTCAAAAGGGAATCATTGATGAAGAATAAAAAGCGGGGTACAGTTATCCACCCCGGGCTGAGAAAGGCATTTCGATCTATCTATCGTATATCTCGGTGTCGTGACTTCGCGGGAGAGAAATTGCCCCAGTTGTCGCATTTCCCGGGGCAACGCGTGTCCGGTACGCTTACCGTCGCGTGGACACCCGAGGGTGAACTTCGTTACGCGAGTATCGAAGAGCCGCCGAGGGAGTCTCGGATGAAACTTGCGCGAGATCGCGGCCGCGTCAAAAATTCTCCCCCCTCGCCCGTCCTCTCCGCCGCCACTTTTGCGCTTTGAAAGCTTCTATCTGGCGGCATGTCCTACGGCGGAAAGCTGCGGGAAATATCACCGAAAGAGAACTGTATTTTTCCTGACACGACTATCGTGTCGCGACCTTCCCTCGTGGCGTCGCAGCTGCGTCTCGCGGTGGCGTCGAAGAAATTCAGTTCTATCGGGGACACGTGTATTTATTCGCGATACGTTTCTACTTCTGTCGCGTTCGTTCGCGGAAAAGCGACGTCCTCGCCTCTTTTCTCTCTTTCGCACATGCGCGCTCTCTGTCTCTCTATTTCTCTCTTGCTCTCTTTCTCTCTGCCGCGTCCATTCATCTGTCGCTCTCGCTTTGATCGAAGCGCGTCGGAAGATTCCTCAACGATCACGTCCGCAGCACGGGCGAACTTGTTTTTTATCAAACACGAATAAGCCGTGTTTTTTCTCGCTTCCTGATGCGGCTCGCTCGTGTTAATTGGAAATTAATACAGCTAAGCGCCAAACGCGCGGAGTTCTCCTTCGGCGGATAAAGTCCAGCCTTTATTCCCTTTATTCCCAAGCTCTCGGCGGAACGTCGAAGGCGGAAATAATGCGATTCTCGAACATTACACGTGTATAATTGTACGAGCACACACACACACACACACACACACACACACACTGCGATGATCCCGTTCGCTTTGCACGCCCGCCGCGAGCGACGACTCTCGAGCATTATCGCAGCCGCGTCGAGTGTATTATTCTCTCGCAGAGAAGCTGCTCTCTCGGCGTTGGCTTTTCAAACGCCGCCACTCGATCCCGACGCGCATCGACAAACGATACCAAACCGGTGTTACGTCACGCGGAACCGCCGCATCGGGAGTTCACCTGAGCCCCGAGAAGATTCCCAATGTTCCAATTCTCAAACGACGGCGAGGAGAAACGGGGCTGGAGCGAACACGAAGCGCAAGGCCATCGGGAATTGAATCATCGAAGAGAAAATACAGGGAAGAGAGAGACAGACAGAGAGAGAGAGAGAGAGAGAGAGAGAGAGAGAGAGAGAGAGAGAGAGAGAAGGATAAAAGTCGGTCGTTAGAAACAGGTTTATTCGGCCGGCCGCGGCTTCTCATGTTTTCCGCTCGCGCGAATTTTGCGCTCTTTCACAGAGAAACGGAATTCAGCCCGCGTCCGAACCTCCCTCTCGATCACGTTCCTCTCGCGGGACGTCTCGCTCGAGGTGGTCGGGTTAAGACGTGCGCACATGTGTGTGTGTGTATTTGATGAGGGAGAGAGAAAACGGCGGGGGAAAGAGGGGCAAAGTTTGACAAAACCGCATTCGGCCGCATCGTACCGCAAGCCGCCGTGGCGCGGGATTCGCGAGCGAAATGCGGCCTCCGCTGGCGCGGTAAAGAAGCATCAGGAGCGAGGGAGGATCGAGGACGACAAGGCGCTCTCTCTCTCTCTCTCTCTCTTGTCGGCCTGGAATTGCCCCTCGAGGCACCGGGATGAAGAGGTGGACGTAACGGCGGCGGTGGACGCCAGCCGGGAAGCATCCGACGATAATCGAGACACACGTCCTTCCCCCGTCCCCTCCGACGCGGTCTTATCCGTGTATTATCTCGCTCGGGCCGCCGCCGAGCGCTCGCTTTTCCGCCATTTCTGCGCTTTTCCATCACAGTTACAGCGCCGGCCAGCAATCGTGCGGAATCAAGCGCGCGGCGGTGCTTGAGATCTCGGATTAGCCCGGCGACGGGAGGCTCTCCTTTCTCCTCCTCCTTCCTCCTTGAGCACCGGGATTGTCGCGGCCGTTGCGGAAAAGTCACAGTCGACGCGCAGAGCGACCGTGCAGAAGGACGCCTGTCGGCCGCTCAGATTTCTGCGCTCTCGAGAGCGACGTCACATGACGTCGATGACTGAACAGCGATCCTCGGGTTTTTAGTCGGGCGAATTCGGGATTCGGCTCGTTGGGAACAAGTTTCACCTCCGATTCCGCGTCTGAGTGTGTTTGTTTATGTAACGTAAAAGTTAAACTTCACAGTTCGCAGCACGCGCAAATCTTGCACGGAGGAAGATCGCGCCTCGACATCCGCCGCTGAAGAAACGGTCGTTGACGAGCGCGTCGCGGCGAAAAATTCCCCTGCAAATTCGCTTGCCACGAGCGAATGGCAAGCTCGAGGCGGCCGCTTTGCGGCGACGATCCTAAATGCTCCGGCTGAAAATTATCTGCGTTGCACGTCTCGAAAGCGGATTACGAGCGAAATTTGCGGCTCCGATATGTCACACTGAAGCTCTTCAAATAGGCACTGGGGCGCGGGGGAGAATGTCCTCTCTCTCTCTCTCTCTCTCTCTCTCTGTCTTGTAACTATCGAGCGAGGGTGAGCGCCTGCTCATCGATGATATATAAGAACCTTGCATAATCCGCTTCGGCACTGCCTCGCCTCCTTTGCGATCGCTCTCCAGCGGCTTCTTCATCCCCGCGCGATTGTCCAATCCGGGTTTTCGCGTCGACGACGTGGACATTGCCGTCGCGTAAGCGCGCACAAGGTTGCGGTGCTTTTTTTTCTTACCCACACGCGAACGTGCAGTTTCGAAAGACCGCTGTACTTTTAAGTGTTGTAATATGTTAACATTGCCACAGAGACAATGAGAAAGCTGCTGAGAGAAAGGGAGAATGAAAGATGCTGAAATGCGAGTGAGAGATCGCTCGAATTCGAGTGACTCGACTGTCAGGCTGCTTTCCGAGTCAAATTTCACTCCGAGACGCTCAGAGAATGCTCTCTAAATTTCTTGGAGTGGGATCTTCACTAATTGCGATGAAAAAGGGTGAAGAAAGAACGTTTGCTCGTACACACGAGGACGAGTCTCTCGGCGCCGACGGCTCGTAACTCGCGGATTCGCCGCGTCGCGGAGGGGAGTCAAGCGCGAATCAATGAAACAAGTATGTGGGAAATCCGCTATTTAGATATCGCCGCGGCCTGTCTCAGTCAGATAAGAAAGATCTCCCTGTCGAGCGCGTCTCTCGCTGCGCAGGAGCGAGAGAGGATCGGGATTCCCCCGAGAAAGAGACGAATGAGTCGAGAGGCGGGAAGCTCTCGTCGCGAGAGCGGGCTCGGCTGAATGCGCGTTGATAAAAATTCTGTCAGGTCGATTAACGATCGCACGTGCCGGTTGGATCGCTGCCATTTGTATCGGGCCGCGTTATATCGAAAGCCTCGGTCCTCTAACGGCGTCGTAACGTCGTTAGACGGTCCCCGCCAATCACCACCGATCACCCGGCCTTTCCCGTCGCGCATGAAATACGCGGCGGAGAAGCGGCGGATGCTGCGGAAAAGACAGAAGAAGATCGAAGAGGGAACCTCGTGACGGCGGAATAACGAGCGAGGGATGTGTGCGAAAATTTGCCCCTCCGTCCTTTCACCCGCCCCTTCCCCCTCTAATCGATGTCAGACGGTCGTAAAAAAAGAATATTCATAAAATCCAGAAATACGACAGCGAATAATATCGAATAACGCCGCACTCGGCTCCGAAGTGATTCCGACATTTCCTTCCCCCCTCCTCTCCCCCCCTGCCCCCAGGGCTCTTGGGAGATTTTGCAGAAATTTTCGGGAGAACTGTTTTCAAAGCGAAGCCAGTGCGCGAGAAGTCATCGCTGAGAAGTGATCGCAGATTCGCTAAAACTCTGATCGTATTTATTAACCGAGGACGTCGGACGTTCCAATCAGGTTTGCTCGCGCTCGTCGTTCGGCGACCGTCGCTTTTAACAATTAGTGCTCAACGATCGTAAAAGTAGTCGCAGCTCGTCGTACTAGTGAGCCGGCCGGCCGACTGACGGTCGTAAATATTACGACTGTCGTGAGGTATCTCGAGAGAGCGCCTCGAGTATCTTGGCCTCTCTTTAATTAGGTCGACCGACCTTGCGGATTTTCGCCGCGGCGGCGGTGCACGCTTCTCCCCGCTGCTTTTTGTCGTTCGCGAAGGGCTTCGCGAGGGGAAGGGAAGTCCCGCGTGTTTATTAATTATCCCATATTTACGAATCCGGAGCCGCGCGTGCTAATCGCGACGACGGTGCACGTGTCGGCCGAATTGTGAGGACGGCAGAATTTCGGCTCGAGCACGGAGCGCTCGACAGCCGGAGTGTCGATGGATAATTAAATCTTTGCGCAAAGAGAAAGCTGAAGTTTCACGGGAGAGAACGATTTCCGAGGGAAAATTTTTGAGGCCGGGCTTTTCCGGCGGCCCCGCCCCCATGTTGTGACTTCTCTCCGCCTCTTCGCCTCACCTGCGTACGTAAATATGCGGGTACGATTTTAATCATAGACGCTTCTCTTTTTCCTGTTTCAGGCGATGGAGGCGGCGCCGGCGGAGATGGCGAACCTATCGTCGGCGGCACCAATTCCGAGAAGAAGTCTGGATATGAGACCAATCTGTATCTCTACAGTGTAAGTGGAAGAAAAGTTTGAGCACACTACTGACCGAGTAGTCGGAAGCTTCGAGCCGCGACCGAGAATCGCAATTTATTTATTTCTCTGTTTATTCATCGTGAATTTTGAAGGGGAGTCGTCCCTTTGGCGCAACGCGCTGTGTGTGGAATTTTACAATAATAATGATATTGCAATTACAAAGAACTAGAAAGAAAAAAAAACGCTTTTGATGTGAAGAAAAATATAAAAATAAAATAAAGTACAAATGTCGCAATGCCGAGGGGGGGAGGACGGGGGGATCATGAGAGAAGAGAAAGGAGAGATTGTATCACGCGGAGTTACTTCGCGAAAAAGTTGAACTCGTGAGGGTTTGACAGATGCGCGGGAAGATGCGATGGCAATTGGAGGAGGAAGACAAGTCGTTTTTGCGCGTTATATGTCTCCTTGGGGGGGAGGGGGCAAAAATGAAAAGGAAATCATCACAGAGACAGCGAAGTTGCACAAAAGTCGGACACTCGTTGCGAAATGCGCACGACGTCGCAGGTGTGACAGATACGCGAGGAAAAGAAGAGAGGGGAGCGCAGAGGGATCCAACCGTGAAATGGGCGAGTCGTGAAGGAAGGAAGGAAGGAAGAGAGCGAGAAGGAGAAATTGTCGCGCGGAGTTTCCGTGGAAATCAGACTCGCGCTGGGAAAACACTCGCGAGGTCGCGCGGTTTGATCGGTGTGCGGGGAGAGATCGCGATAAAGAAAGATCAGGGAGGAGGGAGAGAAGATGAGTGTACAATCGTCAAATGAACTCGTCCCGTGAATTATCATCGCGTGTCTCGGGAGCAGAGAGAGAGAGAGAGAGAGAGAGAGAGGAAAAAGAGGGGAGTTATCGCGCGCGGAGTTTCGCGAAAATCGGACTCCGTAAAATCGCACCGCGAGTAAAATGCCCGCGAGGTCGCGCGGGGAAACGCGAGAATGAGGGAGGATGAGGAAAGAGGGAGGATGCTCGCGTAGCCGTGAAATAGACGAGTCGCCTCGCGCGATATCCCGCACGAATCATAAAACTTGCAGGTAGAGACGATAACCGCGGGGCTAAGAATTCTCTTCCATTTACCTTTGCCTTCGGAACGAAGCGGTTTAAGCCGCGCTCGCGCGTACGCTCCCACTCTCTCTTGTCCTCGTTCCTCCTTGGCGTTTTAACGAAGGACTCGACCATTTTCCCCGGCCATATAAGAGAGCGAGAGAACCCTCCGAGAACTTCCGCACCGGCCCAGTTTCCTTATCTGCCGCTTCTCTCCCGGCTCCCCCGCTTCAAAACTGCGAGCCATTATCGAGCCACGAATCTCGCGAGTATTGTGCGCCGTTCCGCCGTCGAATTATCGAATCCGATAATTCGCTGCGCGATGAGAGGGGCGACTTTAACCCGCTCCCGCCGCCACCGCCGCCGCCGTCGTCTTCGTCGTATTTCTCGTTCGAGCGCGACGAGGGTGTAAAACCGTGCGGGCGCACGATGCGAAACGAGAACTCGGCTTGTACGAGCGGAAAAGCTTCCGTGGGAGATTTCCATTCCGGTCAAATATCCTCGTCGATTACCTCACGAGTGACGAGTTTTAATACGCGGTTAAATACTCAGACGAGTGCTTTCTTTTTCTTTTTTCTCTCTTTTTTCTTCGGTCGCCGCAGCAGCGATGCCGTTTCTCGCCACCGAGTTTCCCTCGGTTTGGTTTCCATCCTGTCACGCGAAGCGAGCCATTACTTCTCTCCACGTACGGCTCTCCGCACGTGAGAAAAAAACCCGGTTCGCGCGGTTAATTTTCCTTTGCCTGCGCGGCAAGCAAAAAGTCAATTTATAACAGCAAAAAAGCCCCGTAGGGAATTTGCATTTAGCCCAATTACCCCGTGACGAGTTTTAATGCGATTAAATATCTGGACGAAAGTTCTCGGTCAACGCGACAACAGACTATTGTTTCTCGTCACCGAGCTCTCGTTCGGTCTCCGTCCTGTTACACGAACGGAGGCATTTCTTCCCCACGTACGCGTTTTCCACGTACGTGAAAAAAAAGGGACTCGGTTCGCGTAGCTAATTTTCCACTGCCTACGGGCCAGACCGGAGAAATCCTCGCGGTAGAAAATGAAAGATTCCTGTGGGAGGTTCTTACTTGGTTACCGCTCTCTATTCATTTGCTGGCAATATGTGCTTGGAATATTTCGAAGCAGCGGATAAGAGACACCGAACGAGTTAGAACAGCACGCGAAAAGTAGATTAGCACATAAGCGCACTTGAGGCGCGCGCTTTCCGCGCAATTTCCCGAAGGAAATCGCCGTATGGATCGGCGGATCGGATCTTCGGCTCTCTCTCTCTCTCTCTCTCTCTCTCTCTTCCTTTCTCTCTCTCTCTCTCTCTCTCTCTCTTGCGTTCTCTTTTCGCGAGCGCCTGCGAATGCAAATAATCCGTCCGAATCCGGTGCACGTCCAAGACGCGAGCAGCGTGCAATAAACGTCGTTCCGCGACCGGGCTAAGGAGCGTGTAGTCGTCGCGAAATTAGACAGCCCGGTAATATCCTTGTAACGAGGTTGCGGCGGGAAGTTCGCGCGACAAAGAGCCCAACAATCTCCATAAAGCGTTCCCGAGGCCCAAGTTACGCGCGCGCGCGCGCGACACTTTTCCGCGAAAGTTTGTCAATAAAATTGCAAATGAGGCCACGGCATGTCCCTTCCGGTGTAATAAGGCGTCGTGTACAGGGGAAAAATATCAGGGCCGGCAATCTCCGTCGCCAAGGACCAGCGCGAGAGCGCGCGTCAGTGATGAAGCTCGACGACTGATCGGCCGAGGCGCCGATTCTGCCAATTGTCTGTCGGATCTTTTCGCATAATTCGCGAACACTTGCGCGCGGTGTATCAAGATCCGCTTGTTTTTCGAAGAACTTTCCAAGTAACGCACATTAGCAGCGGTAAGACAGGGCGAAAGAAAGTGTACTCGCTTCGCTTGGACTTAATGCGCTAATCCAGAAGTTCCTCGCGGACGAGCAGACTTAATATCGCAGCTTTCTCTCCGTGCAAATTCCGTTTCAATTTCAGCGTGTCTTTTAATAGCAGTAGAGATATATCGCCGGCACAGCCGCTTATCTCGCTGAGAAACATTAAACTTTGCCAAGGGACGTACATATATACGGTGCATATTTTCATGATAGACCTCGGTTCTTTTAAAATATAAATAGCACACACACGCATTATGTAGAGTGCAAATAACGTCCCTTCGTTTCAATGAAGTGCAAAAGACGATAAATCCGGAATCGGAATGTCGATGCGATCCCCGCTTGCCAAATTCAAGGCGTAGTTTTTCGCCATGCATAAAATTCCCTCGTGCGAGTTTTCTCGGTCGAGCCTCGGGAATTATTCTCTCGAGAATCGGCATTCGCCTTTTATAAGATATCGTCGCGAGAGCGACGAGTGCGGCAGCTCAATGTGCGGAACGCACGTCGATCACACATGCGCCGCGTGGTCGGTGGGCCGATGGAGGTGACATCGAATATAAATCCTCGCAGGAGGAGATGGAGGACCGGCCGCGGATCTCGACGTTGCTCAACAGCCTGGCTAATTACAGCAACACCATCCCCGCCGCGACCGACCCGGACACTAAACCGGCCCCGGCCGCGGGGGGTGGAGCGCGAATGGGTACTCTCATAGGTGTCTACTTGCCGTGCATCCAGAACATCTTCGGTGTGATCCTCTTTATCCGGCTGACATGGGTAGTCGGCACCGCCGGCGCCATTCAGGGCTTCTTCATCGTACTCTGCTGCTGTTGCGTCGTAAGTACTCGTCCGCGTGGTCCGACCGAGCCCGAGCGTCGTTATGTCCCCGCGTGTTTTTACAACGGACGCAAATACACGAAGAGCACACGCGGGAGTCTGGAAACGCGCGCGCGGAAACTGTCAAAGACACCGAAGCCGAAGAGAAATATTCAAGCGCGCCGACATCGTGGACCGCGCGCATCATCCGTCACGTTTTCCTCGAGATTGAGAACGTGAAAAGTCACTCGTTGATTTTATTGATGATATGACATTTGCAGTGCTCCCAGTTGTGTGTAAATAACTTTGCACCGTGGTCATTATGACAGCTTATCGACCGTTTGTCGACAGGAGTCGAGCCTCATTGAATTAAAGAAGAAAAAGTTGAAAAAAGTGAAGCTGATAACAGATAAATATTGCAGAATTAAGCGGAATAAATAAGAGTAATGGTTAAAGAGATAAATAATACAGCATATTTTGTGGTTTCGCCTAATTTCTTAATTGCTTTCTCACGTTGGAAAGTTCGATAGAAATTGGAGATTAGAAAGAACGATACGAGAGGAAATATTTGAGAGTCTTATATACTATATTTCATCCATGTTTCTACGAAAGATCGCTTCTGCAAAATCGTATGAATCGCAGTATAAATTTACGCGGTCGATAAATTGTCGTAACGATCACGGGTGCGAAGTTAGTTGCATTTGTCGTAACTGCAAAGAGCATTGCAAATATCATTATCAACGAAATCGACGAGTGACTTTTTCGGCGATCTCTGCATTATCGTCCGAATAGGGGCAGGCAACCCGTCATACTGACCTGCATGTTGATGTCACACCCTTATAGCCGAAATAATGAAACGTCATCTTAAGACTTCTGCGCGTACAATTAAAAATCGCTGAAATGGCCATCACTGAAAAAATTAATGAACATACACCGGTGATGTTCTCCATGTGGTGTTCACTCCAAACGTTATCCTTCATGAAGAGATACGAGAGGCACAATATCTGTGCACGAAAAAATACTGTTGCGCCGGTGGAATCGGTCGAGCGTAATGCGCGCGTAAATCCTCTTCACTCAATAGCGATGTTGCCGAAACCCGAATACTCGAGTTATTAAAACAATGTGTGATGCGTCAATTTGAATAACATTGCTATCGAGTCCGGAGGGATCGACTGTGCGTTTCGCTATCGACACGGCAGCGTTTTTTTCTTTTTTTTTTATTTATTTATTTTACCGCGTTTCACGCTCCGCGACACACAGGCGCCTAGTCGACGTTTCCGGTTCCCCAAGCTCGAAAGATTAAAGCTCGACGCGGTATCACTGCAAACCCGAGTGTGTTATTTTGACACGTATAAGCTGAAGCTTTCTTCACGCGTTTCTTGTCTTGTCTGAAATCACACGTCATTTGGTGCATTTCGATATCACTTAACGCGTTTAAACGCGTTAAACGACGTGATTTAAGACACGACAAGATACGCGTAAAGGAAGCTTCAGCTTATACGCGTCAAAATAACAGCACTCGGGTTTGCAGTGATGACGCGAGCGAAAGCTTTTCAAGCGAGCAGCTGAAGCTCGCGGCCGAGGCGAAGGGACTGCACACTCTCTCGTTGTTCTTTGTGCGCGCAGACGATGTTAACGGCGATCAGCATGAGCGCCATCGCCACGAACGGCGTGGTGCCGGCCGGTGGTTCCTACTTCATGATATCGAGAAGCTTAGGCCCAGAATTCGGCGGCGCGGTAGGTATGCTGTTTTACACCGGCACCACCTTGGCCGCCGCGATGTACATCATCGGTGCCGTGGAGATCGTTCTCGTAAGTATCACTTGATTGTGGCCACACGGTCGCGCGATGAGTGAAGATTCGCATGACAATCGGCGCCCTTGAAGCGTCTCGAGAGGGAATTTCGGCCCCCCGAGGTCGAGGGCCGCAATTTCTCACTGGATACTTGCTGCTTTTTAGACTTACATGGCGCCGTCGCTCAGCATATTCGGCGACTTCACCAAAGACGCCAACATTATGTATAACAACTTCCGGGTGTACGGCACCGGCTTGCTGATGGTAATGGGCACCATCGTATTCGTGGGCGTGAAGTTCGTCAACAAGTTCGCCACGGTGGCATTGGCCTGCGTGATTTTCTCCATCATCGCCGTTTACGTGGGCCTCTTCGTCAACTTCAACGGCAACGACGCTCTAAAGTACGTCCGTTGATCGCAGCCGGCGACGGGGGCGAAAAGAAAAGCCGCCGGACTCACTGACGAAATGGACACTTGTGTGTGTTTCAGGTTGTGCATACTCGGCAGGAGGCTGCTGAAGGACATCAACGTGTTGACCGACTGCAACAAGAACGTCAGCGGCGCGTTGCACAAGATTTACTGCGGCAACAGCACTCAGTACGCGAAGTGCGACCCGTATTACGTGGAGAACAACCTGACCATCGTTAATGGCATTCGCGGCTTGGCCAGCGGCGTCTTTCTAGGTACGGATAGGGCGCGCAAGGTCGCGCAGCGCCACGCGATGGTGAGAGATGAAAATGTTGAGACACCTCTTTCTCTTGCCCCGTTACGCAGAAAACATATGGGACAGTTTCCAAGAGGAGGGCCAATTGATCTCTTACGGCAGCGACCCGAAGGACATCGATGTCCTGTCAGGATCGAGCTACAATCAGATTCAGGTCGACCTTACGACAACCTTCACCATCCTCATTGGTATATTCTTCCCCTCCGTGACGGGTGAGCAAAGTGGATTTCATTACGTGAAAATAGTTGGATAAAACGAGCACGAGACTCGACGGCCGCGAGATCGAAAGAGAGAGAGAGAGAGAGAGAGATTAGCGGCGCTCGTTTAACTCGCTAATTCATTCATTCACTCGAGCGAATATTTTCGCCCCGAGTCGGGAAGCGAAGCTCACGTGGTTCTACCGCTGCAAGGGCGAATTCCCCTTCTCATCTGCCGGAGCGTTCGCTCCGCGTGGCGTCGGAGCCCAGTGAGAGAAGCCTCGAGTGAAGTTTTAGTATTTTGACTTTGTCGCTTCGAGCGAAGATGCCTGCGCCAGTCCCTTCGCTCGTCTTTAGCGAGATTCCGAACCGAGAGCATTTAGCGAGCACTCTCGGAATGCCTCGGAGCATGAAATTTGACTGAAGAAGCAGAGCGACGCTCGAGTCGCTGAGACTCGGGCGATTGTTCACTCGTGTAGAGCGAATTCCTCGAAGTCGCTCCTGCGCGAGCGACTTGAGTGGATACTTTCGCTTCAAGTCGGAAGAGTTTAATACTCCATCGTCACAGAAACAAATCCTCTATGATTGATCGAAACATCATCAGCTCCAGTTCGAACGAGAGAGAGAGAGAGAGAGAGAGAGAGAGAGAGAGAGAGAGAGAGAGAGAGAGAGAGAGAGAGAGAGAGAGAGAGAGCATTCACTCTGGCGATCTTGAGCTGCGGTGTTTCCGGCCCTCACTTCGAGTGAGCTTTCCCTCGGGTTTTTTCAGCGAAACTTCATTCGAGGAAGTTGAGCGAGAGTCTATTCTCACATCGTGCGACTTTCGCCCGCAGGTATTATGGCGGGCTCGAACCGTTCCGGCGACCTGGCCGACGCTCAGAAGTCCATCCCGATCGGCACGATCTGCGCGATCCTGACGACCTCCACCGTCTACTTGTCCAGCGTGTTGCTGTTCGCCGGCACCGTGGACAACTTGCTGCTGCGCGACAAGTTCGGTCAGAGCATCGGTGGCAAGCTGGTGGTAGCGAACATGGCCTGGCCGAATCAGTGGGTGATCCTGATCGGCTCGTTCCTCTCCACCCTCGGCGCCGGGCTGCAGTCCTTGACGGGAGCGCCGCGACTGCTACAGGCGATCGCTAGGGACGGCATAATACCCTTCCTCACGCCGTTCGCTACAAGCTCGAGCCGCGGCGAGCCCACCCGCGCCCTCGTGCTCACCGTTCTCATCTGCCAATGCGGCATTCTGCTCGGCAACGTGGACTACTTGGCCCCGTTGTTGTCCATGTTCTTCCTCATGTGCTACGGCTTCGTCAACCTGGCGTGCGCCTTGCAGACGTTGCTGCGCACGCCCAACTGGCGGCCCCGCTTCAAATACTACCACTGGAGCCTGTCGTTCATCGGCCTGGCGCTCTGCATCGCCATCATGTTCATGACCAGCTGGTACTACGCGCTGTTGGCGATGGGTATGGCCGGCTGTATCTACAAGTACATCGAGTACCGCGGCGCCGAGAAGGAGTGGGGCGACGGCATACGCGGTCTTGCGCTCTCCGCCGCGCGCTACTCGCTGCTGCGGCTCGAAGAGGGCCCGCCGCACACGAAGAACTGGCGGCCGCAGATCCTGATCCTCGCCAAGCTCACGGACGACTTGGTGCCCAAGTACCGCAAGCTCTTCGCCTTCGCCAGTCAACTGAAGGCCGGTAAGGGCCTCACCATCAGCGTCAGCTGCATCGCCGGCGACTACACGCAGAACTCGGGCGAGGCTCTGGCGGCGAAGCAGAGTCTCAGGAAGACGGTAGTGGAGGAGAAGGTGAAGGGTTTCGTCGACGTCCTCGTGGCGAAGAATGTCATCGACGGCCTGAGCTCGCTCGTGCAGACTACGGGATTGGGCGGGCTGAAGCCTAACACGGTGATATTGGGTTGGCCGTACGGCTGGAGGCAGTCCGAGCAGGAGAGGACCTGGCGGGTCTTCCTGCAGACCGTGAGGAGCGTCGCGGCCGCCAAGATGGCGTTGTTGGTGCCTAAGGGGATAAACTTCTTCCCGGACTCCAGCGAGAAGGTGGTCGGCAACATCGACGTTTGGTGGATCGTGCACGACGGCGGCTTGCTCATGCTACTGCCGTTCTTGTTGAAGCAACATCGTACTTGGAAGAACTGCAAGATGAGGATCTTCACGGTCGCGCAAATGGAGGACAACTCGATTCAGATGAAGAAGGACCTGAAGAAGTTCTTATACGACCTGAGAATCGAGGCGGAGGTCGAGATCGTCGAAATGGTAATTCGCCCGTCCAACGAGCAGCCTTCGACAGGCCTGTCGAGGCGGGCTCATTGCACTCGCAGGATCTTAACCCTCGCGTCTCGCGATTTGTTCGCAGATGAACTCCGACATCTCCGCGTACACGTACGAGCGCACTCTGATCATGGAGCAGAGAAATCAGATGCTGCGTGAGCTGCAGCTGAACAAAAAGCAGTCATTAGGCGTGGTGAGTGTCGAATACGCCACGAAGGGGGAGATTCACGGCTTATATGTACATACCACGTAGACACATATATTTTTAATATTGCTATACACGACATGGTGACGGTGATACTGATCGGTGTGTGTGTCTGTTTGTTGCGTGCTCGTCGCGGATAAGGTGCAGACATTGGTGGACTTCAACGAGGTACCCGCCGAGGAAAAATTGCCTCTGGTTTGTCAGATAAACCCCGGAGTCCCATATATGCCTCTCCCATCATCATCGCTCCATCGCATCGACGACTTCACTCCCTCCCACGAGATTTCATAACAGTCGCATTTCTCCTCCGCCGATCATGCGTACAACGAGTAATATCGTCCAGGCGGAGGAAAGAGACCGTCGCGGGCTGCAATTCGCGGATTCGCTGACGGACTTGTAGATTCTTCTATCTTTTTTTTTCTTTTTTTTCTTTTTTTCTCTCTTGCCACCTTGAATACCTTGACGGACTCGCGCGTATGTCAGTCGACAACATTCCATCTTGCGAGTTTCCAACTTTCGCGACCGAAGGCAGCTTCACGAGGACCTCTCTTGTTCTCTAATTTTACCTGTCTTTTCCTCTTTATTCTTTTTTTGTTTATTACACTCAATTTGTCTAGTTCTATTTCTGTCGCGTTTATTCGCGTTTGATTTACTTGCGCTCCAATTTCTTCCCGTCCGTTCTTGCGCGAAGCGCCCGCGACGGCTCGCTTCTCTCCCCTTGCCCGCCGCGGCCTCGGCAGCTCCCGCGCCCCTCAGTTACGGCTTGATTGGCACGCTCCTTTCCGATCGCTTATATAGACATAGCATTTACTTGGCGGTCTCGTAGTGCTTTGAGATGCTAGACTATTAGTCGCCTTCCGACCGACTGTCCCCCCGCTGTCTGGGGCAGAGCGCTCGCCGCGCGTGCCGCTCACTCACTTTGCCCACGACAGGTACAGGCGATCGTGGACCATCACCACAACGTGGACGCCAAGGTGCCGACGAAGGTGAGGTTCCAAGAGCCAGGCAGCCAGAACATCAACATCACCGACGACACGAAGGAGAAGCTGATGCAGGAGACCGAGCTGAACAACAAGGAGCTGGAGACCGAGGAGATCAACGAGAAGGACGAGGTGAAGGAGAACAACGACGAGGAAACAAAACTGATCGGCGGCTCGCCCAAGGCGGAGAACAGGGAGAACACGGAGAAGGAGGCGAAAGAGGCGAAGGAGGCGAAGGAGGCGAAGGAGAACGCGCAGGAGAACAAGAATCAGAGTCCGGAGGCTAAGAAACCCACGATCACACCGTGAGTATCGACCACCGCGCGCGGTGGCCTCTCCGCGAGACTTCCACCTTGTGGCGCGTGCGTCACGTGACGACGGACGCGGCATTTCTCAGCAAACGTTTCTGCAACAGCGACGAGGGCGACGTGAGGCGTATGCACACCTCGGTGAAGTTGAACGAGGTAATCGTCAACAAGAGCCATGACGCTCAGCTGGTCATTCTAAATCTTCCCGGTCCGCCACGGGATACGAAGATGGAGCGTGAATCTAACTGTATCCTTTCCAACAGCCCGCCGACTATTGCAGTCCTTGTGCCAACAGCAGGTCTGTTTGTATCAGCCGGACTAGTGTCTGCGCTGAAAGAACTTTGTTCTTTCAACGCCGACTCGGGTACTTGCTCGTTTACGAGGAACTTCTCAACTGGTGCAATATATAAGTTAGAGCGAAACAAGTATACTTTCTTTCGCTCTAACTTATTGCACTAGCGTGCACCAGTTGAGAAGTTGTTCGGAAACGAGCAGGCGTCTTGTTTCTCTTCGACGTCGTCGACGTATAAAGTGCAACCTAATTCGGGCCAAGGGAGAAACCTAATATCGCCAAGCGGCGGTGCAAAAGATTTCGTCGTTCTCCCGTTGAATTCTGAACTTGCAGAAAGTTGCTGATTCGGGGATTAAAGATGCGCAGAATACGTGGAGTCCTCGGATTAGATTCCCGCAGAGATAGCGGAATTTTATTTCGTACAAATTGTCAATAACCCGAAGAATATAGTTGCGTTCTTAATGTTTTCTCCGACGAGAGCGCGACGAGTCTTTTGCACCAAACAGCCAGTTGCTGCAGATCCTTGACGTTTAGATTTCCTTAACCGCCGGCCATCAGACATGGAATTCCTCGAAGTACTTACCGAAGGCTTGGAAAGAGTGCTGATGGTGCGGGGCAGCGGGCGGGAGGTGATCACCATTTACTCGTGAAGTGTGAGGCGAATGAGAATTGACGCCGCTGCCTCGCAAAAGCAGAGCTCTAGTTTACTTCTCAGTGACCTAAACGACATCACCCTAAGGAACACGCTGCTCTTGTGCTATTGTCTGCGCAGTCACTTGCGCCGCGCGCTCTGAGTCATCTGGGAAGAGGAGGAAGAGGAGAAGGGGGAGAGGGATGGCTGACGACGATGACAACGACGACGGTCGTTCGACATCGGTACCGGACACGAAGGACACGAGGCATCGCCATCGAGACCGATTAATCTGCGCGGACCGCGACGAACGATCGTCGGACGATGAAGCCGGAAGCCGACGCGCGGAAGGATAAGTTCCCTTTAGATTGAGTTTCAGAACGTAGGAGCGCGGGTCACCCGCATCAGGTGCACTACGATCCGCCGGAACAGCAGGAGGCAGTTGCGTACGGCAGCGGGGACTGCTCAGATATCAACTCTCTCAGACAAAACTCTGTACAAGCTCAGCCGAGCTCGCCGGACACCGGGGGTATCGCGTATATAAACACCCTTCTCGGAGATCGCCGGAACACGAACAAAAAAAGAACAAACCAAACAAACGTAGCTCAACGACACGTCCCGAGTAAAAGAAAAGAAAAGCGAAACGCACTTGGACTCGGTTCCCGGCAATCGAAAGCTGAAGAAAATCTCACGTTCGACACGCTCGAGACGGAGGGGAGAACAAGAGTAGAAAAAGGATACCGCATAAAACAGGTAGAAGAACAAAAAAAGACAGGCAAACTGGCAGGCATGGAGGGCGGTTGAGGTGTGTGTGTGTGTGGGGGGGGGCGGTGGGGAGGGGGGAGGAGGAGAAGAAAGGGGAAGAGAAGAGAATCAAAATTTGGTCCGAGGCTAAGGTCGAAGCATCTACGAAACCACTGCCAGACTACTTTCTAAATGCTTCGCGTTTAACCAAAGACGCGAGAGGCTCATTTTTCTACACGCATTGTCGTTAATAGAGAAAGATTAAAAGAAAAAAAAAAAGAAAGGAAAACAAATAAGTAGAATACGTAGCCGTATTATAATTTGATTGCTTGATAGGTAAATCTAGAGTAGCCTAGGATAGCGCCGACTTTTATTATCGATTATGTATGTGTATTTGATAATAGCGAGGAGACGAGTACGTCGCGAGTATTACAATTGCATTTCCTCCGGGGACTCAGACCCCGCTCTCTTTTTTCCAACCTCGCGCGGATACATGTCTTTTACACGTGCACACGTGAGCTACACGTGCACACACACACACACACATACACACACACACACACACATATACACAGGCGCGCGTTTGTATCGTCTTTACACGGCACCACCACGACCAGCCATACCACGTGCCACATCACCACACTACGCATAAGTCGTATGCAATCGATAACAATTGAACGCGGAGGAGCGCAGCCGAAAGACTCAATGCCAAAAAACGACGCGTCGGTCCTTACCGAGTCTCATCGAAAGATAAAATAGCATTCTAGCGTAACGGTGTAAACTTTAATCGCATTAAGTGTCGTATGCATGTCACGTTCCGCGCGTAGCCCCGTTTCCGGCCGCGCTCCATCTAGATAGGCATTATCTTCTTACGTATAAATATATAAATATATACATATACGCCGTAGTTAATCCGCGCGAACGCGAGATGCACGTCGGTGATCCTTCTTCCGATCCTCCGACTCGCCGATTAACCCGAGGACGCCACATAGACATAGACGTTTTTCGATCGTCGGCGTCGGTTGCAATTCGAGCGCGCCAGTACGACAAAGCTGATCCGATTCTGACCGCTCTCCCATCTATAGCCGAAACGGCCAAAAGTGTCTTTTCCACCTTTAGATCGCACGACGGCGGCGGCGGCGACGACGGCGATGTAAAGACGGAATGACTGTGATCTCGCTCTTTAGACCGCTCTCGTCCCTAAATTGGCCGCGAGTAAGTTGGATGTTTAGACTACGATCGGCGCGAATCGCATTCGCCGCGCATATTTTCTTTCCTTCATGTCTCCTCCACCACGCGTGATGGAGCCAAGACTCCGACGATGGAGTCGAGAAGGAGATGACCGCTGTATTATATATATATATATATATATATATATATATAGCGCGTTCGGTGTAATATTTATCGATATACTACTTATAATCGATGTCCGTAAGCAAGTTATATTGTACTAAGGATTGCGCGGCAACTTATCGCGTGTATATATATATACACACACACGCAGCGCAGGGGTGAGAGGGAGATGCGCCGGAACTATCGCGCTTTCCGCTCCTGCGAACGTGGATGTAGTGAAATATTGTTCACCGAAATCAGAGAGATCGCTAACTTCCGAGTTAGACCGCGAATCCCAAGGACCCGGATGAGGTCCTTTAACGTCGAGGACGCGCAATTGTACAGTTTTTATTTCTTGACCGGTTTTAAGTTACAGCCGATGTCTGATTGGACGCGAACTAATTTCGCGGTAAAAGTTTGTCATGAACGCAGTTGATGTTGAGCAAATTTCTCTGTATAGTATTACATTCAAATACTTTCTTCAATAAAGTGACAATCAATTGTGCAAGTCGCACAATTAGCGAGAGAGGGGAAGAGAGAGACGGTATATATTTTATCGAATTGACGTTAAAGAAAAACTCGACGTCATCCGGAGAAAATGAGAGCGCGGTGATTCCGGGGTGTCCTCGTATACATAAATGTACATTCACATTATTCATTGTAAAGTGCACGCACTGTCCTGCAATACCAGTAGCTAGGAAATACGAAGACGACGAAGAAGAAGGGGAGAAGGAAAAGGAGAGGGCAGCAGAGAGTAGCAACGTACGAAAACACTAATCGCCATATGAAAGTGTGTAGGAATTAAGAACAGTTTACCGCGCGAACCGATGTCACCGGTTCGCTTGCTCGTAGACGAAGAAGAACATTTGAACGGGAGAGGAGATTCCTATAAATATACCCCCCACGTTGAATCGTTTCACTTTTGTCCCGGTCGCGGAGATTCGCGCGAATTGGCTGCCCCGAGGAGGCGCGAAAAATGTGAGATGTCGCGTCGACGCGCGAGGAACATTCCGACCTTGCCCCGTTCACTTTACGAAACGATCGTCGCAAGCTCGATGGATTAATTAATTACGAAAGCAGTGTATATACATATGCACATGCATCTCTCATCGAACGCGTTGAGACAAGTCCGGAACGGAATTGAAGCGCGTATATACATATAAATGAATGATTATCCTCTTCCTCTCTCTTTCTCTCCCTCTCGTCCACGATGTTTGCGACATGTACTTTATAATTTTATTACGTTACCTGTCGATTGCATATATTTTATGTGTACTTATCTTTACTCGAGGTACCATTGGCATTGCATAGTTTATACGGGACATGTTGAAATATGAGAAAGTTTATCGCGATTATACGAGGACTGTTACCGGGTAAGTCGTTAGCATACACGTTGTACATAAACACATAGATAAATGAAGAATATGAAGGAAGAGAGGACCCGCGATCTTTGCCACAAGAAACTCATAGATCGGTGAATAAGAGAAGAGAGAAGCAGAAGAAGAAGAAGAAGAAGAAGAAGGCGAGAAGCACCATCCTTTTCATAGTTCGAACAGTATTGCAGTGTATTCTGCTACCGCTTTAATTTTACTATGTACATTTACTTTACATGCACAATGACCACATGGACACAAACATACGTGCATGATATACACACATATATATATATGTGTGTGTGTATGTGTGTGTGTGTGTGTGTGCGTGTGTGTATGTATGTGTGTACGTATGTGTGAAATATATAGAGAAAGTCTATATGTATCCAGCCGTTGAGAATGAAAATGGTGCGAGGCAAGAGTTTCAGAAAACGAAGCAGGTCGCGCGTAACCGCTCGGCGACCCTTCGTACACCTTAGTTTAATAGTACATATAAGCACGACTTACACCGCTCTCATTCTATTCGGCTCATGCGCGTGTTATATCGGCAACGGCGGGATGCATCCGGTGCCCGCGGTTTATGCTCGCTTCGCGGAAAAGAAAAGAAAAAAACAAAACGTCGCGCCTCGAACGCGTTTTAGATATTCTTTCTCCGGCGCGAAGAGACGTTTCGACGAACAAGCGAGAGAGATAAAGAGAAACGGGGAAACAAGCCGTGGCGGAAGAGCGGTGCAAGTGCGAGACCGCGAGCGGACGAAAATACGCACAACGTTGTCACGGCCATAATAAACCGGATCCTCTCGCGTCGCGAAGTAAAGAGTATGAAAGAGTGAGCGAGTGAATGAGTGAGTGAGTGGGTGAGTGAGTGAGTGAGAGAGAGAGAGAGAGAGAGAGAGAGAGAGAGAGAGAGAGAGAGAGAGAGAGAGAGAGAGCTCGTTTGTTCGTTCGGACAAAGAATAACAGCGGAAATCGTCTCGAACCTCCAGCGCGCGCGTCGTAACCGCTTGTTTTCGCTTCGGTCGCTCGAGAAGGGATACTTAAAACACGGTCGGAGAGAGATTTCTCGCAGGACTCGAAGACGAGACGAGAGAACATTCCTCCTTTCTCGGGATATTTCCATCCTCGGAAATTTATTTCGGCGATCGCTCTTGGAATATATTCGCTCCTCGCGACAATTATTATCTTCCGGGTGCTGCCGGAGTCTTCTGGATGTACCTTCGCCTCTCGACGGTCGGTCGATATGTAGCTAAATATTCCCAGGATGATCTCCCGTCTCGTCGAAAAAGAGACGGCCGTGGTTAAAGAGAAGATACTCTCGAGAACGCACGTTCGCGCGCTGCGCGTTTGGCCAGCTTCGGGTGTAAATTTCGGGTGACAGGCGTGCTCGGCTGTCGCGCAAGAGGAAAAGGGAGAAAGGAAAAATGTTATTATATCTGCAGGCTTGGCGTTTGTCGGGGTACGTGTAGGAGTTTGCGGCGTTTTATGGCGCGTCCCATTGAAAATGGGGTCCGCGCACCGGAATTAAATCACCTCTAGGCTGTGAGATGCGAGCTAAGCAGCAGACAAACTTGCTCGAGACCTCAATCGTATGTGTCAAATCAAGTGAAATCTACTTTTAACGTATCGTGTAACCGATTAAATCCTTTTACCAAAGCTTCTATACGAGGAGAGAGGAGAGCAAAACGGGCGAGCTCGCTTCGCTCCGGGAACTGCGACGATTTCTTCTTGACCCCTGCGGGGAAGAGAGGGGGCACTCGCGAATAACGGATTATATTTATTGATTCCCGCGCCGCAAGAGAAAGAGAAGAAAGAGAAATGGGAATATTGATATAGAGAAATAAAAGAAAGATGTTATTAAATATACATACAGAGAAAGAGAGAGAGAGAGAGAGAGAGAGAGAGAGAGAGAGAGAGAGAGAGTGAGAGAGAGAGGGAGCAGGGATCCGGCGAGAACGGGAGTCGACAAAAGCAGGGACACGTCGTACGAATTCGAAATCGATCTTCGCCGGGGGATTCCTTGTCTGCGGAAGTCGACGCGTTGTCGTGTCAACCGGGACATCTCGTAAAGTCACAAAAGTTTGCTTTCCTTTTTATAGATGTACTTGACGAGTGCGAAGATAGCGAGACTTTGTTACTTACATCACGTCGCGTTCAGTTCGTTGAGGACTGTGCTTTGTTCTCTGTTCAACGTGACCGCGTACTTAAGGTCAATTGAGATCTTCGCAGGGAGAAAAAATCGGTGTTAAATTCGTCGATGAATCCCTGATTACAAAAGTCCCGCCTTCTCCGATCTCCATCCTATATATACACATATATATATATATATATATATACATATAATATGTATGCAAGGTGTCTGCTTTCTCTTGACAACGTCGAGACCACGATTATCTCGGGCGGCAATCGTAAGAAAGGCGAGTCGGTCGTTGTGCGTTGATCCGTTGTGTCATATTTGCGTTCTCGATTCGTTTCAACGTGGTTCTCTCACTCGCTCCCAATTGTTGGTGCGCGAGAATAGGCGATCGCGAGACACCCTGTATACACGTATGAGATATGAGATAATATATTTGTAGATACAGACTTTAGTCATCTGGATAGTATATATAGTCAATACCGTGAAAGAAAAAAAGGGTCTGCAACTTACTTACCTATACCCTTAGATAATAGATGACGATACTTGTAATTGATTTACGAGAGATAAAGTATATGAATGAGAAAAATATACTGCGAGAGAGAAAATCGATTAAATAAATAAATGATATACCTACGAGACCACAGGGTGCAATGTTTCCTTTACTCTTCGCCGATTTCCCGACGTAACAAGTTTCCTTTTATATTTTTGCTTCAATAATTATGCTTCACTGTCAATCGTTCATTTCATTCTATTGCGATACGATTCATTATGATATTTTTATGGACGGGCAGTATTTTTGTTTTTGAATATTTCTGCATGTAAGTTTTTCTTGTGAATTTATCGAAAATTTCGTAGAGATTTGTATAAATATATAATTTATAAGCCCATTTTTAAGTTTTTAAATTATATTTAATCGAAACTATATCAAGCGACACGATATTGCCGTGATTTTTCATTATGTGAGTTATATGTTATAATATTAAAATATTGTAATATATTACAATGTTACTATTATTACATTCCTTTATGTTTATACATATTGTGCGTCTTCAAATCAAATGAAAATTTTTCGGCTACGTGAAGATAATTTTCCCCCAGAGATGGCGCGCAACGTAACTTTCTGTCGTGTTCTACTCTGCGTGTGTTATATGGTGTTTGTGATGTAACAGATGCACATAACCTGACTCACAAAAATTTTGTGATTGTAGAGTTTTGGGTCTCATAATATCGTATAATCACCAGTAGAACCATGTCGAGGTATGACATTTCCTTCATTACGTGTCCACTGAATTATATTCTACAACATATAAATTCTAAAATGAAATCTAGTACATGACAGGAAAAGTAAGACATGTCAGATTTTGTTAGGCAGTTATTTTGATGTGAAATGAAGCAAAATCTTGCTCTTTGCAGAAGGAAACACCAAACATTTATATAACAATGCCCTATTATTATATGTTTTATGCACATAAATTCTTTTTTATTGAAATCTCAAAGTTAAGTTAATGTGTATAGTGATAGCTTATGATATACAATGATAGTTACATGTAACAGACGTTAGAATCGGATTAATGCCAATATCAGTTTCTAACAATAGGTATTTCGGTTGTATCAACTTTTGTTATCATTAGGTCAGTGTGTACTCATCGTCAGTCATAATGACAATTACTAATTGTCTCATTTTAGAATACCACATATTGAGAAGAATATGGCCCATGAAGGGGACAGGCCCATGAGTATTACACGACGTATGGACAGAGAAAGAGAACGAATGTTAGGAATGACAGATGAGGAACGAGCATGGAGAAAAAAATGGTTGAAGGCTCAGGTACTGGCTCCTGAGGAACCAGTGATGCCAAACAATTACTACAAAGAGATGTACAATCCACTCAGGAGGTTTTACAAATGGCCAATGAACAAGTTCCAAAACATGCTGGAACCAGTTATAGTACGGAGATTTGGGTAAAGTTGACGCTCGCATGGTGAGAAAATAATTACTGTCTATTTACAGGGTCCTACACCTGCCTTGTTTACACGGCACATTATAAGCAAGACAGCAATAGGTATCTTTGGTGTTTATTGGCTGTATTATCATCTAAAATATCATAATATGGTATGTTAGATATGACAGAAGTTTTTTTTAGATTGAGCCGACTAATGTATTTTTCATATAATTACATAATAACTATATATATATATATATATACATATATACACACACATATATATATGTTATTTTGTTTCTCTAGGATTGGACAAGAAAAGGTGGATGGAAAATAACATTAAGCAGACCCAGAATGTATCCTGATAACAAAGATCTGGATGTCCTATATAAAGTGAAGGGTAATCAGTTCCATGTAAATGGTTTTGACAAATCTCCTATATAAATTGAAGAATGCACTTCACATATTTCTTGTACAGCTCTTTTAATAGTATAATATAATAATTGTTATCCCAGTAATAAATACAAATGCTGATAGGCATTGTTAGTGGTAAATACAATATTATTTTTGTGAATCCCAATGGATACATTTATTTTGGCAAGATAATTTATATAATTTATATAACTTAATTGTGAATTGATATTATCTGCACACACATTATATACCATTCAATTTATGGTGACATGTTATCCTGCGCTTGCGAAGTATAGTTTTCGCTTTGCGAAAAATGGATTTTTACATCTATATGAGCTAAGATGTTTAAGCCCAGTTCCACAACTTTGGGCTCTGGCACCAAATTAAAGTCCTTTCAAAACCCTACATTTTGGACTACATGGACGACTCTCTACTCCCAGTAGAAGCGGAGATATCGACGGAGGAAGGCTGGATATCGACGGAGAAAGGCTGGAAAACTTTAACCTTCGATATCTCCTAAACGGTTAGAGATACAGGCCTGGCTCTGGTACCAAATTAAAGTCCTTTCAAAACCCTACATTTTGCCGTAAATGGCGACTCCCTACTCCCAGTAGAAGCGGAGATATCAACGGAGAAAGGTTGGAAAACTTTAATCTTCGATATCTCCTAAACGGTTAGAGATACAGGCCTGGCTCTGGTACCAAATTAAAGTCCTCTCAAAACCCTACATTTTCGACTACATGGACGACTCTCTGCTCCCAGTAGAAGCGGAGATATCGATGGAGGAAGGCTGGATATCGACGGAGAATGGCTGGAAAACTTTAACCTTCGATATCTCCTAAACGGTTAGAGATACAGGCCTGGCTCTGGTACCAAATTAAAGTCCTTTCAAAACCCTACATTTTGCCGTAAATGGCGACTCTGTACTCCCAGTAGAAGCGGAGATATCAACGGAGAAAGGTTGGAAAACTTTAATCTTCGATATCTCCTAAACGGTTAGAGATACAGGCCTGGCTCTGGTACCAAATTAAAGTCCTCTCAAAACCCTACATTTTCGACTACATGGACGACTCTCTACTCCCAGTAGAAGCGGAGATATCGACGGAGGAAGGCTGGATATCGACGGAGAATTGCTGGAAAACTTTAACCTTCGATATCTCCCAAACGGTAAGAGATACAGGCCTGGCTCTGGTACCAAATTAAAGTCCTTTCAAAACCCTACATTTTGCCGTAAATGGCGACTCTGTACTCCCAGTAGAAGCTGAGATATCAACGGAGAAAGGTTGGAAAACTTTAATCTTCGATATCTCCTAAACGGTTAGAGATACAGGCCTGGCTCTGGTACCAAATTAAAGTCCTCCCAAAACCCTACATTTTCGACTACATGGGCGACTCTCTGCTCCCAGTAGAAGCGGAGATATCGATGGAGGAAGGCTGGATATCGACGGAGAATGGCTGGAAAACTTTAACCTTCGATATCTCCTAAACAGTTAGAGATACAGGCCTGGCTCTGCTACCAAATTAAAGTCCTTTCAAAACCCTACATTTTGCCGTAAATGGCGACTCTGTACTCCCAGTAGAAGCGGAGATATCAACGGAGAAAGGTTGGAAAACTTTAATCTTCGATATCTCCTAAACGGTTAGAGATACAGGCCTGGCTCTGGTACCAAATTAAAGTCCTCTCAAAACCCTACATTTTCGACTACGTGGACGACTCTCTACTCCCAGTAGAAGCGGAGATATCGACGGAGGAAGGCTGGATATCGACGGAGAATTGCTGGAAAACTTCAACCTTCGATATCTCCCAAACGGTAAGAGATACAGGCCTGGCTCTGGTACCAAATTAAAGTCCTTTCAAAACCCTACATTTTGCCGTAAATGGCGACTCTGTACTCCCAGTAGAAGCTGAGATATCAACGGAGAAAGGTTGGAAAACTTTAATCTTCGATATCTTCTAAACGGTTAGATATACAGGCCTGGCTCTGGTACCAAATTAAAGTCCTTTCAAAACCCTACATTTTACCGTAAATGGCGACTCTCTATTCCCAGTAGAAGCGGAGATATCAACGGAGAAAGGTTGGAATACTTTAATCTTCGACATCTCCTAAACGGTTAGAGATACAGGCCTCGGTCTGGCACCAAATTAAAGTTCTCTCAAAACCCTACATTTTCGACTACATGCACGACTCTCTACTCCCAGTAGAAGCGGAGATATCGAGGGAGGAATGCTGGATTTCGACGGAGAAAGGCTGGAAAACTTTAACCTTCGATATCTCCTAAACGGTTAGAGATACAGGCCTCGGTCTGGCACCAAATTAAAGTCCTCTCAAAACCCTCCTTTTTGCCGTAAATGACGACTCTCTGCTCCCAGTAGAAGCGGAGATATCAACGGAGGAAGGTTGGAAAACTTTAACCTTCGATATCTCCTAAACGGTTAGAAATACAGGCCTGTTTCTGGCACCACTCGCGATTTTCAATCGCGACTTTCTGGCAAACGCTTCAATGCTACGCCGTATCTTTAAGTGCAATGTTAATTTGTCATGCAAATCTATTGACACAACGAGTTTAGTCGAAATCGATTGCTATTGATCATCTCGTTGGATTCACGCCGAGAGTGAAACGTCAGTCTCGGCCGTGTGTCGGGAAGCACAATCTCGGGAACGTTGCGAATTAGAGCGAGGTGGAGAGAACACATTCCCTCTCTCTCTTTCTTTCGCTTGTCTCGTCAAAACAAGCCGAGCGTAGGGCGGGATTTCAGACGAATAGACGGGAGCAGTTTCTCTGCGTATGTGTGCCGACTACATTCTTACGTAGAAACGTACGGCAATTGAAAATGTTTAAGCATATACCCTGAGATTCTATCGGTTGCGTTGACACGTGTGTGTGTGTGTGTGTGTGTGTGTATGTGTGTGTGCGTGAGTGTGTATGTGTGTGTGTGTGTGTGTGTGTGTGTGTGTGTGTGTGTGTGTGTGTGTGTGTGTGTGTGTGTGTGTGTGTGTGTGTGTGTGTGTGTGTGTGTGTGTGTGTGTGTGTGTGTGAGTGCGTATATGCATACGTACGTCACGCACACTTTCAATGCAACACATGCACACGGACACAACTGCGCTAAAAAACGCCTGCCGGAGTATAAATAAATACTAACGTAACGCTGAAATATTTTAGAAAAATAATTTTGGGTACACACAAAATATTATCTTATTATCATATATTTATATATCGATATAAATCGTATATAATCTTCATGATATTAATCATATATAATCTCAATTCTTTTTTTTTTGTACATGTTAACATGTTAATTCATGTTACAAATGCATAACAATGCGCGAGACCGTGCTTGTCAAGTACGCTATTATGGTTGTAGCACGGACATAAACCGCCTGAAAGTGGATGTAGCACGGACAGCCACCAGATGCAGGTTTTACCGTCGAGACCTAAAAGTGGATGTAGCATCGTAGTTCCCCTCTCAAAATGGATGCAGATAGCGCCCATTCCCAGTGCGAAAAATCGGTGTCGCCGAAAACGCCGTGTTGGCCGCTTTCAGCTTCCTCTCTGGACCAGTTATCGATAACTGGAACAGTTATCGAGTTATTAATTACAGAAATCTGACGAGTAAGCGCGCGCCGAGATAGATGGAGAAGTGTCACAGCCGCTTGGGCCACAGCGCGACCTAGTCGATCCAGCACCTATTAACAATAGTTATTACCATTGCTCTTTAATTACCTCTGGGCCCATTCGGGCCCCTTTAGTTGATACGAAAATTTACCCAAGGCTGTCAGTCTTTATATTACCTCTGCTAAAGTGTCACTGCCAAAGAATCGTGGACATTGGCATCGTAGTTCATGTGCACAGTTGTACAGAGAGCGCTTCGCATTCGGCTCGGCTAAAAAAAAGCGGCCCATGACCTCTCTCCTTCTTCTCTCTGATATAAGGTCTGTTCTTTTTAACTGCACTGTTGAACTAGTGCAATAAGTTAAGCCCCTTGCACAATGCCAGGCAACAGGCAATAAGAATAAAAATAGACCAATTACAATAGATTATTCTTGTAATAGTCGATTGTGATTGGTCTATTTTTATTCTTATTGCTTGTTGCCTGGCATTGTGCAAGGGGCCTTAGAGTGAGAAAAAATATAGTTGTTTCATTTTAACTTATTGCACTAGTTCAGCAGTGCAGCTATAAGGAACAGATCCATTACCTCGTCGGTCGTATTCCCTTAAGGCCATTGCACGTAAAAAAATTTTAGTCGTAACCGTAAGACCGTAAGCAAATTGACCAATCACAATCCAGCATCTCGAAATATACGAATTGTGATTGGTCAATTTGCTTACGGACGATTATGACTAAAACTTTTGTACGTGCAATGGCCTTTACCATTCATGTATCTCGCGCATGCGCGTGAAGCTCTACTAATCCTAAATACTACCGGCACACTGCTTTTGGATACTGGCAGTACATGTTGAGACACGGCGATTGTTAGAGGTGAGCGATAAGTTTGTAGATAATATATCTTTCATTATCTAGAGTATGCGTTCTCCCAAATTTCAGAAATAGAGGTATAGCTCGTATAAAAAAGGATGTACTCTATTTTATGTCTGTACGGTCGCGGTCATAAAGGTTGTCACTTTTTTTTTAATGACTTTCGGAACGCATCCCGACTCGAGAAAGATGAGAGCTGCTGCTCCGCCTGTGGAGCACGCCTGCGCAGTAACTCACAACAAAAGGCAAGAAATGAAATATACGTGGTATGCCATAAGTATGTCAACAATCATTCGCGTTCAGTACCGCGATTCTGTAACTCGTTATTGGAGTTAACGACAGTTTCGTTATTGTTGCGCAGCTTTTCTACGGTATACAAAAGCTGCGCAACGATAACGAAAGTGTCGTTAACTCCAATAACGAGTTACAGAATCGCGGTACAGCGAAGACAACCGCTCAGTGAGCGATTAGTGACTAAAAAATACGATTTCACTTAAAATTTAATATACATACCTGTTCAATACTTTGCAAAAGACGCATTCCCATTTGAGTGACTTGCACTATATATCTATCCCTCCGTTGCTGATTTTTCAAAATGTAAGAATTGGGTGCGTTCACGACGGTTGACTCAACGGTTGAGCAACTGTTGAATAATTCGTCAACGTTATTGGTCTAAATGTAAGGATCTAACAGTAAGGACCAATAGTCACTAATCGCTCACAGCGGTTTTCTTCGCTGAATGCAATGATGCTTGACATACTTATGGCATACCACGTATATTTCATTTCTCGCCTTTCGTTGTGAATTACTGCGCAGGCGTACTCCGTAGGCGAATCAGCAGCTGTCATCTTTCTTGAGTCGGAATACGTCCCGAAAGTCATTAAAAAAAAAAGTGACAACCTTTATGTCCGCGACCGTACGTCCTCACCGCACATACGATCGAAGGGGAGGTAGTTGATACATATCGCAGCTGTCCCTCCTCTTTGTATCCCTTCTATCGCACGTGCAAGTAGTGATGCGATATTGATGAAGTTTTCTGCGCATGCGCGATATTTTCGGCATTATACAAGTATCTAAGCAAGCACATGGGGATATCGTTGTGCACCCATATTATTGAAAAATATTTGTAGAGTCCTATATATATATATATATAAACTCTGAAAACTTAAAATTTTTAATATATATTATATATATATGACATAATTATCTAGCATGCATAAACCAGACATCGACATATTAACCTACTGCCCCATCTGCCGGTCGCATCCCGCCAAAATTGCCACTCATATGCATACGTTACTGAATTTTTCACCAATATCACAATACTGCGTGCAAGAAAGAACACGCAGACTCAAAACAGAATACATCCTTTTCTATGCAAGCTCTATTCCTATTTTTCACTGCAGCTTAAATATAATATGTCCATGGATATCTATTATAACTGCTATAGATGGAATCCAACATTTTTTCGCACACTGAGGAGCACCGTACCATGCGTCAGGGGAAATACTCCTCTAGCGGATCCACTAGAGAAAATGCGGAAGCACCGAGAAAATGCGCAGTAGGTGGGGGCCGTTGGAGGAGAAGTACTTCTCTTGACGCGGCACGGCATGGTGCTTTCTACTGTATGCTCAGTTGCTTAGTTTGAAAAACACTCGTTAGAAACCGAATTCTTAATATAATTCTTGGTATATTGGGACTTGGTAGAATACTTGGCATACATATTATTTATATTTATTTATACTTAGTATGTATTAATCAACTTAACATATATTTTTTGTACATCTTTGAAAGAAGTTAGATCTTAATGTAGTACAATTCCTATAAGCATCAATGAAAGATAAAAGAGATTCAGTTGAATAGGTTAAGGTATCCTTTTTTTCTTTATATAAAATAAACCAGTATTCTCTTATTATTTTGATAAATTTATATCAAAGATATTGATAAAAGAAGTTCAGGATACATCATATCCTGTTTTTTGGTAGTAAAAATTATAACGTCTCATACGTTATAACTTATATTTAATGTGCATTGTAACATTTGCTATATGTAACTATTTATTTTAAAGCTAAATTTCTTTTTGTATTTTCATATAAGTCTAGTGAATCAGATACATGGATCGTGGCAAAACAGGAGTTGGAAGAGCTGGCAAAAGTAAAATTGCTCAGCATCCATCAGATTTATTTGCATTAGGATCAAAGAGTTCACGGAATGAAAGTTCTGATGCTAAAAATAGACCAGGTGTTGTTCATACAAAACCAAGTAGTAGTTTGACAACTTCTGGTAAGTAACTATTTGATATTAATGATTCTTGTTTGACAATATTAATATAACATCAAATTAATATTTGTACTTGTATGTATATATTGATATGTATATACTGGTACAATGGTACTGAAAATATACAATGTTATATAGGCAGTGATAGAAAAAAAGATGCACCTTCAGGATCATTACAGTCATTTCAATATATACCACAGAAAAAACCTAAGTTAGCAGGTCATGTTGGTCCTCATCGACCACCTTTCCCTAGTGCAGAAGCTTGGGAAGTTGTAGCTATAGACAGTGATCCTGTTGACTTTGTACCTATGACACTTGAAGCCAATGAGAATGATGAAGGTGATAAAGTTATAGGCATAATATGTGGTGCTGTAAAAACACTGAAGAATCAGAAATGGAAGCCTGAGATACTGATCTACATGGGACTATTATTTATAGCAAAAATTCGCCCATCTATTTTCTCGAATGATTGTATATTACACGCATTGTCATCTCTCTTAAAGAGAGACCAAAGTTATAATTTTAAAAGCAAGGGAAATGCATTGGTTCCTGTATTAGCCGCAAATCTTCTGATGAAAGGATTCTGTGATAAAAAGAACTGGCCAGAAATATTCGTAAAGGTTCTCCTGATTTCATATAATATATCTCATGTTTCACTTTTAATATACTTTTAATATTTACACCAGCCTTTTTACAGCTATATACGGACGATGCCGTCGGGGAACGTGTCTGGATTGATCACGAAGAATGCAAAGGTTTTGTCGACAATATAATGACTGGTTTCAACACAAGACAACCACCTAAATCTGCACTTCAGTCCGAGTTTCCGGTATTAATGCCGCGAGACTGCCAAAGCCCCTCTACAGTAGATGACGAAGATCCGACAACCTCGGCAACATCATTATCTGCGGACAAGGAAAAAATAGAGTTCACTGTTAGTCCGCGATATACACATTGCATAGAGAACGTAGAGTCCATAGTATTGGAAGCAGTAAAAGAACAATTAAATAGACGCCAACCAGAGACCATTACGAGAAACTTTTTGAAACTGCTCTCTGCGACGTGCGGCTTTGTTGAGATCAGAAATATTGCTGTTGCCAGATTAGAAATGTGGTTGCACAATCCTAAATTAATGAGAACCGCTCAAGAAGTGCTTAGTTACGTGTGTTATAATTGTACAACACACACTCAAAGGGATGTCGAAGTAATAAGTCAATTGGTGAAGATGAGGTTGAAGACAAAAGCTGTAATTAATATGTACTTGAACGGTGTCAAAGAACTGATAGGACTACACCCGGAGAATTTAGCTACTATGCTGAAACATACGATCTACAACGAATTGTCAAACGCACGCAATCCGAACAACATGCCCATGCTAGCGATAATGTTTCAAACGTTACCTGAGCAGGCGGCAAAGTTGCTTGCGGAGATTTTTCAGGAGTTACTTATGAACCGTGAAGATTATCTGAGGCCATTGCGAGCGTTACTTCGAGAGATCGTACGTGTGTGTAGGCATGATATACATCTCGTAGCTTTCGCACAAACACTTATGTCCGAGAGAGCGGACTTGGCTCAGCAGTTATTGACTTTCGAGTTTAAGGATCGTATGTTCATGTCCATAGCGGATCTGCTATGTCTTTGTATGTTCATGGGAATAAGCCCGCAGGTAAAGGAAGCGATATCCTTATCACAGCGCGCGGACAAGAAAGACGTCTCTCTGCTGACCAATTTCCATTCACTTGTGTCCACGATACAAATCGAGGCGATACTGTGGTTACAAAACTCGGCACAGCAAATGTATGCTGTCGGGAGAAACGATCTTCTACACGCGTTGCAAAAGATCCTGTACCTGGAGCCTCATGAGCAGTATTACAAACTGGACAATTGGCCGCCGGAGTCGGACAGAGCATTTTACTTACGATTGGTGTCCGACGTACCCTTGCTGGAGGATACACTGTATAGATTGCTGTTATTTGGCCTTTCGAAGGAGAATAGCATTACTCATTCAGAGACGATGGAGCTGACCGATCAGTTGATACGACGAGCCGCCGCTAGTTCGACAGAAAATGTTTTGATGTTACGTGTTGAAAAGACGCAGCTAGTCGAACTTATCTTCAATCTCTCGGTATATCAGCCCCCGGGGACGATAAATATACCCGTAGATTATGTGCCACCGTCATTAGCGATATCTAATCTCTACTGGAAAGGATGGATAATGATATTAATTCTAGCTGCTCATAATCCAGATACGATAGGTGTGAGTGCGTGGAAAAATTATCCTATTTTGAGAACGTTGATGGAAATGTGCATTACTAATCATTTTTCATATCCACCGCCAAGTATGGCTATCCCGGAGATTATGGAACAAGAGCGTTCGAAGGAGCTGCAGGTCGAAGCTATTGAGAAGCAGGATATATTGGAATATGAGTCACACTTGGCCGCAGCGTCTACTCGAATCCAATTGTCCGAGCAGAACAGTTTCTTGCTGTCACAATTGATCTCTATGGATCCAACCGGAATCGCCAGAAGGCCACCACCGGGCGTGCTGGAGCAGATACAGCTGTTGAATACCACTCACCGATTGGGCCATTTGTTTTGCCGATCGCGTAAGCCAGATTTCTTGCTGGATATTATCCAGCGTCAACAGCAAAACACGTCGCAGAGCATGCCGTGGTTGGCAGATCTAGTGCAGAACAGCGAAGGTTCATTAAGCCAGCTGCCGGTGCAGTGTCTTTGCGAGTATCTACTGACTACTAGCCCGCAAACGGTCGAGAAGCAGCCTCGACAACAGCAACTTTTAACCCATCTTCAAACATTGTTGACTGACCCTGATGAAGATCAACAGCACGCTTATGAAGTCCTTGAGTACTTTCTCAGGAGATTAAGTAGCCAACAGAGTAGCAGTCGTCTACAAGCTATCACTGGATTGAGGATGATTCTTGATACTATGACTCTTGATGACGAAAATATGGATGTTGACGCAGAAAACGAGAGGTAAGTTCATAAAAATTCTTGAACTGTGTCCTGGAAAAAAAAAAGAAAAAAGAAAAACACTTGATCTTATATTTCCCGATCTTATATTTAACACATTTTATACTTAACATATTTAATACATTTTAGAGAGAAATGGCTTCTACGAAAATTGCCATCCATACCTCATTTTTTATCAGTACGTGGCTTGCTTTCTACAGCGTTGCGTAGTGCTTGCCAAGTCGAAAATAGTCCTGAATTGGTGCAAGCTTACATCTCGTATCTAGCAACACACACCGTCGATGATGATCTACCTGAATTAACCGACTTAGCCAATGAAATCTCTCAATTGGTAGTTGAACGCAGCACAATTATCGCTGCCATTTTACCGCAACCCGAAAGCGACAATCAGCAAACCAGACAAACCCTGCATGCTTTTATGGCGATTTTCTGTAATTATCTTCAGAAGGCTCGCTTGCCGAGACGAGAAGATTATCAATGGTCAGAAAGTCAGGACCAAATTCTCGTCCAATGGAGCAATGGAGAAGAATGCACTATGCATATCCTTGTGGTTCATGCTATGATTATACTGTTAACGTACGACACATCAGAAGACGATTCGTTGTTTAACAGTTTGCTGGAGACGTGGTTCCCGTTAACAGAACCACCAAAGGCCTTCCTTGTTGACACCAGCGAAGAAGCATTGCTTATACCTGATTGGCTTAAATTAAGAATGATCAGGAGTAATGTCCCGCGGTTAGTTGATGCTGCATTGAAGGACCTTGAGCCTCAGCAATTAGTACTTTTCATACAAAGTTTCGGGATACCTGTGTCTTCTATGAGTAAGCTGCTGCATACGTTGGACAATGGTGTCCAAATAGACCCAGGATCAGTCGGTGAAGCTGTACTGGACAAAACATATATGGCACAGTTGGTCCAAGTGCAACACAGAAGAGGCGCAACGGGCGGCCTGGTTTTTGTCCAAGTGTTGCAACTAATAGAGCCGCAATTGCCCGACGAGAGCATCTTGACCATACAGAAGCTGCAGAAGCCGTTGCCGCCGAGCGCCACGGTGCAGAAGCAATCAGTGATACAGTGCTCCGTCAAGACTGATGTACCTCACTTGATAAATCGGCTGTTCATCGAGAATATCCCCATGAATCAGAAAATGGACGCGTACAGGCGTCTTCACAAGATCCTGTCGAAGGATCTACAACGCTGCGGGAAGGAGAGCGGCGCGGTGGTGCTGGCGATACAACATATATGCAGCGTGTTGAGCTCTATGCAGGTCAAACAATTCTTGACCTCGCTCGTGCATATACGACATTGTTCGTGCAATTTAATGCGCATGATACTCTTTCCGCTCAAAAAGCCAATGATGTCGCAACACATACTTGATTTGGCACGTAATATGTGCTTAAACCTGATATCGTTGATAGGCGATGTGAAGGCGCCGGTGCTCTCGATCCTCCGGGATTTCGCCAACGTGCAATTGACGAAGACGTCGCAACGTACGGAATTGTTGAGGTTGATCCAGAATCATGAAAATCCTGGTTCGATGTTGGAAAGCACGGACCCTGTGAATCTAGAGGATGTAGGCCGCAGATTGCTGGATCTTTGTCTCAAACAGCAGAAGAACGACGTCTTGGTCGAAGCGATGGCGAAACTATTAGTCAGTGATAGTAACGAAGGTGCGTTGAAGCCTCGTACGGGCCTGTTGATTGATTGGTTGGCATCGGTAGAACCCGAATTAATTGGTACTTGTCCCAACCTACAAATGAAACTTTTGTTTGGAAAGACGAAAGTACGTATTGTTATCGACGGAAGTGTCACGAGCTCTCATTCTTGCAGACCATATTTGTTGACTTTGTTGACACACAGAGCCAGCTGGACCACTTTACACAAATGTGTTCAGCATTTGTTAAGTAAATGCGACGACGGGTAAGTAAAAACATATCTTACAAATGGGCATAATAGATAAGAAGAAATATCGAGAATATCAGAGAACTGGCAGTATTAGAAATTGAGGAGCTTTTGCTTACCAGGCAAGTACTCCACTCTACTGACTAACCAAGCTGTCATCCTGATAATCTCTTCCTATTTTTATTGATAGTCTTAATTATCAAGATTACTGATCAAGTTACTGATCGTTTGATAATTTACGTAAATGTATATGACATAAATTAATGTTTTATACAAAGAAAAAGTGCATATTACGCAAATCAGTGCTATATTATATAAATTAGTGTATATATTCTATACTTACAAAACTATATTTATATACTATAAATATGGAAAATTATAAACCTTTACGAATTGTAGATACGATCCAACTGCTGTATTGGATTTCTTATGGGCGTTAACATGTAATCCAAAATTATGGCAAGGTAGAGATAAATTCACACCGAAACATTATGTCCCGGAAAATATTTTGCTTCTGCAACAACAACAGTTACTTAACTTAGTGGCGTACATAGTGGCTGAAGCTATCAGTATTTGCAATATGCAGAACAGGAACGCAGCTCTTGCTAAGATGTATGTAAGACTAGATCTATTACTACATTGCATATCCGTTGAAAATCACTTGATCGCCAGTGTGGTTATATATTTAGCAGAACGCATGATGGGTAATAGCAGGTATATATTTTACAATTATTTATATAAATGTGACCATTTGCGGACGATACCGTCACCACGGCGGTAACACGATTTTGCTTCTCAGGTCGAATGCCGCTGCTACAGCGGTAAACAAATAAGAAACGCCAATGCGAAGTTTAATGTACAATCTTATTTTATACATGCTCGACCTGCTGGGAAACAGAGTTGAAAGAATACTCGTCCGCAAAGGGTTAATATATACAAATATAAAGGAGCGTCTGACAATGCGTATGACTGCTCATTTCGTTTGAGATATCTCGAATTTGTTGGCAATCTATGACCAACTGCGAGTGGTACATATTTGTTTTACGAGCGATTGCACGCGTTGTGTTAGATATCCTTTATATATTCTTTATATATTTCAAAAAAATGGCCAATAGAAGTAGATTATTATATATATATATATATATATACACAAGATCAATTCTACAAAGATTTAATAATTTTTGACGGTACAATAATGCACCGCGAAGTTTCTGCATATAAAACTTTCGCGTAAAAAATTGACACTTGTATCTCAATTATTATTAAATTCGGTAAGTTCGTGGGGAAATTTTTACAAAAAATTCGAAGTCGATACTTTTATAAACAAAAATAATTTTTTTGTTCTATTTCTCGTTCTCTCTCTCTCTCTCTCCCTCCCTCCCTCCCTCCCTCCCTCCCTCTCTCTCTCTCTCTCTCTCTCTCTCTCTCTCTCTCTCTCTCTCTCTCTCTCTCTCTCTCTCTCTTCCTCTTTTCTCTTTCTGTTCTCCCTTTTCTCCTCTCTTTTCTTCTCTTTTTCCCTTTTTAGTTGGATTCTAGGTATATGATATTGATTATACTCCGTTGACAACATAGACGTAAATTCAAACAAAACATTACATTTCAAAGAATGCTTTTATTTTTGCAACAACCACAGTTGCTTCACTTAATAGTGGCTCAAACTGTCACTATTTGTAATATGCAGAACAGGAACTTGTGTTGTTGATATATAGAATATCTAGTGGTAAATATATGAAATATCTATGTGTGTCATATACTTATAAATTATGTTAATGTGTCAAAAATAAAAAAACATACTATTCTGCATACAACGTACAATTCTGAATTATTAATTAAGAAGATAGGTGAACGATCATGCCGCGACGCGGTGGATAGCGACATCCGCTGTCATGTAGATTATGTCAAACTGTGAACATGAAAAAAATGTTACTTCAGCATTCGCTTGTTGTTGTTGGTGGGTAGAAGGTTGAGACATCGTCTTGTGCGCTATCATTCATTAATTTTCTTGACGATATAACTTTATTTTGTTCTTCTCTTTTTCGGTAGTAAGTCATTGAAAAAAACAAGAGTAAAGTTGTGGTCTTAGGAATATCTTATAGTATATGACTTTAAGACACTTTCTTATAATGTTTGAAAGACTTCTGTTTTTTGATTAAACTTAAACAAGACGTCCTTTAAACATGCATATTACCCGAGATGATTATAAAAGTATCTGCTTCTTTGTATCTTTACTATATTATACAAATAATAATTATGGACTTTTCTTACTGTTTTCAAGTATTGCAAAAGGATGCAATTTATTGTTTTCAAATGTTGTAAAGAAACTAAGCCGCTGAATTGACTATTAATTCTTAAAGCGGTATTTGGTTTAATACATGTATTTGTAAATATTACAAATTTTTACAAATTTAGAATTGTAAAATTTAATCTTTTCCCACCAGCTTATCAAACATCAAATGGAATTATGATTATGAGATACAAGCAATGGCCATTTAAGATGTATTAATTTTATCATAGATTTATATACATAGACTGTCTTCTTGCGAGAGTTTTGAAGACATGATATAAAGGAAAATACATCATACATATGTTTTGGATCTGCTGTCTCCATCTAGCTTCTTGTTATATTATATTTCTTCAATAGAGTATAAAAAAAAAGTTAAGTAACAAATGACACAGGCTATCCTTGTTAGGTATAGTCTTTGCAGCCTCTTGTGGAGCATTCAGACTATGTATGTAAGCCTATGGATTTAATATCCATCTCTTTAAGATTTCTGCTTCCTTGCCGCGGCTATATTTTGAATTATAATGTCACATGATAATGCCTTATGGCTCCTGGTCTTTCACCACTCAATTCCTGATTGATGACGTCAGAAGCAAAGAACACATTTTTAAAATATTCTGATGTCACCATCCAAGATGTCACGGTGAGCATCCAGGAGCCTTAATGCATGCAACTAAAACGGTTTCATGTTCCTTTCTTTACACAATTTTCTTTAACTTGCAGCGTAGATTCAGATATGACTCATCAATTTCTGTTGCACATGTACATGAAAATTCCTAAAGTCATCTGTTACCTGAGCATTTGCCAAACGAACAAATTCGTCAATGGAGCAAAAATAACCGATTGGGTGGGCTCAGTGCTCGATTGCATGAGCCATTCTTTGTTGACAGCTTTGGCAGCAACGCCCAGACAAAAGTCTTGGAACTCCAAATCCCAAGAGTTCGAACTGTGTGCTAGAAAAATGGCAGCAGTACATCCGATATTAGTGTTACGACAATTGCCGATGTTAGCGTCTTCCTTGATGGGAAGATGTTATCTTGATTTCGGGCAATTTCGCACAGGCCACCATTTGAATCTCTTCACGCAAGTAATGGGTCTGCTCGAGCTTTTGCAACCGCATTTGTTTACAGAAGAACACGAAATTTCGTTGGAGAATAATTTGGAGAATTACTTCCAATGCTTTCAAAATTATGGACCTATTAAGGATCTGATACCTTTGCTCAACAGATTCGTGTCGTTATTACAATCCTACATCACACACGATCCACAACGGGCAATGAGATACTTACAAAAACATGCACATATCCTGCACGAATTGCAAGTGCATTATCCTAATTTAACTGCTTTGAGAGTACTCGTATCGAGTATACCTGTGCCGAAAGAAGGAGACGACGCGGATGATATCCCAATCACTATAGCTCCCACACTTTCACCTGCCGAATCAGTTTTCCCACAGCATTGGCAGTCATTGTTGGCCACTCTTACGAAGTTGCATGGTGAAGGTACAGCGATATGTTTTTTCACGATACTTTTTCCTTTCACTAAGTAATGTTAATATAAACGACCTGCGAACATGATTATTTTTATAATATATGTGCGACATGAAAAATTAATCAATTTTTATCATTTACAATTATCTTATATGATACAACTTCTTTCATAATATTCTATATCTGAACGTAGATGTATTCAACGCACTTCAGGAGATCGAGCATTTATCATCACGGAAACCTTTAGTTTTGGAGCCCATAATGGATAATATAGCAGAGTTGTTGGTATCTCCACAGGGTAATATTAGAACTCTAGCGCATACTCTCCTTGCCAGAGTACTGAAACATCGTCCTTTGCCAAACGCGAACATATTATCGGCATTCCAGCGGTGTTTGGATAGTCATAGAGCGGATGTTCTTCTATCAGCTCTGGAAAAACTACCAGACATTGTGCTATGTATGCAAGGTAAAACGCCAATTTATATAAAACGAATTTCCCTTGTTATTGTTTTATGAGTGAATTTTTTTTATTTCTCTGTTTTAGAACATGCTTTACCATTGATGAAAAAGGTGTTCGAATTGGGAGTAAATTCGAATGTCAACACTATACCTTTCATCATTAAAGCTATTGCTCTATTAAACACGCAACAAGGTTGTTGAGGCTCTTAAGTAAAATAAGATAAAAAGAAATGTATAGAGAGATTTAAAATAATATAAATAAAATAAATATTTTTGTAAGAATATTTCACTTGAAAGAATATTTCAGATTGCACAAATATGCTTTGGTAATCTAAATTCTTTTGTATAAATTTATATGACATATAAGAATTTTGACCACATATTTTTTCATTTCTGACATTATGAATCAAGAGTTCCACGGTAAATTCACAAGAACTTTAACTTAATTTAAGAGGTTATTTTAATAATAAAAAAATTAATAAAATTTTCTATGAATAAAATGGTATTTTCTACGAATTAATAAAATATCCGTTTTCTATAAATTAATAAATATTATTTATCTAACCTTTTAGAGACTGTATCTTTTTTATATGAATATGAATGTAACTACAAAATAAATAAAACAAATATTTTACATTTTAATTATACTTTATGTTTACTTATATTACACTTACATGGTTATGGGAAAAAAAAGATATTTAAATTCGCATTATTTTAATTTAAATAATCATTTTTAATAGTGTATAATACAATGCATTATTTACATTTAGATTAATTGCATCAAGGCAATGCAAATTCAAGCATCTTATTTTTTTTATACAAATATTTACATATATAATTATAAAACTCTATTTTCTAGGAAAAACACAGAAATTTATAATATAAATTTATTGAAAAGCTTCAGGAGTTACATTATTGACCGCATAGTTTTTCATAAACATAGAAATGGCGTTTCTTATATCCCATTCCGCATCCTGAAGGTATTTATAGCAGTATCTAATATTCATTGTAGTAAGTTCGCGTAAAAATCTAAGTAGTTGCTCCTTCTCAGACACACTAAGTACTGTTGGAGAAAATTTAGGAGCAGATTTAAATTCATATTTTACATCGCTGTTATTAGCAGGCGTACCGTCGATATAATATTGGTCATTAGTGATACAATATTCATTGTCTTCCTTTCGTATGATAATGAAAGTCCGATTGAATAACATGGGTGAACAGGGTAACGTCCGATATGAAAATAATCCCTGTACCGAAATAGCTATGTGATTGTCTCCTTCGTTTAACAAATCGATATAAAAAGTCTTAAAGTTGTGTAACGTTGGTGGCTGTCGTTGAAGTGCGGTGATTATCTTTTCAGGTCCCCATAACAGGAACTCATGACATTTGGCATAATCCACGAATTTCAACAAATTTCTGTTTGTAGAGAATGTTTTAATGATTTCCTTATATGTGTGATTTGTTGTGGTACCTAATGTCATGGAATATACCGCATTCTTGTCATACAAACCATTCATAACTATTCTATCGTCTTGATCATATAACGTAAAGAAATGTCTGACAAATTGCTTAATCAAGGAAATTTTTGTTCCACTGCCGAGATAATTACTCTGTATACAGGGTACGAATTTCGTTTCCATTCCTATGACAATTCCATCTAGCTTCTGTAGATGCGGAAAAACATTTTTCACAGCATGTACATATTCCTGGGAGCTTGTATATTTTGTGCAAAGTGGATTCCCATCCAACCAAAGTTCGCTTATTTTAAATTCGCAGAAATAACGCAAATACTCTACGTCCATAATCTGATTATGCCTCAGATCTAGTTTAGTCAAATGGTAACTGAAGAACTTGTCAAATAGTATGATAGCTGTAATCTTATTGTTCTTCAGGCTTAATTCACGCACAGGCAATCTGGACTCTCGATTGTTACCCATAATTCCCATTTTGCTACAAAGCAGAATAAAATGTAGGATCTTTGGTATAGAGATCGGGCAAAATATCGAACCTAGTGCCTTCTCATTCTCGAAATCATCAAGATTGAATACTTTTTTTATCGGTTCATATCTATCATGTAGAGCTTGCGCAATGACTCTATTTGTATTTAGTTGTAGTTTGTGTACACTGAAAAATCCCAACACAATGTCCATGTACAATTCTTGACCACCTGGCAATGTTATACATAGTCCTTGCTTCACTATATTTTCAATGGTAGTAGCACTGCATTTTGCTAGGAATGTACTCTTGTGTTTATCTTCGATGGTATACATAATTGGTATTAGAAATTCTGATTCACAAGCAGTTACTACAGCACGTATGACATCAGTCCGACTATGTAAAGCACCATTAAAGATGATAAATTTGTGCCACAAATCTTTACGACTCGCAAGGTTCATCTCATGACTGTCAAACGATGGCTTAGAATGTGAAAGTCGATGTGGCTCCCACGATAATTTTATTAAATTATTATTTGATGTCGTTGTTGGTAATGCCATTATTAACTTATTGTGAAGAATGATTCCAAATTCCAAATTCTTCCAAATTCTTTATATATCAAATTACCTAATTATATAAAGCCATAATATAATAATCGAGTTTTCGTATAGTTTTTCTAAATCTTGCAGACACTCTCACTGAAAAATTATCTTTTTCACAAAGCTATACGTAATGTTTTTGAGCTGTTTCTCTTACCGAATTTATGTTTCTTTTCTTACGATGTTTCTTACGATGTCACTTCACCTATTCTTTTCTCTATCTTTATCTTTCAGTCTTATTTTATTTTGATAGAAATATATAGAAATAAGTCACGGTATATTCCATTAAAAGCATCGATAAGGTTAAATATTGTCAGCTTTACGGAATTTAACATGTATAAAAACCTTTACAATGTACCAATATTTTAACCTTAACTGCGGAACCTTCAGAATAACGTTTCAGCTTCAGGTTAGAATATTTATGATGCTTTCAACAGGCTATGAAAGAATTAGGCCGTAAGCAACACTGGAATGTCGACTAGCTAAAATTTCGGTTCCTTCGTAGAAAGCGCCACGTAAAGTGCTCAAAGTTAATTAAATGAATAGTAGTTTCCCCGCCTTATTTATATATCAGAAATATGGTTAGTTTAAATTACTTTCTCCTTGCTCTGATCTACAAGATAACTCTATTTTTGGTTTTCAGCATCAAGAACAAATTATTTGTATTAATTACATGTATCATTGATTGAATTAAAAAAAAAAAGAAAGATATTAATCTCATATTTATTAGCTTATTACGGTTATTTTTTCTTATAGTTCTTTAAATATGTAAAATCAAATTTTCATTATCTAGATAATAAAAATTCAATTGTGCACATAATAAAGAGCCTATTAAAATTCTATTAATTTTCTCTCTCTCTCTCTCTCTCTCTCTCTCTCTCTCTCTCTCTCTCTCTCTCTTTGTTGACACATATCAAACATCAAAATGTCACTCTTTCTCTAGATACATTCTCGCTTCCTGGATTAATCAATAATTATGGAAAACGCTTAACTAGAAACAATGTAGTTACTCAGAAATTTCTGTTAATTATCAATTAATGGTAAAAAAGTCCGTGTGCACACGTCTAAAGTATGTAGGTAAGGTCTGTATATACACGTGCAAGGTATCTGAGTGTACAAGATCTGTGCTATCAAAATAATTTTTGAATTCAGTTCTCCAATATCACACAATTGAATAATAACAATGATTTATATGTATATTTGTATGTGTACTGTTTATTATTATATATTTTTGCATTAATATAATTATTTGCGTATTTTCGAAGATTATTGAGAATATGCTTTCTATTTCATTTCTCGTTAATCTACATTTTGGTTAGATTGCATAAATATTCGTAGCGTCGTGAAATAGGAGAATATGGTCGACAAATACTGTAAAAATCGTAATATATTAATATTCTAATGTTATGGTTTAATAGCTTATTATGTAGAAATTATTATAGCCTACAATATAGTTTTGTATCTATGTAGATAATATGACAATTAATATAATAGTAATATACATTAAAACTTTTCTTTACCGATGCATAATAACTTAGTGATAATGAAGGCATAACACAGGGTATCATAATTGTCAATGGTTTTTGAGCTCTCATTAACATGATCTGTACACTTTTCTGCAGTTCTACTGAATGTTTGTACCATTTCGCACTATAAACGGCCTCTCCGATTTTGTTACACTATAAAAGAGTTATCATATTTATTAGAGTTATCATATTTTTTATGAAATTTTATATAAAATGAGAGAGAGAGAGAGAGAGAGAGAAAAAGAGAGAGAGAGAGAGAGAAGTCGTTTTTTCCAGCGATAAGATACACTTACAATATAAATTAAATGTTCCGCTGGCCAGGTATGCATAAATACTTCCGATAATCCGCTACAAATTAAACCAACACATTGAATTTTTATTGATAGTCGCTGCTCCTGTTTAAAACAATGTACAAATTACTTTCAATTGATCAAAATATTTTCATAAAAAATAAAAGCCATCATATTCTATATATGTATAAATATAAATTTTTAATAATTTTTAACGAGAGTACAATGATAGATAAGAATCTTTTTGAAGGCTTGAAGTTAATGTTTTGCAATACATAGTATTATTGCAGAAAATAACATTAGAAATACGAATACTTACAGTAATAAAAACAAGACCCAATATTATTAATGCAGAAGTACTACAACATACAACTATGAATGCAAAGGGACGTATTACGCGAATAACTTGTTCCGTATACCTAAAATAGATGCATGGCGTGTATCAAGTTACAATATCATATTTTTATTAAAAAATTACCTCTTTTTTTATATTTCTAATTGATTGACATCATAAATAATAATAAAATGTAATATAATTATCATTTTTATCTTATAGCTCCAAAAGAACATGGCCTATTATGTTTTCTAATGTAATTAACATAAATAATCATGTAACAATTAACATTTAATAATTACATCTATAATATCAAAATCTGTCAAAAGATTTTGATATACACATACTGTTATATTCCTAAATTTTAGTAGAGTTTCATTGAAATATATATATAAATACTGGATGCAATGTACGCTTTAAAAATATACATATTAAAATTATGAATATTTGCGATACAATAAATGAAACACGTAATTTGGTATTTAATATATCTCACTTTAACAATTTCTGATGTTCTTGAATGCATTTCATCAAATCATAAATATTTCTAATTGCACGCAGATTTTCGGTTAATAATTCGAATCTCGCCGATGTAAACCAAAGTAAAAGCGATGTGAAGATATTTATACATATGTGACTAGCAGCTTGTAATGCACATATAGATTGATGTGCATAAACAATCGTTTTCATCGGTTGGTAGGAAACGTCAAATGGATATTCTGCCATTGTCGGGAATGGTTGATTAAGTGTTACAGGTCCACAGATAAAGATAATAGTGAATAGATATACATTGATTAAAGAGCCACCGTAAAAGATGACACATTTGCTTATATATTTTTGTAAGATAGCTTCCTCGTGTGGTTTGATCAATTTATAAAAATTTTCCATCTCAAAAATGATCGACTGGAATTGATTATATGCACTTTATATACGCAAAGAAGACGTGCATAATAATTAACACTATTTTCCTGGTATCACATATTATTCCTGACATTATAAGCATTTATGTTAAATATATTTTTGTTTTAATTACTTGTAAATGATGCAAATTAATTCTATATACTACAATATTGCATATCGCATGCATAGTAGCGCATATAATTATTATCGCTTCTGCCATAATAATATGATTATTAAGGTGATTTTTAACTGTATTCATTAATGATAGTGCCAAGCTTAAATGTAAAAGTATCGAGAAGTACTGATACAATGCTACACAGATAACTTTCAATTTAATTGCATCTTTTGGTTGTGGCCAAAAACAAATAACGAACAGACTTAATTTTACAACATAGATTACTTTTGCTAGCGTTAATTTTTCTCGCATGGTTCTATAAAAAATCACATATGTATTTATTCAAAATGTTATCGCGGAAATTTTATTGAAAATTAGTTGATTTAAAAATTAAGAAAGAAAAGAAAAACCGAAAGGTTCTTTCATTCTAATTTAGAAAATAGCTACTTTACATGCAATTAATATCTGAAGCAATGACCCATATAAATAATTAAATTAAATTATTAGGTTTACAAATTAATCCGTTCCATTTATCTAATAAAATTCAGCGTTAATTTACAGAAAAATGAAATATTTTAATTCTCGGAATATTCGCTACTATTATCAATAATTTTCCTCTTTGTGTCGGATATCTGATAAATCATTTCTTGAAAAAAAGGTGACGACTTTGAATTGATAAATTTGTCAACATTTTTATGAAACTCTCTCTTTTCTAGGATAAAATTATATATAAATATATATTCAAAGAGAGATAAAATTATATATAAATAAACATGTAAAGAATATACTAAAATTCTCGTGTTTAGCGTAACCGCTTCTGACTAGAATTATTGCTTCCAAAAGTTGTGAAATATTTTCTATTAATTTCTGAACATAATCTATTCTTATATTTTTAAATGGCACAATCTATTATAAGAATTATGACACGAATGATTATGAAATGCTCGTGGAGACTTTGTAAACGTCAAAATAGAATACTCTCTCGTTGTACATTTCTTGTAAAATAAAAACGGCAAGCATACCGCACTATATATATTTATGTTCCACGCATTAGCATTCATACCGATATTAACTATAAAAGAAATGGAATTTTAAAGAATCAGATAAATTCATCAGTTAAATCATTTTAACACGTATTTATGTTATTTTATGATATAACTGTTCGTCGAAATTATAATAGATAGAGCTTATAGACGGTAATCTTAATAATATCTACGTAAGACGGATATGAAGCAACAGAAGACTAATAAATTATGGAGTATGCAAGATATTAAGTGGGTTGCGCTATAATACAGCATAACAATAGCTCTAGATAATACATACATTACGCGGAATAAAACTTCTTAGTGCAGCTTTAGTCACGTTGCAATGCTGCAGAAGTAAGGAGTATATTTTACCTGTCATGAATAAACTGTGCAGATGTGTTTAAAATAATTTTTATTACTGTCTCTCAAGGACTCTATTTTTTTTCGCACATGGATTTTCCTTCCTCTTGTTATTAAAGTATAGAGAGGTGAATAATATTTTACTCAATAGTTTAGTATACTACTACTACTATTCCTACTACTATTACTACTACTACTACAATTACTACTGCTGCTACTGCTGCCATGTATGTATTGCCATGTATGTGGCGTATTATTGTTATGCGTGTATATATATATATATATATATATATATATATATATATGTTACCTCACTATGTTGCTTACTGTATATAATAAAAGTTAAATTTTCATTATGTACGTTATAAATCCTATCAAAAATCTATTAATTCTCTTTCTTTTCGTTAACGCATAGATAAAACATCAAACTGTCAAAGTATCACTCTTACTTTAGATATATACTCGCTTCCTGGATTAATCAATAATTACGTGAAATGCGTAGCTAGAAACAATGCGGTTAGCCGGGAATTTTTAGTAATTGTCGATTTATCGATGGTAAAGCATTCGCGGGACTGAGTCCGCGAATCTGCTATCAAAACAATTTTTGAGAATTCATTATTTTCCCAATACCACACGATTTAATGATAACAATGATTTATATGTGTATTGTTTATTATTATTTATTTCTAGAACGAATACAATGATTTGCCTACTTTCAAAAATTGTCAAGAATATGCTCTCTCTTATATTTCTGGTTCGTCAACTTCTTGGCTAGTTTGCATAAATATTCGTAGCGCCGTGAAATAAGAGAATATGGTCGACAAATACTATAATAATTGTAATATGTTAATATTCTAATACCGTTATGGTTTAACAGCTTATTATTTAGAAGATTTATCATAGCCTACAATATACTTTTGTGTTTACATGATATAACAATTAATATAATAATAATATATTAAAACTTTTCTACCTTTGTATAATACCTTTGTATAATAGTTTAGAGATAATGGTGGCATGACGCAAGGTATCGTAATAAGCAGTGGCTTTTGAGCCCTCATTAAAATGATCTGTATACTTCTCTGAAGTTCTACTGAATGTTCGTACCATTCCACACTATAAATAGCTTTTTCGATTTTGTTATTCTGAAAAAGAAATATCATGCATAAAATACTAAATAATTCTAATATAAAATTCTATGAAATAAGAAAAGTCGATTTTTTCAGCGACGAAATATATTTACAACATGGATTAAATGTTCCGCTGGCCAGGTATACATAAATACTTCTGATAATCCATTAAAAGCTATACCAGCGCATTGAATTTTCATTGACAACGGTTGATCCTATTTAAAATAATGCATAATTTCTTATAATAGATCAAAATATTCCATTAAGAAATCCAAACAGCAAAAGGTGCAAAAACAGATTTTGCATAGTATCTGCTGCAGATTCTGTCAGAAGTTTATTAGCAGAAATATAACAAGATCTGATGGCAGAATATTATCCCACACACATGTGAAAAAATACTGATGACAGAAATCGAAAAGGATTTGTCATGTCAATGTATTTAAATGGAGCATATTGTAGATCTTGCTTGTTTTCTGCCGTTAATCTACACTCAGATTCTGTCAGCAGATTTTGTCGACAGGACACGAGCGGGATACGAACACAGATGTCTACGGATCTGTCGACAAATCCTAATAGAATCTGTTGCCCATTTGTTGATAAATTGTTAACAGATTTTTTTCTGGAGAATAAAAGCTATATTAACCTGTATAAATAAATATAAATTTTCAGGAATACAATAGCGAACAAGAATTTTTTGATGATTTGAAGTTGGCGTTTTGCAACAGTACTATTACAATAAATAATCATAATGCGAATACGTACAGTAACAAAAATAAGACCCACTATTATTAATCCAAGGGTACTAAAACACATAACTATGAATGCAAAGGGACGTATTGCGCGAATAACTTGTTCCGCATACCTAAAATAAATGTATGGCGTGTATCAAACTAAAATATCTTATTTTTATTAAAAAACTATTTCTTTTATAATCTAATCGATCATAAATAATAATAAAATGTGATGTAATTTTCATTTTTATTTTATAGCTGCAAGAAATGTAGGCTATTATGCCTTTTAATGTAATTAATATAAATAATTTTGTAACAATTAACATTTATTATTCATATCTATAATATCAAAACCTGCTAAAAAACACACACACACATTTACTGTTACATTTCCAAATTTTGGTAGAATTTCAATGAAATACATATATAAATATTGGATGCAATGTACACTTTGAAAATATACATGTTAAAATTATAAAGAATATTTGCGATACAATAGGTGCAACAGTTAATATTAGTATTTAATATGTCTCACTTTAACAATTTCTGATGTTCTTGAACACACTTCGTCAAATCATAAATATTTCTAATTGCATGCAGATTGTCGGTTAACAATTCCAATCTCGCCGACGAAAACCAGAGTAAAAGCGTAGTGTAGGTATTTATACATATGTGAGCAGAAGCTTGCAATATACATATAGACTGATGTATATAAGCAATCGTTCTCATCGGTTGATGGAAAACATCAAATGGATATTCAGCCATTATTGGAAAAGGTTGATTAAGTGTAACAGGTCCAGAGATGATGATAATAGAGATCAGATATATACCAATTATAGATCCACCGTAAAAAATGACACATTTGTTTATATATTTTTGTAAGATAGTTTCCTCGTGTGGTTTAATCAATTTATAAAAATTTTCCATTTCGAAAGTAATTGACTGGAATCGGTTATATACACTTTATATAGAAAGAAGACGTAATAATTAACATTATTTCCTCGGTCAATCATCCCATAATATGACTTCTAATATTATAAACATTTATATTAAATATATTTTTGTTTTAATTACTTGTAGACGATGCCAAATAATTCTATATACCACAATATTGCATATTACATGTGTAGTAGGGCATATAAATATTGCCACTTTTACCATAATAGCAGGATCATTAAGGTGATTTTTAATTGTATTTATTAGTGCTAGCGTCAAGCCTAAGTGTAACAGTATCCAGAAGTACTGACACAGTGCCACACAAATGATTTTTAATTTAATTGCGTCTTTTGGTTGTGGCCAAAAACAAGTAATGAACACACTTAATTTTATAAAATTAATTACTTTTGTAAACTTTAATTTTTCTCGCATTTTTCTATAAAAAAAATCACGTATGTATTTATTGAAAATGTTATCACTAAAAATTTTATTGAGAATTAGTTGATTTAAATAGTTTTCATGATATAATAGATACAATTAAGAGCAAAATTAAATGGAAAAAAAAGAAAAACCGAAATGTTCATTCATTCTAATTTAGAAAAGAACTACTTTAATATCTGCAATTAATATCTGAAATTAATTTGCATAAATGATTTAAATTATTAGGTTTACAAATTAATCCGTTCCATTTTTTAAATAAAATTGAATGTTAGTTTACAGAAAAGTAAAATACATTTTAATTCTCGGAATATTCGCCACTATTATCAATGATTTTCCTCTATTTTTTCGAACATTTGATAAATCTCCTTTTGAGAAAATGTGACGATTTTGAATTGATAAATTTTTCCGGATTTTCTAGAATAAAATTATATGTAAATATATATTGAAGAGCAAATGACAAAATAGACATGCCAATATATTAAATTTTTCGTGTTTAGTGTTACCGCTTCTGACTAGAATTATTGCCTCCGAAAGATGTGAAATATTTTTTACTAATTTCCGGAGATAATCTACTCTTATATTTTTAAATGGCACAATTTATTATAAGAATTATGACACAAATTATTATGAAATACTTTTAGAGACTTTGTAGATGTCAAAATAAAATACACCCCTGTCGTATATTTCTCGCAAAATAAAGACGGCAAGACATCATACCGTCCGATATATATCTATGTTCCACGCATTAGCATTCATACCGATATTAACTATAAAAGAAATGGAATTTTAAAGAATCAGATAAATTCATCAGTTAAATTATTTTAACACGTATTTATGTTATTTTATGATGTAACTGTTCGTCGAAATTATAATAGATAGAGCTTATAGACGGTAATCTTAATAATATCTACGTAAGACGGATATGAAGCAACAGAAGACTAATAAATTATGGAGTATGCAAGATATTAAGTGGGTTGCGCTATAATACAGCATAACAATAGCTCTAGATAATACATACATTACGCGGAATAAAACTTCTTAGTGCAGCTTTAGTCACGTTGCAATGCTGCAGAAGTAAGGAGTATATTTTACCTGTCATGAATAAACTGTGCAGATGTGTTTAAAATAATTTTTATTACTGTCTCTCAAGGACTTTATTTTTTTTTCGCACATGGATTTTCTTTCTTCTTATTATTGTAGTATAGAGAGGTGAATAATGTTTTACTCAATAGTTTAGTATACTACTACTACTACTACTGCTACTACTACTACTACTACTACTACTGCTACTACTACTACTACTACAATTACTATTGCTACTACTGCTTTCATGTATATATTGCGTGGCATATTATTGTCATGCGTGTATATACAGGGTGTTTGAAAGTTTATCATGCAGACGAAAGTTGGAGATAGATTGGGTGTAGCCGAGAAGAAAAGTCATGTACCATAATGTCAAATTGGCAATAGTTACCGAATTATTAAATTAAACATGTGAGCCAATGAGCGCGTAAAGAGTGTTGGGCGGTCGTCTCTTGTGGCTTGCGCTCGCTCGCTCGTCGTTCGCGCTCGCCTCTTGTCGCTTGCAGTTGCCCCTCGCCGCGCGCGCTCGCCTGTCGACGCTCCTTGATTCCGCCTATACCAAATGTCTACGTGCTTACCACGGCCGCGCAACGCTCTCTACGCGCTCATTGGCTCACATGTTTCAATTAATAACTCGATAACTAATGCCAATTTGACATTATGGTACATGACCTTTCTTCTCGGCTACAACCAATCTATCTCCAACTTTCGTCTGCATGGTAAGCTTTCAAACAGTCTGTATATATATATATATATATATATATATATATATATATGTTACCTCACTATGTTGCTTATTGTACATAATAAAAGTTAAATTTCCATTATGTACGTTATAAATCCTATCAAAAGTCTATTAATTCTCTTTCTTTTCGTTAACGCATAGATAAAACATCAAACTGTCAAAGTATCACTCTTACTTTAGATATATACTCGCTTCCTGGATTAATCAATAATTACGTGAAACGCGTAGCTAGAAACAATGCGGTTAGCCGGGAATTTTTAGTAATTGTCGATTTATCGATGGTAAGGCATTCGCGGGACTGAGTGTACACGATCTGCTATCAAAACAATTTTTGAGAATTCATTATTTTCCCAATACCACACGATTTAATGATAACAATGATTTGTATGTGTATTGTTTATTATTATTTATTTCTAGAACGAATACAATGATTTGCCTACTTTCAAAAATTGTCAAGAATATGCTCCTTCTTATATCTCTGGTTCGTCTACTTCTTGGCTAGTTTGCATAAATATTCGTAGCGCCGTGAAATAAGAAAATATGGTCGACAAATACTATAATAATTGTAATATGTTAATATTCTAATACCGTTATGGTTTAACAGCTTATTATTTAGAAGATTTATCATAGCCTACAATATACTTTTGTGTTTACATGATATAACAATTAATATAATAATAATATATTAAAACTTTTCTACCTTTGTATAATACCTTTGTATAATAGTTTAGAGATAATGGTGGCATGACGCAGGGTATCGTAATAAGCAGTGGTTTTTGAGCCCTTATTAAAATGATCTGTATACTTCTCTGAAGTTCTACTGAATGTTCGTACCATTCCACACTATAAATAGCTTTCTCGATTTTGTTATTCTGAAAAAGAAATATCATGCATAAAATTCTAAATAATTCTAATGAAATAAAATTCTATGAAATAAGAAAAGTCGATTTTTTTCAGCGACAAAATATATTTACAACATGGATTAAATGTTCCGCTGGCCAGGTATACATAAATACTTCTGATAATCCATTAAAAGCTATACCAGCACATTGAATTTTCATTGACAACGGTTGATCCTATTTAAAATAATGCATAATTTCTTATAATAGATCAAAATATTCCATTAAGAAATCCAAACAGCAAAAGGTGCAAAAACAGATTTTGCATAGTATCTGCTGCAGATTCTGTCAGAAGTTTATTAGCAGAAATATAACAAGATCTGATAGCAGAGTGTTATCCCACACACATGTGACAAAATACTGATGAAATCGAAGGATTTGTCATGTCAATGTATTTGAATGGAGCATATTGTAGATCCTGCTTGTTTTCTGCCGTTAATTTACACTCAGATTCTGTCAGCAGATTTTGTCGACAGGACACGAGCGAGATATGAACACAGATGTCTACGAATTTGTCGACAAATCCTGATAGAATCTGTTGCCCATTTGTTGATAAATTGTTAACAGATTTCTTTCTGGAGAATAAAAGCTATATTAACCTATATAAATAAATATAAATTTTCAGGAATACAAAGGCGGACAAGAATTTTTTTAAAGATTTGAAGTTGGCGTTTTGCAACAGTACCATTACAATATATAATCATAATGCAAATACGTACAGTAACAAAAATAAGACCCACTATTATTAATCCAAGGGTACTAAAACACGTAACCATGAATGCAAAGGGACGTATTGCGTGAATAACTTGTTCCGCATACCTAAAATAAATCTATGGCGTGTATCAAATTAAAATATCTTATTTTTATTAAAAAACTATTTCTTTTATATTTCTAATCGATCGACGTCATAAATAATAATAAAATGTGATATAATTTTCGTTTTTATCTTATAGCTGCAAAAAATATACGCTATTATGCCTTTTAATGTAATTAATATAAATAATATTGTAACAATTAACATTTAATATTTATACCTATAATATCAAATCCTGCCAAAAAACTTTGACACACGCACACACACATTCACTGTTATATTTCCAAATTTTAGTAGAATTTCAATGAAATACATATATAAATATTGGATGCAATGTACACTTTGAAAATATACATGTTAAAATTATAATTAATATTTGCGATACAATAGGTGCAACAGTTAATATTGGTATTTAATATGTCTCACTTTAATAATTTCTGATGTTTTTGAACACACTTCGTCAAATCATAAATATTTCTAATTGCATGCAGACTGTCGGTTAACAATTCCAATCTCGCCGACGAAAACCAGAGTAAAAGCGAAGTGTAGGTATTTATACATATGTGAGCAGAACCTTGCAAAATACATATAGACTGATGTATATAAGCAATCGTTCTCATCGGTTGATGGAAAACATCAAATGGATATTCAGCCATCATTGGAAAAGGTTGATTAAGTGTAACAGGTCCAGAGATGATGATAATAGAGATCAGATATATACCAATTATAGATCCACCGTAAAAAATGACACATTTGTTTATATATTTTTGTAAGATAGTTTCCTCGTGTGGTTTAGTCAATTTATAAAAATTTTCCATTTCGAAAGTGATTGACTGGAATTGATTATATGCACTTTATATAGAAAGAAGACGTAATAATTAACATTATTTCCTCGATCAATCATCCCATAATATGACTTCTAATATTATAAACATTTATATTAAATATATTTTTGTTTTAATTACTTGTAGACGATGCCAAATAATTCTATATACCACAATTTTACATATCACATGTGTAATAGGGCATATAAATATTGCCACTTTTACCATAATAGCAGGATCATTAAGGTGATTTTTAATTGTATTTATCAGTGCTAACGTCAAGGCTAAATATAACAGTATCGAGAAATACTGATACAGTGCCACACAAATGATTTTTAATTTAATTGCGTCTTTTGGTTGTGGCCAAAAACAAGTAATGAACACACTTAATTTTACAAAATTAATTACTTTTGTAAACTTTATTTTTCCTCGCATTTTTCTATAAAAAATCACGTATATATTTATTAAAAATGTTATCACTAAAAATTTTATTGAGAATTAGTTGATTTAAATAGTTTTCATGATATAATAGATATAATTAAGAACAAAATTAAATGGAAAAACAAGAAAAACCGAAATGTTCATTCATTGTAATTTAGAAAAGAGCTACTTTAATATCTGCAATTAATATCTGAAATTAATTTACATAAATGTTTTAAATTATTAGGTTTACAAATTAATCCGTTCCATTTTTTAAATAAAATTGAATGTTAATTTACAGAAAAGTAAAATACATTTTAATTCTCGGAATATTCGCCACTATTATCAATGATTTTCCTCTATTTTTTCGAACATTTGATAAATCTCCTTTTGAGAAAATGTGACGATTTTGAATTTGATAAATTTTTCCGGATTTTCTAGAATAAAATTATATGTAAATATATATTGAAGAACAAATGACAAAATAGACATGCCAATATATTAATCTTTTCGTGTTTAGTGTTACCGCTTCTGACTAGAATTAATGCCTCCGGAAGATGTGAAATATTTTTTTACTAATTTCGGAAAATAATCTACTTTTATATTTTTAAGTGGCACAATTTATTATAAGAATTATGACACAAATTATTATGAAATACTCTTAGAGACTTTGTAGATGTCAAAATAAAATACTTCCCCGTTGTACATTTCTCGCAAAATAAAGACGGTAAGACATCATACCGCTCGATATATATCTATGTTTCACACATTAGCATTTATACCGATATTAACTATAAAAGAAATGGAATTTTGAAGTACCAGGTAAATTTTCCAGATAAATTATTTTAACACGTATTTATGTCATTTTGCTACGATGTAACTGTTCATCGAAGTTATAGATAATGCTTATAGATGGTTATCTTACTATCATCGACATCAGACAGATATAAAGCAAAAGTGTAATATACATAAGACGGATATAAAGCAACGGAAGACTAATAAATTATGGAGTATGCAAAATATTAAGTGGGTTGCGCTATAATACAACATAACAATAGCTCTAGATAATACATACATTATGCGGAATAAGACTTCTTAGTACAACTCTAGTCACGTTGCAATGCTGCAGAAGTAAGGAGGACATTTTACTTGTCATGAACTGTGCAGATGTATTTAAAATAATTTTTATTACTGTTTTTCAAGAACTTTATTTTCTTCCAAATATGGTTTTTCTTTTTCCTTGTTATTAAAGTATAAAGAGATGAATAGTTTTTTACTCAGTAGTTTAGTACACTACTTCTACTACTACTACTACTACTACTACTACTACTACTACTACTACTACTACTACTACTAATATTACTAGTATTACTACTACGTATAGTAGTACCATGTATATAATGCGTGGCGTATTATTGTTTTGCGTGTGTGTGTATATATATATATGTTGCTCATTATGTTGCTTATTGTACATAATAAAAATTCAATTTGTTTTATATATATATGTATATATATATAAATAACGCATAAACATATATATTTTAAAGTGATTATTAAACGAGGAAAAAATTTTAATGATAATATGATGCGAGGGTGCGCTTCAGCTGATTTCTTATACAGCGACGGACTGAACGCATCGCGATCTTTACCTCGGCCGCTGAGCGCGAAGTGGTGGCAGGGGGACGATGGGTGTCACCTTTTGAATTTCGCTCAAAATGTGCAGATCGTCTCTAGCTCTGGTTTAAGGTTTAAAGAAATATATTATCTGATCTGTAGATTATTTGACCTGATTTTGTTAATGCTTATCAAGATCAACTTAGATTCTCTTAATGAAGTTGTATATTCTTTTTAACATAAATTGATTTCTTAGATCGTTATGCTTCAAAAGTAAATACTGGTAAGTAAGATTGTCGAGAAATGAATATTTTCTGAGATACTTTGTTATATTTTCTTTTGATACTTTTCAACAAAAGATATCAAGTATCTCGTAAAGTATTCATTTCTTAATGATTTCTCTTTAATATTTTTGTACATAAGATACTTTTTACATATTTTTATACTTGGCATTTTTCTTTCTTTTTACCTTCATAAAATACTTTTTAATGGTCCAATTTTCAGTTCTTTTTCATATTCGTTGAGAATATTCGTGAATTTAACGAGCAGATGAAAGAATCCTGCACAATTTATATGAGAAAAACGTCTTCAGCCAATTGGCTTGAATTTTTTATATATTGTAATTCTTGCAGCCTTGATGAAAAGTTTAAACATTTTTTTTTCATATAAATCGTGTGAAGTTTTTTATAGTATTTATTTCATTATTTCCTGGAATAAACTGAAATTCCAATTCTCATTGATCAAAATGATATCAAAATGATATGTAAATCCTACTTAGATGATACAAAAAATCTCAGATATCAGAAACAAATCAATGAAAAACATGGGACCAAACTGGAAATCTAACTGAACATATTTTCATATCGCAGAAACTCTAAATATCAAATATAATATTTTCAATACAAATAAGCAGAACAAAGAACGTTAAGATTAATAAATATAAATAGCAATAGTAATAATATAAATACATGTGTGGAGTTTTAACAGCTTCCAAAGTTACTTAGACTTAGACTATCTTATGTTTATCGTAACACTTCACAAACTTTGTAGGGTCAAGCTTGCACTCGACGAATAAGACGAGTCCAACAAAGTCTCACCAAACTCGCAGGTTGCTCACCGTCATCTTCTTCAGATATGCTAATTCTGTATACATATAGCTCCATAATCGATATCCTTTAGCAACTAACGAAAACAGCGATATTTGTATACTATCTTCACTAGTTTCTTCACAGAATCGGTTCTTATCCTCATTGTTCTGCAATTCTCACGTGTGCTCTTAGACTAGTATATTTAGTCAACATAGTCCTATGACTAATTTAATCCTCATTCTGTTTATAGAAAGAAGTTCCCCGATTCTGTCTGGGGAGAGATGTCCTATCAGTAATTTAATCTGGATACATTTCTTTCCAGCATTTGAGTACAAATTAAACAATAACAAAAATATGCAATGGAAAATGTTATATCTTTTATCGTCGAAACATTAGTGAGATTAAGTATGCGTTAGGACAATTTATTGTACGATGAGTAATATCCAATGAAATTGTTATATAACACGGCAATAATATTTAATGGCAATATTTACGTATCCTCTAATTCAGCACAATCTCCTTCTTCCTCTTTTTCCTTTCTTAGATGTGTCTATTCACAGAAACGTATAGAAAATAATCCTGAAGATATACCCTATGCTTTCATCAGCGACCTTATACCCCAAGTAAAGCATCAGAGCTACATAGTAACATATTAATGTATTCGATGCATTTATAATATGCTTTGCAATTTATGTTGCGAGCGCAACAGATATAATGTAACATACATTTCACAGTACGTCGTCTTTCTGCTTATTTTACGAGAACTTTATTGTGAAAGTATATTTGATGTGAAACGGAAGTCTATAAAAACTTGTATGACTGTTTATGTTGAAATATGTAATGTAATCGTTTGTTTTCTTCTTCTTGTTTAGAATTTTGGCTAGAAAATTCTTTTTCTGTTATATATTTGTTCAACGTATCATTATAAATTTTTGAAATTTCTTCAGTATATATTGTGACGTATGCGTGTGTGATTTAATATAATTATGTTAAAGAATCGGGCGCTAAAGCAAATAATTCACATGGTAAAATTAAGTGTGTTTATAACCTGGTGCTGGCCGCTCCCAAAAGATACAATTAAACTTAAAGTTGTCTGTGTGAGTCTGTATCAATATTTGTGTTTGATTTCAAGTTTCGGCGTAACGATAGGGTTGATGAATGCAGTTAAGAATCACCTTGATGATCCACTAATTATGGCAAAATCTCTAACTATTATGTGTCCTACTATACACATAATTTGCAATATTGTGAGCTGTAAGGTTTATTCCTATCGTCTACAAGTAATTAATATAAACATATTAAGTACTCTTCCTCCGAAATTTTTCCGTGCGCGTATTTTTTTTATATGTATAAGGTATCTCATCTTTCACGAAAAATCGTTATAATCTTGACATTTTTGTATTAGGATTTATCTTCCTAAATTATCTAAAGGATCTAAACTTATAAAAAAATATTTGTGTGTGTGGTTTTAGTTGGTTACTTTCGAAATGGAAAATTTCTGTGAATCGCTTAAGTCTCATGAAGAGCCGATTTTTGATCAATACATTGGCAAGTGTGTTTATTTCTATGGTGGATCGATTATCTGGATTTATATTTCTTGTCTTATCATCATTTCTGGACCAGCTACTTTGGATCAACCGTTCCCAACAACTGCCGAGTATCCATTTGACGTTTATCAACAACCGCTGAGATCTATTCTTTATATTCATCAGGCTTTTGTGTTTACCCAAGCTGCTGCTCAGCTATCTATGAACGTTTTTATAGCTATGTTACTCTGGTTTATTTCAGTGAGATTTGAGTTATTAAATGAGGAATTACGAACAATCACAGATATTTATGGCTTAATGAAATGTGTTAGAAAACATCAGAAGTTACTAAAGTAAGTATTAAAACATATTTATCTTATTAATGAAATTTATTTGAAGAGAAATCTGTTCAGACATGTGTAATGAGATTTCATGTTACATCATTTGCTTAAAAATTTGGGATGACTCGTTTAACCCTTAGCGCTCTGTGTGTTTTTGTACTACTGTCTACCAGCAACACCGACACATTTTTGCAGCGGAGCATCTGAGAAGGAGAAGTCTTATTTTGTGCGGAAGGAATTACACGTGCTTGTGAATGTTTTTGATTTTATTTATTTTATAAATATGTATATTCCTCTTGCAAATGAAACATAAATTTTAAATTTTATAATTCACCATCGTGTGATATCTTTGGAAACAATCCCCCATGTGCATTCTGGGTTTACTTGGGCAAGTGTCGCAGTACTCACTAGTTTGACGTCTGCCATCCTTTTCTTAAAAATAATACTTGAAAATAATAATAAAATAATAATAATAATAATAATATTTGAAAATCAAATATGTCTTCATTATCACTCAGCTTTAAGTTTTCATCATAACATTCATTCGTCTCCATATTTTTAACCATAAAAAAGGTCGTAAAATAATTTAACCTCAATATTACAGACTAGCACGTTTTAACTACAGATAACAATTGCCAACGCCGACGATGACATAGCATCTGAAGCGTAATCATGTTAAAAACATTTGGCTCCGCAGCGGAGCCACCGGAGTTACTAAACAAATGAGTGATGTCTCCGTACCGGCGCCAACGGAGCGCTAAGGGTTAAATATTAGGACAATATATCTTGACAAAAATGTATAAAACATTTATTTTAGATACGCAGATGAAGTAATTGCAGTAGTCCGTCCGTTCGCATTATCAACTATAACTCTCAGTACTACAGCATTAATTATAGTCGGCCTGATTTTTATTACTGTGAGTACTACTGCACAATAATAATAATGGTAGTGTGCGTATTGATAAATAGATATAATAATTTGCTTATATATTTTGAAGATAATCGAGTGAATAGTTCAAAGTAAAACGTTACATAAAATTTTGATTTTATTCTTAATGCAGGGACAGCCATTGTCAATGAAAATCCAATGTGTTGGTTTAACTTTCAGTGGATTATCAGAAGTATTCATGTATACTTGGCCAGCAGAAAATTTAATTTACATCGTAAGTTAATTCTGCTTTTGTCTCTATTCCCTCGTTTTTGATACTTTATTTTAATTTATCATGATCATTCGATATTTTTTTCTCTAGAGCAGTGAGGTCGCACAGGCGATTTATGATGCGCAATGGTACGAACAGTCAATTCAATTACGTAAAAGTTTACAAATGATTATATTAAGGGCTCAGAAATCAGTAGTTATCTCGATACCGTGCGTTATGCCTTCATTATCTCTGAATTATTACACATCGGTGAGAAAACATGGTTAATTATTACGTTGTGATATTAATTATGTGCACTAATTACCATCGCTATTACTAAATGTTTCATTGCAATTTACAATTCAATATTAAGTAAAATATTAGCGACATTTGCGTCATGAATTACAATAATATAATATATAATCACAATTAATACGAAATATAATATTCTATTCGTGAGACATGATGTATGAAAATATTATTAATGTTACAGTATCTATCAACTATTTTTTCATATTTCACGACGCTGCGAGTTGTTATGCAAAATGAAGAATAATTTAATTTTCAAGATGGAGAATTAAAAACACAAATTGTTTAACTTTGGAGAACCTACAATCCTCATATTAAGAATCTAGCAAACAATACTCATCGCATTATAATGCCGTGATTGTTGAATTCATAACATTCTTCCTAGTAACCATAAGCTATTTTGTCATAGATAATGTAGACAAGAATGTTTCAGCAAATAATATTATAGTGATTTATATTGTAGTAATATCTTAAAAAGTACAAAATAATGAATATTTTTCTTCAGCAATCTCTATTTTATTTGTAGTTTTTCAATTTAATTAGACCCCCCCTTCCTTTTATCTATATTAAGTAAGAAACAAATAAATCTGTCTATGTTTTACAACTGTTCAAGAAATAATTAATAATACTTACACGTATAACGAAATATGTAAATTATTATATTACTTTAAAATGACACTAGCGTTGAAGAAATTTATAGAAGTATTTTCTGACGTCCTTTATCATCTTTCTTTTTGAAAATTGCAAATATCCATAAGTACTAAGGCAATTTAGTATAACTTTTGTGGGAAAAAAGTTTTAATTTAACGTAAAAAGAAATAGTCTGCTATGATGAACATTATACACATATATCTTTCCCAAAGTGGCGATTTTTGTTCAACATTGTGTATGTTCGTATTATTTACTGGCTCTTGCCTCTCTATATAATGTGAAATTGATTATTACAGATTCAGTAGTATCCAGGATTACCGCGCAAGACAATTTGCTATACAGTCGGGTTATTGCCATACTTCCCCCTGGTCTGTACCTAACGCTTTTGTAATACGCGTGTTATAAATATAACACTTTCAACTATGCACTATCCGGAAAATAGCCGGATAGTCTAAAGTATATGCTGCATACGTACTCACTAAACACAATATACATCTTTCTTTACAACGCGTGTGCAAATTACAAGGTATATTGTGTAGTTATGCTATTAAACATTATATATTTATATGTTATGGGCTGGCAAAAGCTTATAACTTCGGTAAAGATAACATAACGTGAGCAGCAATTGAGAACGAATGTATAGGAACCGGAAGTTTTACATCGATAAAGTCTTAGATGCGTAATTATGGCGAGAAAAGTAACTCCAAAAGTGGCGATGGCATTTTTGAAAGTCATAATCGTTTTATGTTTCTCATGGCCTCTCCTGAAGACCGCTAGTAGATTTCAAGTCATACGTTTCAAAACTTTGCGCTTCTTGTTCTGCATGAATGTGATAGTATTGATCGTGCCTATGACATACACTATTTACTATAATGACTATGATTTGCCAAAGATAACGAAGCTATGGTGCTTATTGGGAGCCTTTGTGCAGGTCCCTCTGGAAATATCACTACTCGGTGTGCAATATGACCGTTTGCAAGTAAGAAGTGCCAATTAAAAATTATATCAAACCGATCCTGAATAAACTTCCCCCGAACCGATGTATCGTAATGTATTAATATTAAGTTTAAATATTTTAATTAAAGCATTAAAAACATAAAAACACCTCGTATTTTACTTTTGGCATCAGTTTTGTGCTACATGGTGAACAAAGTAGCATCTTTGCAAATATTGTTCTCCATCTTCAAAATTCGATCTCAGATAGCACAACACATCCTGAGATCATCCTGGATGTGTTGAGAACGCCATGGAATTCTTCCCAAAACATCTTGGACATGCCTAGGATTGTTCTGGGACGTCTTGTGCTATCCTAGGCATGTCTGATTAAATGTTCAAGTTTGTTTGCAAGCTTCGTTTGCAAAATCGTATAATTAGAAATTATAATATTATAATATTATAATATTATAATACTTTCTACTTTAGGTATAACGATCTGCTGTACACAAACTATGTCGGATGTTTGTTCCTCCAGTAAAAAAGTTGGTCCTTTCTTTCACCTAAAAAGAAGGCATTGTTGCTTCTAATTGTACAAACGTCAGACGTTATGTGCTCCAACTGACCATACAAAATTTCAGAATTTGATTTCAGAGATGGAGTATAATTTCGAATGTGCGCAAGTGCACGAAAGAGACGTATACCAACGATACACCGACAAATGCGTGCCTTTTTACGCAGCCTTTACGTTCGCGGTTTTTCTCACTGCGATCGTAATGTCAATAGTTACGCCATTGGTGGAGGCCGATCAGGCTTTTCCGACAGAAGCGAAGTATCCCTTCGACGTGGAACGTGAACCGGTCAAGACTTTTATCTTTGTGCATCAGTTTATCGCCATTTGGCAGTGCTTCTCAACTGTTTGCCTCAGCAGTTTTATCGGTTTTCTTATATGGTTTACCGCAGCGCGTTTCGAGATCTTGTCTCAACAATTTCGGGCTGTCAACGGAACCGATGAGATTATCGCGTGCGTACACCGACACATCAAATTATTGAGGTAATAGAAAGTATGTGTAAAATGAAAGCGAAAGTGAAAGGTTATCGACAAGTATTTTGTAAATTGTTTCGGATGTTTCTAAAAATAGATATTCTGGACGTTATTATGAATTATTTACACAAAATTTGTGATAAACATCCATGAGTAAATTTATGTGAATGAGTGTCTCTATGTGATTTAATTAATGTATAAATTATTTAGTGCTAAATAACGAACAGTGAATTTAGCAAACGTGCGCAGCATATACGAACCAAATGTTCATCGGCATTAGATTCACTTTTGATCCGGTTCGCTCATGAAGAGATATATTAAAGAATCGATATTTGATAGATATTTTGATATTCGTTCGCTCGGTATATACGCAGTTTTATATTATAATAATGACAAACAGTATATTGATGACATTGATTTCATTAGTTATATTTTACACAAATGTTATTTTATGAATTTTATATATGTTTATTTCAATGTATTCCGTAAGAATTTTTTTATTTCTTGCTTTTGACTCCATAATTCCATAGATAGCCACGGAGGAAAAATAGATCAAAATTCGGAATTCTTTTTTATTAATGAAAGTACCTCTAAAAATAGTTTATAGGCAAAGAGTTTTTAAGTCTCTTCATCGATAAAAAAATTCAGAATACCGATTGTAGCTTTCGTCTTAAGCAGCTTCCTTAATAAAAATTTAATAACCTGAATCTGTAGCTAACTTAGGTACATGCACAAATTAATGAATTCAGAGATCTATGAAGTTTATTTCTCTGTTAAATAATAATGGACTACGAACGTTAGTTTAAATTTCAAATTGAGAATTTTTTTATCCGCGATAAATTCGTTAAATGCTCATTAAAAACAGAAAATATTCTGTATAATGATAATTTAATATACTTACCTGGAGATGTGATGTCGCGTCCTGCTTATGTTGTCATGTTCCGTGTCACGATGCTGCTGTCTTGTATCCATTATCCTGGTTTTCCAATTCAACATCTTTATCTCCGTTGTTACGGGGTCTCATAACTCAGTATGAGGCAGTATACTGGTACTATATTGACACTGCACTTATACTGGATTGTCATTGTACTGTCACGTATACGATGGTTTAATAATAAAAGAAAAAAATTAAAATTAATGCAATGCCAAGTAGAATCTGATTTAATATGTCAACTGAATTACTTTGCACATACTTCAGTTTGAATAGAATTAATATTATTTCCTTTTGATAGCAATCTTGACTTGATTGACTGAAACACAAGACAGTATTTACTGACTTTTGGAAATTTCAAAATCATCAAATTAACAAAAATCAGGGCGCTATTGTAACGATATATTCTTGAGACCAAATAGAACAAAAAAATCCAGTATCACTTTTTCTTCCGACAAATAGTTAGCGAAATATATATATATATATATTGTAAGTTAAATATTGAAAAACATCAAGTTTTCCTTAAATATCTCAAAAAATATTAGACAAATAAAAAAATGTTTTAGACAAAAGTTGTTCAAATTAATTGGTAGAAAAAGAAGGTGTAATATAAAATAGGGATTCCTGTTAATATTTTTATGTTGATCATGACCGAGCTTTTCAAGGTCATACCAAGGTCAGATAGATATTATCATCTAATAGATTTTTTAAGCCCTATTCTTTTTATTTAAAACATTTTTCCAAGAAATCAATATTTTCCAAGATTTCCAACTATTGCGGAACTTTTTGCCAGCACTGTATATTTCAGTGACTACTACTGACCTCTATCAACAGCGAGAATTAATTCAAGCACCTAATATAATCTGTATTTAAAATTACTGCTAGTTAAGTATTAATTGCTTTGTTATATGAATATACACATGCACACCACATTGCATGCATATATACATGCATAAAATTATTAAATTTTTTGCCTCTAAAACGATAAATTATATTTAGAAATTGCAGTTAACAATTTTACTAATTGATTGTTGATTAATCAAAATTTAAAAAAGGATTCAGATATTAATAATGATAGTAATAATAGTAATGATAGTAATAATAATGATAAATAATAAATTTTTCCAGGTATGCTCAAGAGGTAATCATTGCCTTTCGTTCAGTAATATTAGCGCTAATAATCATTTGCACATGGACATTTATAGCTAGTGGTTTAACAATTGTAAGCGTATGTATTTTTTTTGTACTATCATTGTACTACTCTTTAATATGTTGTAAAACGATAAATAAAAGAATCCAGAATAATATATTTCTATAAAATTAAAATTCTGTGAAAATAAAAGATCACTTCTCTCAATCAAAAAATTCACAAAATTTATATAAATTAATTTTTATTAATAACTTCAATAATAAATAATACTAATTTAAACATAATAATTTAATAACAACTAATAATTTTCAATTATTTTGTAATTAAAATTTTTTCAATTCAAAGTGATTCTTTAATACTATTAAGAGTAGTTTTGAATTAATTGTAAAGTTAGTAGCAATTTTTGTTTAATGCAAAATATCAAATGAGTTGAAGAAAAATTAAATGTGAGTAATTTTGTCTCTGATTTTTCTATAAGAATCGCTACTAACTTTCTAAACTATGTTTTGTTTATCTTAGTATGTTTATGCGTATAGCAAAGTACAACAGCAGACAAAACACATTTCATGATTCTATGGATAACTGGACTTATAGAAGTTTATGCATGTGCTTGGCCAGCCGATCACTTAATGGATGCAGTAAGTCAAATCCCAGTCACACACACACACACAGTATAAATTTCTAAAAGAATTTTAAATATGTCTAAAAGTCATCCCATTTTTCACAGAAAAATATCTTTTAAAACTTTATGCTGTCTGGCTTATCAAATATATAAATGAATAATCTACTTTTTAGATTATTTAGGTTACATATCTATTTAGGCTATTTGTGAACATTTCAAATTTGATCTATATCCCAGATAGCACACGGATGTCCATTGGACGTCCGTTATATGTCCATTTTTTTTTACAAAAGACGTCTATAGGACGTACGTTTGTCACAAATTCGGACATGGACGTCCGATGGACGTACGGTCGCGGACATAATAATAAGTGTCCATTTGTTTGCAACTTTCGGAACGCCATCCTAATTCGAGAAGAATGAGAGTCACTGCTCCGCCTACGGAACACGCCTGCGCAGTGACTCACAACGAAAGGCGAGAAATGAAATATACGCGGTGGGACATATTATAATAACACAGACTCAGATGAAATGAATATTCCAGCATTAAATGGAAGTGAGGGAATACAGAACAGACAAGAATCATCCGATGTAAGTCTTATACTCCGGGGGACATCTGAAAAAGGTAGAGATAAATAAACATGTTTATGTTTTTAAAACAATACGAATTTAATTAAGAGAATTAATACATATAAATGTATTATGTATTATATATTATGTATTATTATTATGTATTATGTATTATGTATTTATATGTATTAATACATATAAATGTATAACAGAATCGTAACTATCATAATGCAGCTTAATTCTCTTAATTAAGTTCGTATTGTTTTAAAAACATAAACATGTTTATTTGTGCCTGCCTTTTACGAATGTCCTCCGGAGTATAAGACTTACATCGGATGACTCTTGTCTGTTCTGTATTCCCTCATTTCCATTTAATGCTGGAGTATTCATTTCATCTGAGTCTGTATTATTATAATATGTCCCACTGCGTATATTTCATTTCTCGCCTTTCGTTGTGAGTCACTGCGCAGGCACCGCAGGTGAAGCAATGACTCTCATTCTTTTCGAGTCGGGATGCGTTCCGAAAGTTGCAAAAAACGGGCACACATTATTATGTCCGCGACCATATATCTGACGTCCTACAGGTCCAATGTCCAATAAGGACATCCTTGTTACGTCCAATTTATGTCCACGGACGTAAATCGGATATACGGACATAAATTGGACGTAAAACGTACATCCAATGGATGTCCGGGATATTGCTGTCTGGGATATTATTAAGCGATAATAAAATATATCTAGTGAATATAATTAGGTAAAGAGATAAAATATTCTAAATATAGTGCAAAAATATGTTCTTATGATGAATTGTCATATGGAACTTAGTATGATGCAGTAGCTAACACTTTCAGCACTATTTTATCCTGTGAAAAGTTCTTTTCTTTGTTATATTTTCTTCAAAAATTTATTACTATATTATTATAATAATTAACAAGAATTGTTTGAATCTTGTTTCACCTGCTTTTGATTATTATTGAGAAAAGAAGAAAACAATTTTTATACATATATATTAATATAAATAATTATTGACATGTTTTTACTCAATTTTTTTCTATAGTTTTTACTCGTAATCATTTTGTTTAACATTATATAACAAATTATATTCATTGTTCTAACATTCCATTCGTCTATTTTCATTCTATTAATTTTAATAGATCACAAAACAACAACAAAAATATTTTAAATCTAATCATTTTTTGTTTTGTAAGATTGCTTATTTATATATTATTTTGGCAACGTTTGTAAACATGTAATTGTAAATATGTGGCTAAAGGAAGTTACAAAATTCAGTTATAAAATTTTTTTAAACTATTTTATTATACACACATACATGCACTAATATATCCACTATAATATCCTCTTATCATATAACGTCATAATTACATACTTTAATTAATAACTTAATGTCGAATGATATAGAATAATTTAATGATTTTAGTTTTATATTTATATTAGTTTAATAGTTTTAATGATTATTCAAATTCCACTGCCTTAAAATTTTGTTATTGTTTGTTAGAGTACTGATGTTGCACAAGCAGTATATGATTCAGTGTGGTATAATCAAAACGTTAACTTCCAAAAAAGTATATGGTTTATCTTGCTAAGGAGTCAGGTACCAACGGCTGTGTCGGTTTCTTCTTTCATACCAGCTATCTCGTTACGTTATTACGCGTCGGTAAGACTCCATTATTTACCGTTAAAAGTACACAGATAATTGATTACAAAGGCTCTCGCGGAATCTTTCACAGGCTTTCTACAATAAGCCGTTAGTTATAAGACGTAATTAAATTGATCAACCACAGTCGATTATTCCGAAAAATTATCAATTTGTTATTGTAGAAGGTCTGTCATGGCCGTTCTATAATGGATACAAGAATAAAGCATAAGCAATAAGATATAAACCAATCACAATTGATTATTATAAGAATAATCGATTGTGACTGTTCTATTTCTTACTGCTTACACTTCAGCCTATGATCTGTTCTTTTTGCACTGCTGGGTATCAATCATGAATCTTTTCCTCTAGTATGAACTCGTGAAAAGTGAATATTTCCATATGCTTTTACTTTAGAAAATTTTCACTTTTCACGTTAAAGGAAAAGATTCATGATTGATGATACCCTGAACCAGACCGGACACAGAGCCGATTACGCCGGGACGCTTTTTCTGCCGACGCGCCCCTGAGAAAATGTGTGCACACTACATCCATCCTGACGGTAACGGCAAAGCGTGCACGGTTCTTGCTCACTTTACTTCCCCTTACAAGAGATAATAAATTAGACAAGCACAGGTGATCAATCGATCTCCGTCTTTGTCGCACCATCGATGAACGTACGCGCGGCAGGAGGGGACACGAGGCAAGTCAGCGGCAAATCTTATCGCTGAGCCAAAATCTCTCCCATCTTGCCCCTTCGTTTTCTCATCTTTCACGCCACGCACTGCCCGCAATTCGGGAAGAAATATTTCGAGACCGCGCGGAAAACTCCTAGCAATGACACAAAATGACGCTAATAGGGGTGACCATTTTTATAATATTTATATTCAATTTTTTCCTTTTTTTTATTCAATTTCTTTCATTTTTTTCCAAAATCAATGCAAAAAAATGAAAAGTCACTGACTATAAGTTAATTATTTGTGATAATTATTTGTGATAAGACGTTAATCTAGATTCGAAATAAGGATAATCCGAGCAAATCGCATCGAATCGTGATTGCACGTTTTGACATTAGAAGTCACGAAAATTTGAAATCAATATAAATTATCAATTCTCAGTAGAAACGGAGATATTAACAGTACAACTTAAAAATGTAACCTTCGGTATTTTCTAAACGGCTCAAGATACAGGAACGCGCTTTTGCCACAATATAATCCTATATCAACCCTATTCTCGTCATAAAGCTCTACTCTCAATTCCCAGTAGGAACGGAGATATGAACATTAAAATTAAAAAATGTAACCATCGATATCTCCTTAACGGCACAAGATACAGGAATGCGTTTTTGCCACAATTTAGTCCTATATCAACCCTATTCTCACCATAAAGCTCGACTTTCAATTCCCAGTAGAAACGGAGATAGTAAAAGTATAATTTAAAAACTTTAACATTCGATATCTCCTAAACGGTTAAGGCCATCACACGTAGAAAAATTTTAACCGTAACCGTAAGGTTGTAAGAAAACTGACCAATCACAGTCGATCCATTCTCTTGTGACATTATAATAATCGACTGTGATTGGCTAGTTTTCTTACAACCTTACGGTTACGGTTAAAATTTTTCTACGTGTGATGGCCCTTAAAGATACAGGAACGGGCTTTTGTCTCCTAAACGGCTCAAGATACAGGAACACGCTTTTACCACAATATAGTCCTATATCTATCCTATTCTCACCATAAAGCTCGACTTTAAACTGCCAATAGAAACGGAGATATTAACAATTTGCGAGACCGTGCTTGTCAAGTACGCTATTATGGTTGTAGCACGGACATAAACTGCCTGAAAATGGATGTAGTACTGGCAGTCCGCTAGTACATGTAGGTTTTACTGCCGAAACCTAAAATTAGATATAGCATCGTAGTTCCCCTCTCAAAATGGATGCAGATGGCGCTCTTTCACAGTGCGGAAAGTCGGTGTGGCCGAAAACGCCGTGTTGGCCGCTCTTATGTTCCTCTCTGCTATAAATATGAGCTATTGAATCATTTGATATTCGTCACACGCACTGTACATGCACATGTAGAGAGGACCATGTTTTCAGCCACGGTAGTTGACGCTAGAAAAAGGTAACACGGTCCCAGCTTAACTATCTTTCTCTGACCGTTCGGTATAGTGGAGCGAATAGGGCAGTGCTCCTTCCAGTATGGTTATATTTCAATGGTAAAAACAGAGTGCTTCTTTTTTTCCGAGAGTTATATCCCCACTCTTGAAATTTGGAAGAACGCGCAGTCTAGATATATTATAGCTGTATTCCAAAATTCACTGCCAGCGCTGAAAAATTATAGTTTGCGTGACACAAACTATATATTTTCAGTATTGGCAATGAATTTTGGAACACGGCTTTCGTCTATAGTATAAATAGAGGACCGTCGTGCCCTCTACTGCTATACTTTGAAATTAAACTGCTCTCTAAAAATGTTGTGTGAGGCGGGGAGAAAAGCACTGATATTATTTTGTATATTTCAGTATGTGTCAACAGCCTTCTCGTATTTAATGACATTACGAATTGTATTTCTGGAGGACGACGCAACTAAAAGTTAAATTTCGAAGTTACATAAATTCCGAAAGATAGCTCACTGATTTTATTCACCAATAAAACTATATTACTATTTCGCATAAAAGAACACCTTCACTCCGAAGATATTCCCTTTAAAAAAAGGCATGTGATCCAAATCTCGAATGTATCGAAGTCGTATCGAAACGTTGCAGCCTCATTTCCGCAATGCTAATTGGTCATTTCGATGTCATGTTGCGACCGCCTTCGTGTTGTTGGGGCTGTCATCGCGGCGATTGACAGCTGAATGACAGTTTGTACGAAAGGAGTTATAATGGGGTTATATCACGTTAACAATTTTATAACATAAAATAATAAGCTATAATTTTTTTTTCTTCTTTCTCGGGTAATGGTAATAAATGTAACGAGAGAAAGAAAAAGAGAATGAAAGAGGGAGGGGATAGGGAGGGAGGGAGAGAGAGGGAGAGAGGGAGGGAGAGAGAGGGAGGGAGGGTGAGAGAGAGAGAGAGAGAGAGAGAGAGAGAGAGAGAGAGAGAGAGAGAGAGAGTATATGCGTATGCATAGGCACGCATATATATGATTTTAACATACGTATAAAACAATACATATACATAATAAATATATGTCTAAATACACATACGTGTCGGATTGAAGTTAAATATTTGGATCTGACAGTTGCTGTAAAAACGTCGATATATTTTCAAATTGCTAAATATACTGCGTAAATTTGAGCACAACGAACAACAAATATAAATTAATGATGATACGCTTTATTATAATAAATATTTAGTTATTTGTATGTTGAATTTATATGATTTGTTCGAGCAGTTTTAAATCATCTAATATTAACATGGAGAGTTCGAATATCATTTTGTTACCATTTTTGTAAATGATATGAAAGTTTATGTACAATTTATGGAGCAGCCTGTATGTGTATGACCACGTGCACGAACACGCATACATATTTTATATGCATATCTTATATGTATATAACGAGTGAGAGAGGGGCGAAGGGGGAGAGGGTAGGAGAGGGGTAGTGAGAGGGAGGGAGGGAGAGATAGAGCTTAAGATGATCTTGCATAGAACTGTTAAACGTCGAAATTTTCATTGGTTATATGGTTACGCGTTACTATGTAGAAAATATGGTTCATGGTTCAATAGATGGTTCCAAATGGATCAATTCCATTCCTACGCCAGTCATCCCAATGCAGAAAATATGTCATGGAATTTCAAACTGTATGCGCCTAAATACATCGTATGTTGGAGTCGGATATTATCGGACTTATATTACACTCCAGGGATTATTTTTGATCTATAATATTTATTCTAAACTTCTAACTTTAATATGAATAAGCTAAAATGGCGCGCGCTTGTAGTGTTCGTGTTAGTAAAAACAGGAAAATATTTACATTTGTTTTAAATAAATTACGATTCAAACTGTTACAAGTAAATGTTAATTGACATCTCTCAGGAATAAAAATAACTTCAAACCTCAATCGCATTATAAAAAAATAATCTATTGAATATATTTTTATAAAAATCTCTAAAATAAAACCTTTATAATTAAAGGGTCTATAAAAGCTATATTGTTGGCTTTTATCAATCTTTTACTTTGCACTTTAATCGGTTATCACAGAATCTTTTGTTTATTTAATTGAAACACTTAAACTAAACATATGTTGTCACAATTGTCATAGTAGATATTTCTGAAATTGTGTAAAAAGAAATTCTTCATAAATTATTGAGTTCATAATATTCTTCTTATATCTCATATAATTTATATAAATTTTAATTTTCTTGCATCACATAATTTTTTTTTTGGAAAATATCAATTTCTATGTATACATCTTTACTGAGTAGAGGTACATTCGAAATAATAGTTTATATAATATATTGAAATCTATATTTTAGAAAAGAGAAACCTAGATATAATACAATTTAAAATAGCTAAGACGCATCAAAATCAGGTATCGGTAGGGTACCAAAATGTTTTAGCGCGTTTGTAGCGGAGGATACTACCAAGTTGTAAACTGGATGTATAATCGCCACTGAATTTGTTACTTTTGATCCAACGATCGATGGACGTGGTGAATTTTGTGCAACTGATAATCCACTTAGAGCGTAACATGTATGATATAGGTCTCGGTTTCTGAAAAAAACAAAGAAAAATGATGAAATGCAACGTTATCACGATATATGTTATTTCGCAATTATCGCAAATTACTCTGGTTACATAAGATACAATTTTTTTATTTTTATGATGTAACTGCTAATATAAATGCAATAATAGTAATATAATCACTGATATGAATGGACACAAGTCATACTTTCCCGGTTTATCCAGAAGACCACCTAGTGGATGCTGACAACAAACTAATATGTACTCTTGTAAGGCCTCTTGATTGAACAACCAGTAATTGGAATTATACTCTTCTTTTTCTTTCGACAAGATAGCATGAATCAATGGGAATGCTCCACCTTGCCAGAATGAGTAACAACCATCCACCAGTTTATTGGTACGTCCTTGAAAACCACCCTCTAGACGCATCTGCTTATTTACTATCCATCTCTAAAAAAAGAAAAAAATAAATAAATAAAATATACATAAATATATATCTTTATATATAATATCGTAAACAAATATAAAAATAAAGACCTTATTAGGATCTTATCAGTAATTCCATACTTTCTTGTATTACTTATGTAATTCTTACTAAGAGTGCTGGTAAACGACACATATATGTTTTCCCAAGAAGCACGAGTGCTGCTAAGCCACAGTACGCATATCCACCATGAGCCTCCATCCCTGGACAACCTCCAAACCCACCCTCCCATGTCTGACACTTGGCTATCCACTCTTCTGTACCTCTAAACATGTCTGGAGTGTACACATTTGTTAATTTTGCAGAAACTAGAGCACAGTATGCGCCACGCATGTCAATTTCACCATTGGCATGCATGCAAAATGAACCATCTTCCCCTCGTAGAGACATTAGAAACTGGCGCAAGTTCTTCCTGAAATTTTGATTTTTATCATATGAAATATTTTTCAAGACCTGACAAATTATATCATAGAATAATTTTTGTATCTTGAACTAAATGTCAAAAAGTAGGAAGTTAAAATGGTGCATTTGTATGGATATATAAATTTACTATATTTAAAAGTAATTATAATATAAAAATTGCTATTGTAAGATGCAACATTAGTTAAATTATTTGTTAAATAGATATAATTCGTGTTTAGGGAAGACATCAATAATGACTTTATTCTTCATATATATTATAAAGATGATATTTCTCAGTAACAATTAAAAGATCTTAGCTGTTACTCATTGTTTATTTAAAAGTTATTAACAAAAGCTTTATAAATGGAATATAATTTTCTGACATAGTAAATATTTCAACTGAAGAATTCTTAGAAAGATGATTTCTATAATATATGTGTAAGATAAAATCATTGAAGGTGTCTCCTCTAAACAGGAGTTTTACCATTAAATAGTATAAGCAGGTGAAGAAGCAATTCACTACTTACTTTAAGAAATGTACAGGATATAGGAATTCTTCAAATAATATAGCAGAAAAAATTATATTTTTCTATGTGTTAACATGCATACCTATCTATCACATTGTATGCCTCTTGCGTACCAATAGTGCATAGTGCATTTATAGCAGCATATGTAGAAGCTAAATGTGGATATTGTCCTGGGCCACCTCCAAAACCACCTTCGGGTGATTGACACTTAGCTAAAAAGCCTGCTATCTTGGAATATTCCTCGTCCCCCAAACGTTCTCCTAATATTTCAAGTGAATGCAATATCCAATAACACAGCCAAGGTTTGCTGCAGTCCAAACACTATAATTATAAATACTCAAGATATACTGTTATGTTTGAATTGTCATATATAAAAATAATATATCAGCTTTTACTTGTATAATATATTCATAAAATTGTATTTTTTATATTAAATAAACAAATACCTCATAAGCCCCACTTAAATTATTGATTGATTTCTTTAAAAAACTAATATGCCTCTGTTTAATTAAAGTTGGTTCTTTGCATAATTGATATAATGTAAGCACATCATCTTCAATACGATTCTGAAAGTTTGAATATATTTTATTTAAATGAAACATTGCTTATATGAATTTTATACATTATATTATAGTATCATGAATATAAGTAAAAAATAAGTAATTAAAGTAAATTATATGCTTGTATATTTATGTAAGGACACACTTGTTCGATTGTGGTTGCAGTTTCAAATCCTTCTTTATCTTGCTTTTGCCCCAAAATCTCCTCGTAACTTCTAATTCTTTTCTTATCTAATATATCATCAAACTCCAAATCCATAATCTGATAAGAATAATTCGATGAATAAAATAATAATCCATTAATTACAATAGTATTTCTAGGTGCATAATGGAGATGATTTTAATTGAGTTTAAAAGTTTATCTGTGCTTGCATAAATTACAAATCGTTGCAATATATCACTTCAAACAATGACATTCGATGAAAAAATACGAATCAGTATAAATATGGTACAACACTATATTAAACTTATATTTGAACTTGTTAAATGACATTATCATTGATATTACAGTGATACTTACGTTATTTGTTTTGCTAATATTTATTTTGCTGATCAATAATACTTGACGATAAATGTTAAGTTTAATGTCTATAGCTTTTTATCGCAAGTGTCATCGTTCTGATTTTTGCACTAGGGTGTGGTAAAGTTGACGAATAATCTAAAACATCTACAAAACATCAAATAACACACACGCGTAATCGTGCAATGGTTAATTAACTGCTATAAACATCGACGAGATAAAAATAAAGATCTTCAACTCTGAGTAAATTTTCGTATGTATCTTATATATACTGTGTATACTAATATGATTGATATAATTCACTGCCGGTATAACAGCTTTGTAGTTACCTACCAAACCTAGGGTCACTAGAATTTTATGTTTCGCCTATTCTGGGTGTTTACGATAAATCGAGTTAGGCCTGATCTACAATATGTGTCGCAAGTGGCGTTGGCGAATCACAGTCGATTATTACAAAAATAATCAGCTATAATTGGTCAGTTCTTACGGCTTACAGCTTACAACACCTATTGTAGACCAGGCCTTAAGGCTCGTCTACAATAGCTGTAAGAGTAAGGCTGTAAGGCTGCAACGTAAGCTGTCAGCGAATGAAAATATTTCATTTCGTGTCTTGCAACCTTACAGCCTTACTCTTACAGCTAATGTAGACGAGCCTTTAGAGTTAGTTCCACTAGGACTGAAAAGTATGATAGGCACGATCATCTACTATCTTCATGATTTATGACAACTCAATGCTGTCCGATAAAGCGTGGTCTACAATGGCAGTAAGCAGTAAGAAGTAAGAAGCGTAAGCGATAAGAAATAAACCAATCACAGTCGATTATGACAAAAATAATCAACTGTGGTTGGTCCATTTCTTACTGTTCACGCTTTCTTCTTACTGCTTACGGCCATTGTAGACCACGCTTAAATCGAATAGAGTAGATTAAAGCCAGCGGCACACGGTGCTTGTTTTCGTGCTGGGTTGTTTGCTGGATGAAAATACTACGTCCTGATTGATACATTTCCGAAGATGGATGGAAATGTACCAATCAGAACGCAATATTTTCATCCAGCAAGCAATCCAGCACGAAAACAAGCATCGTGCCGCTGGCTTAAGAAAGTGTACACGTTTCACTCCAACTTATTACAATAGTTCAGAAGTTTTCTTCGACAATGAACAGACCTAAAGTTGTAGACCCAGGATTAAAGTTCCTAGTTAGTAATATTTTTGTTTCTAGAAAAAAGAATCTTTTATTGGACATCGAATATCGTATGTTGGATGTCGGATGAGATGTAAATTCTTTGTAAATTTATACTTATGCTAATTTACGTGATATGACCCTAAGAAAGCTTATTACTTTTCTTCGTTTCTCTCTTTTCCATTAAATTTTAAATGCATACTTATTTCATTTTAAGTATAAATCATAACTCGATTTAAATAAAAAAAGACAACACAATTACAGACTAGGGATTCGTGCACTCTCATCTCGTAAAGAAGTACCGGTGATAAAGTAGCGATGAAAATGACGAATCGCGTGAAGTTTCTTACTAGATCGCGTAAGAGATAAAAAGATTGCGAGACAAATCGAGAACATTTGATTCGATTTCATTCTGTCCCGTCATTGATGTTGCCACCACGATCACCTTTTCAAGAGCGATGTTCACGCCACGACGATATGAATACGCCTGCGTTAATTAGTCGGCGCTAATCATAGATGTGAAGAATGTCGAGAACGGCGACCGAGAGCTGTCTCTCACCTCCTCTATCCCTCTACCGTCCCTCGGGCTAAACCGCAAAGAATCCAATCTCGATTGAGAGATAGTAATTGAGAAAAGTGGGCGAGATAAAAGCGGAAGATGGCAGAAGGGGCGATATCGAGGCACTAATCGGAGTGTTTGTAGAATAAAAAAGGGGGAAATATCACGGATGAACAAGTAAATCGTAAAGCATGCACCGTGAAGCTGTATTACGTATACATATATACGCATATATATGTGTGTGTGTACAAAATAAGTTGGATCTTACAGCTTTTCGCGTTACTTTCGGAGAAGGGAACACTTTTCCAACGTTTACTATCTCATATCGGAAAGAATGGGAGCGGTGCACCGTTTATGCTGTAGCGTAGGGTCGCAATGTATCTAAATCCGTCACTGGACACTATATACGTTCCATCGTTGTATGCACCGCGGCTCGCACGCACCTTTTCGCTCGCGAGTGCGAGAGTAAGTGCTGGTAAGTGTGCGGGAGCGCGCGATGAGAAGTGCGATTATAGGCATCGCGACGTTGAGAGAGTATAGAAGTGAAAGAGAAAAAGGGAGAAAGAGAGAGAGATAGAGTGAGTGAGTGAGTGAGTGTGTATGTGTGTGTGTGTGTGTGTGTGTGTGCGTGTGTGGTGTGTGATTGAGTGAGTGAGTGAGTGAATGAGTGAGTGAGTGAGTGAGTGAAAGAAAGAGAAAGAGGCCAAGAGAGAAAGCTATGAACGCACGCAAGCGCGAGCGAGTGACAGAGAGGGAGTGAGAAAGAGAATAAAAAAAGTGAGACAGAAGGAGAAAGAGGGAGAGAGTGAGAAAGAGAGAGCGAAAGAGAGGAGGAGGGAGACGAAGCGAAAGATTCGAGGATGCGACGGGGTGCCTGCACCCGTGCGTGAATCACGCTTCAGAAACGCTCTCTCCTCGCCGTCCTCGAATGCGCCCTAGTGTACCCACCACGACATTGACCCGTGCGTCGTCGCTGGACGCCGCCGACGGCAGACAGGCAACCACCCCCAGTGATCGAACGAGAGAAGTAGCGACCAGCGTCTCTTGGCGCCGACAGCCGGAAGGGAAGCGACACCCACGAGGGAGCCTTCAAGTCGCTCTCCAATCCCTACGCTCTAATCACCGATACCGCTCACCGCCGGTCGGCCATGACTCGTTCGTTCGTTGAGGTTCACGCACCACAGCCGGTACCGGGGATCCTTTGATGAGGGGTGTCCTTGCGGCGCGGTGAGGGGACCTCTGCTATCTACTTATTTATCTTACCGGGTGTGCCTTTCGACGAATTCGTGGGATTGGCAACTCGTCAACGACGTCGTCGTCATCGCCGTCGCCGTTGTCGTCGTCACTGGTGGACTCCAACTGGGAACCTCGTGCTTCTTCATAAGGAGATTCTCTCATGCAGCTGAAAGTGAAAATCGTGACGACGAAGCGTGTATAAATATAGATATATACGCTCGTTGACACGAAACGTGGGCCCGTTTTGAAGGCATAGAGAAGCAGCAACGGAGGATAGACTGGCAACAAAGGAACAGAAGCGGATACAACATGTCAGATGAGGAAGACAAACCCCCTGCACCTCCTGTACGATTGACATCAAACAGGTATGTTCCATATCATGTTATCTGCTATAAATTTGCATTCTTAAATGATTTATGGGAAAGAAAGTAGATTCTGCAAAATACTGCTTGATCTTGAGTTAATCCTGAAGATCGTCTCATAAACTCGCATACAGTATATTATATAAATGCTTCAAAGATTTTTCATCTTCGTGAGAAATTTGATTGCTTATAGCAGTAGATATCAATATAGCGTTCATATACTAAAATTAATGACATATGCACTTTATAATTTGCCTAAGTATCATAAATTTACACAGGTAACTAGTTTGTAAGTATAGATGTAAATATTCCAATAATATAGTCATAATGTTCATATGCATTGGTGTATGTGACATGTAAGAATTTTTGTTCTTCAAAATTAGTTAAAAATATATTAAATCAAATTATGTCGCTAAACATATCACTTGGTATAGATTTATAACTATCAACTATTATTAAAGTTGTCCAGATACATCTTATCCAATATTGTTATGTCAGAGAAATTTATATATACAATATTTTGTAATGCTTGTAATAGCAAAAATATCAGCAATGTCAACATTTATTTCTGTAATAAATTATCTGTCTTTATTCATAATGTAGTACAATATTAAAAGAGTGAGATATATGCCAGGTTCATGCACATACATATAATGCATTACATATGCATATAATAATTATATGAAGATAAATTGTTAAATTTGTTAGTGATAATACATTTATATTTCCAGGGGTGAATCTGCGCCTAATTTACCAGTGGACATGCGTCCATTGCCTAAGGAACCAGACTCTGATGAACGTAAGAAAAAGACGTTGAAGGGCAAGATGAAGGTGAAGGAGAACAAAGATAAGCCCAACATCAGTTATCCCACGAATTTCGAGCACACTGTACACGTGGGATTTGACGCCGTGACCGGTGAATTTACGGTAGGTTTTCGATTCGTGCGACTCGCAGATTCGCACAGTCAGTCGCCTCTCTACACTATATTGTTCAAAATGCACTCGCTTACCGCTTCGCTGTTGTAATCACGGTACGGATTATCTGTGGGAGATGGAGGGATGGGGAGAGAAATAAATTTTCATGTATTAGCTTACTCTTGATATATCGTTGCTGTTTTATTGCATCGTCATACGTTCTCATGTGTGATTCACATGGATCTTCCGTACCTAATCAAAATGGAACATGGGATACTCGTTCATGCATATATATATATATAAATATAAATATGCGTGATGTCTATATCTATATATAGATATAGATATTTTAAGAAAGGGTACTTTGGTGATTTGTCCGACGCTTCTTATATCTATTATTTCCACATGATAAACTAACAAAACACGTATTTCTTTCAAGCTGCCATTGAAAGTAAGTAAATTAATACGAGCTAGTTTGCCTGTACCTTACGTTCTACATACACCACGTAGTTTGACACTTTCTTTTCGTTGCGGTTTACAGAATCTAGGTGTCTTTATTTTTATCTTTCGTTGGAGTACCAACATATAATAATCCATATTTAGATTGTCGCTTTTGTAGATTGATATAAGCTTTAGTCGACGTTGCGTACAATCTTTTTTTCTTACAGAATAATTTCCGACACGTAATTAATGGATTATTTAAATTGGCGAAATTCCGCGGAATATAAAAAATGTTTATATTAAAGTAAAAAGAAAAAACTGAAATTATGCATGTATCTAAATAACATTTTTATGAAAACATTGACCTCATTAAATCTTCCAAATTTCAATTATCTGCTCTGTTCAAAAAAATTACATTAAAAAAGAAATTGTATTAAAAAAGAGAATATTCTTTTTTCGATTTGATTTTCTCAATTTATATTTTGCGTGTGTGATATTATATGTATAAAACAACAATAGACGACGACTACACCAAACATAATTGTTTTGATTTTTAAATAATGTTCCAAAACAGTTAAATAAGTATAGATTTAATTATGTCACGATTAAAATTTATCAGTACCTACAAAAATATAACACAAACATATTTCCCAATTCTTATTCATGCATGTGTTACGATTGCATGTTTCTGAATTCTAGGAGTAAGTACATTCCTTAGACACACTAGCGTTATACTTGACAATCTTCCGATTATTTACCACTTGTCGGTTTGGTATAAGTGTGATAACGCGTGTTGCTTCACGGTGCTTGTTTCTTTCCTAGGGTATGCCGGAAGCGTGGGCGAGACTGCTTATGTCTAGCAATATCAGTAAACAAGAACAGAAGAAGAATCCACAGGCTGTTTTGGACGTATTAAATTGGTACGATAGTAGCAGTAAAGAGGCGAAAGGCTCAAAATATATGACCACAACCAAGATGGTCGGGGTAGTTGGTAAGTATAGATATCTCGTCGGTCATATACTCACGCTGAATTAATTCGCGCTTTCATCGTCGTATTAACAACAAGATTGTGTGTTTTCAGCTCCAATCGAAAGGGCGAGTAGTCCTCGAAGTATGGGAATAAGTATCAACACGGGGGTGGGGAATATTCGCGGACAGGCGATGTCCCAAGCGTCTGGCAGCTCGCATTCTCAACAGTCGTTGAGCAGGTGAGTCTTTTACACTTTCATATCTCGCGTTTATACCGTCGTCTAAATATTTTCTGAGAAACGACAACGTTACAGACTGAGTAGCAGTAGTCCGAGTAGCACACCGACGGACGCGTGTGCAACTAGCTCCGAGCAGGAGGACGAGCCGCCGCCTCCGCCGATTTCCGCTCGACCGGAACGCACGAAGTCCATCGTAAGTTCTTCTTCCTTGTGCCCAACTTGTGCATTTATCTATGTCTGTGATATTACAAGTGCCATTAAATATAAATTATTCTCGTATTAACTGTTATAATACTTTTTTTTTCGCTGTACAGTACACGAAACCTATAGAAGAAGAGCCACCACCTCCGTTGACAACTGCGCTGGGCTCACCGCAACGAAACGGTATGCAGCAGCAGCAACAGCAGCAGCAGCAGCAGCAACAACAACAACAACAACAACAACAACAACAACAACAACAACACCAGTCTCAGTTAGATAGAAATAAGAATCAAGCGACACCAACGTCAACGACGACCGATCAGACACGACCGGCGCAAGGTGATAAGGCTAGAAAGAAGAAGATGTCAGACGACGAGATATTAGAGAAGCTTAGAACAATCGTAAGCGTGGGGGATCCTAATAGAAAGTACACTAAGATGGAGAAGATAGGACAAGGGTAAGATACAGAACAACTATAAAACAGCAATATGAAAGCATGTTGTTTGCATGCCTAAACGTTTATAGTTACACATGTGTTACCGTATTGACTAGCGATTGGTTACAGTGCCTCGGGGACGGTGTATACGGCAATAGAGACGTCCACCGGCATGGAAGTTGCGATAAAGCAAATGAATCTGTCGCAGCAACCAAAAAAAGAGCTTATTATAAACGAGATCCTGGTGATGCGGGAGAACAAACATCCGAATGTTGTAAATTACTTGGATAGTTATTTAGTAGGGGAAGAACTGTGGGTAGTAATGGAATATTTGCCAGGCGGCAGTTTGACCGATGTTGTGACTGAGACGTGTATGGACGAAGGTCAAATCGCCGCGGTGTGCAGGGAAGTTCTACAGGCGTTAGAGTTCCTTCACTGTAATCAGGTTATACACAGGGATATTAAGTCCGACAATATCTTGCTCGGTCTGGATGGCGGAGTGAAGCTGACGGACTTCGGCTTCTGCGCGCAAATCTCGCCGGAACAGAACAAGCGAACAACGATGGTCGGCACGCCGTACTGGATGGCGCCAGAGGTGGTGACGCGAAAACAATACGGACCTAAGGTAGGTAAATGTCGATTACTGTAAATCCCAAAACTGTGCGGAGTCGAAGATACGCGTTAACGATTAATCGTCAAAATTGCCCCCCGGACACTGCAGGTCGATATCTGGTCATTGGGAATAATGGCAATTGAAATGATAGAAGGAGAGCCGCCGTATCTGAACGAAAATCCGCTGAGAGCGTTATACTTGATCGCAACGAATGGCAAGCCGGAGATCAAGGAGAAGGAGAAACTGTCGCCTTTGTTTCAAGATTTCCTAGATCGATGTCTCGAGGTTGAAGTGGAGAAACGATCCGGAGCTTCCGACCTATTACAGGTAAGAGACATGACTGTATACTGTTATTGCCGAGGAAATCAATGTTCTACGCGTATATGCACGTGTCTCTTCCGCGTGTGTTCCAAAATTAATTGGAAATACGTGTTTAAATTGAATTGCAGCATGCTTTTCTGGGTTTAGCCAGGCCACTGGCTTCGTTAACACCTTTGATAATGGCGGCGAAGGACGCTGCCAAAGGTAATTAAGACAGTGGTGTGTTAGATTATAGTCGTAAAACGTGACTGTAAGAATGGTTATGTGAGAGATGAAAAAACGGAAAAAAAAATGGAAAAAGAAATAATGAATCACCCTCCCAAAACGGAAACGGCACAATAATTTAATAATATATAATAAATAATGAATAAACATATATATTATAAAAATTAACATGTACACATATGCATGTAGATGTATATACATATATGATACATGTATATGCATATGTACGTGTGCATATATGCATACGTATGTGTATATTGTATGTGGATACATATTGTGCGCGTCCTATGTAATATTATGTACACAAACGCATGCATATATTATAAATTACATACACACACATATAAATATATATATATATATATATACAGAGAGAGAGAGAGAGAAAGAGAGAGAGAGAGAGAGAGAGAGGGGGGGGGGAGGAGAGAGAGAGAGAGAGAGAGAGAGAGAGAGAGAGAGAGAGAGAGAGAGAGAGAGAGAGAAGTCATAGATAGATAAAACTTATTCGATACCGTTACGAAGTATCGAGAAGCGAGTTGCAAAGTTTTTAAAAATGCTCGATTCTCGCATGTTGCGAGCGAACAAAGTTAAATCAGAGAGTTAAATCAGATCGCTACGAGCCATCTGACGGCAGAAAACCTTGTTTTCCTCGATAAGTCCAATTACAATTAAGTGCAATGGACTCAATGATGTCTTAATTTAGTCTCTGAGAGAAGTAAAAGTGGGGAAGGAAAAACCGTACTTGCCGTATTTTACTGTATGTGTGCTATAGCCAGACGAGCTCTTGCCGCAATTTTGGATGGTCATCGAGGAAATACAAGCGATTGTCAGTTATTTTCTAAAAATATAAAACTAGTATTATTAACTCTTAAATGGAGAAAGAAGAGGGGAAAAGGAAGAAGGAAAGATGGAAATCTGAAGGATCGCGGAGTTAGAAACATACGCATATTATTTATAGCGAAAAATTTTACTAGATAATACCACAGACAAATGTGAACAAGTACATAGAACCTATTCTAATACATTTATTATTGTGTTTAACGAGAGAAATCGCGGACAGAGGGAAAAGTAAATTGGTCTTCGTGTCGGACTGATATTTTTTGAAGAAGGTTGCGCAGAGCGGAGCAATATGTTTTCGGTGTTTCGATCTGTCAGAGCGACGATAGACGTGTAAGCAGTAGCCTAAACTTGTTTTAAACGTTCTCAAGAGTCGCGTTCCGATCGCTGAGTATTAAATTCGTTATTCTATTACGTCCCCTTCGCATCGCAGGCATTAATCGTCTTAGGTTGATACCTAGTGTGCAAAATATCGGAACTTATGTGTTTATATCGACAGCCGACTTAGAGAGATCGATTCGCACGCATCTAGCCGAATCTATTTACGTACACGATTGTTTTGCAACGTCCGTTTGCTAAGCCGCTGACTTAGAATTTTATAACGGAAAGATGAGTGAGTACTTTTTCTCATTTGCGCGGTTAGAGAACAAAAGCAAAAGTAAAATGTGAGAGACACGTTAGGACTTGTCACGTCAAACTTATTACCGAGGTTTACTACTTAGTTAATAAGAATATCTTTCCCCGAGGACAATGTGCTTGTCCAGTCATGTGTGTTCTTCGCTGTAAGTCCAACGCAACTGTCTTTAACGTGTCTTGCAAAGCAAGAGGAAGAGAGAGAGAGAGAGAGAGAGAGAGAGAGAGAGAGAGAGAGATGTGAGAAAACGGAATGAACGAACGGACGATCGATGAAACTTTAAAACAAGGTTCAGACGTAGGAGCATTTTGTGACACTATAAAGTGCCTGTCTTGTCGTTTAGAGACGTGAAAAAGAAATAAAACTCGCGCTAGATTTCTTATGACTTTGAACCATCGTTACGATATGTAATATCTTCGTTTTAGCACCCTGAGAAGGAAAAGAAAAAAAAAAGAAACAAACGAACTACGTGGGAGAGATTTGAGTTGTTACAGTTTATGTGTAGAACGAAGTTTCCATGTATTATTATTATGGTTGTATTCGCATCGAACATTAATCGAGAGATACGTCTTTCCTAATTGTATTATATACAATTATATCATCCAAGCATCGTGACATTGAGGTGGATACCTTGGAAGTATTTAGTTACTTAGGTGATATATCGAACTCATTATAGATGCGTATCATATTTCTTTTATTCATTTTCGTACGCGCCATTGTATTCGACCGGGTCATCCGCGCGCCGACAAATGTGTTTCAAAATCGAGAAAAAGAGAGGAAGAGAGCTATATTTGCGTCATCTTTCGACTTAGCAGTGAAAGAAGAAGAAAAAAATACTGGGCTTTTTTTTTTTTAATTCGAGCATTCTATTTCAGATGACACAGGATTAGATATTAAATTTTCTTCCTTTCCCTCTCGAATTTCGAAGGATCGCAGATCACAGAAATAATCTCGATGTTTCGATCTTAGCATCTCGCGGGTGGCCGCTCGGTCGAAGGGGTTTTTTCATTATACATATATGTATAGAACTCGTATATAAATTAATATTAACTGAAATCACGTGAGAATAAATACGATAGAGTTATAAACCGAGAAAAATTAATACGATACACTTATATTGCATACGTGAAACGAGCAGAGAAAAAAAAAAGAGGAAGCCTGTACTTGTGTGCACTGTATGTACACACGCGCTCGTGCGCGCGCACACACATGTACAGGCTGTTCCAAATAAAAAGTTACATAAACATATCTTAAAAACGACACATTTTAATTGAACCTTTCTTCATTAAAAGCCTTTTTAATTATGAATCGTGGAAACAAACAGTGGAAATAAAAACTGTAGATATTACTCAGGCTGTACCACCAGTGGAGATCGACTGTGGGTAATTTGAGAAATTCAACCATTTTGAAAATCATCCAACGAGAATTCACAATACAAAACGACAATCTCCACTTGAAACTTCAAAACGATCTTGATGTAGACTTATTAGGAATATTAAGAAGATCGCATGAATCGGCTATTCGACGAATCTTCTTTGAATTTGCGCGTTTGAAATATGTGTAACTGAAATATATTATTGAAGTATTTATCTTCCGGATGTATCGTTTTTCCAAGATATCTTCATGTATTTTCTTGTTTGGAACATCCTGTAATATACATGTAAAATTTGATAATGAGAAGTTATATATGATCAAGTGTATTCGCTCTACTCGATAATGAGTTTATTTTCTCTTCTTTTCTCACTTTTTCGTAGTATCATCTTTTGAAAAGCCTGATTAGATTTTTATAATGTCTGATTGTACTCGACTGAGAGAGAGAGAGAAAACAGCTCAGATTTGTATCAACGCTTACGACCGAATTTTGAGTCGGAATGCCGAAAAGAATTGAAATTGCTATTTACCTTCAAGAAGTTGCGTATGCATTGGCTATGGCTGATTAGTAGATTGCACTGAAGAAGAACGAGGATCTATCTGTCCGTGACGTTTGTGATTTTGGGAAGGGTGAAAGCGGTAGGATTTTAACGTAAAATTTGATTTGACGACAGTGACTTTTTGGATTGACGATATTTGAAATGTATCGCTATTATTCGTCGATATTATCCGTCATGGGACAAATTAATGAGATTTCTTGTGTCGGTCAGTATTTTATGATTGCAAATACTCTGCACTGATTTGTTTCGACGTCCGTCTCCGAATCGGTCGTATTATAAGTTGGCGTTAAGAGACATTAAGGACAAAGTAACGTGCGCACGTCTTAGTATTAGCAAAGAAAAGGTATGATCATTGAACTCTATCCTAAACTGGAACTGGCCATCATAGACCATTACAACTCTTTCTTTGATATACTGTAGACTTTTTCATTTCCTCGTTAGCTCGTCAGTCTGAATTTTAACTGTTTAATTTGTCTGTAATAACGAAAAAGAGATACGTATAAGTACTTCATTTTCTAATATATTTCTGTGCTCGGTAATTAGTTGCTCTGTTTCAATATTAATGTTGCAGATTTTTTTTTATATGCTCGACATTTTTCTACTCTTGTTATGTATATAATAAGTTTTGTTGATATATAGTGTATGTTTAACAATACGTGCATAATGTTGAACATTATGTTAATGTCTATACGATGTGAAAAACTATTGTCTCGTGTTATTTTAATTCGATCGAAGTTCACCTGACGAGTCTTACTTCATTTTCGCTGTGTACAAAGCGAGAGACATGACTGGCGCACTTTGTGATTGTGATTGTGACCGACACTGGTTTCGATTGAGATAGAGTTCAGTGGATGTAATTGAATAAAAAAGGAGAGAAAGAGGAAAAAAAGAACAAGCACAGGATAGTGCTTGGATCCAGGGTTAAGATTGACATTCAAGCGATCACAGGAGCATTATAAAGCGAGGTCCTGCATTTTCACAAATATTTCGGAGCGATAGAGAGCTTTGTCCCTCGTTATGCGTTGTTATGTTTCTTTGCGACACCTATCAGCTACTCTCTAGCAGCTATTAATATTAAATGGTCCTTACCTACGAGAGTTGAATGGCGCAGCCGCGAGATGCAAAACTGCCCGCGTGAAAGATCACACACGATCGATAAGCATCTCCGATTGAAAAGCACGTTAGTTAGTTAGCGTGTAGACGTATTCGCTGATACACCGAACCGGACGATGAGCAACACGTTGATCCTCTGTCGCGTAAACAAAAGTACAAAAAATTGTACCAAACATGCCTTAACGTAATAATAATAAGTGATGCATACGAAAGTACTTATTATTTTTGACATTAATCAAGCGAATCGTGCAACGCGTATATAGCAAACGAGTATATGAGAGCTCCGAGAAAAAAGCGGGCAAGTGAATTTTTCAATAAAAAGAAAAAAGAAAAAGAGGAGAGGAAGTAAAGGGAGGGGCGGAGAGAAGGAGATAAGAATGCGGGCAACTTTGCATCCGTTTGCGCATTCGCATCTTTTAATAGTCGTTCCAATTGCATTTAATTACTTGTGTAAACTATCGCGCATATCATCGTCTCATTTTAGGTTTTATTTTTTTTTCCTTTCTTTTAATAGATCTGTATTACAGATCGTGTTAAGTATGTATGTATGCATGTTTTTGCTGTAGCGTTTTACGATGTTTTTGAAAATGCTTTGTGATCTCTCTTCGAATGGAAGAAGTAGGCCTAGTAATAAAGTCGCTATTTTACTGCAAAGATTGAAAAAGAAAAAAAGAAAAACCTCGATTCTACGACTTTTCGTGAGAGACGAAGGTTCATCCGGCTTTAACTTTTATAAGAAAGAAACGCGCTTGTCGCTTTTGGGTATCATTCGATGAAAATCTGGTCTCTCAGGAAGCATGTAATACTTTACCGCGCATGATGATAAATTTCAAAGCGAAGGTACGCAAAACAAAAATGGGAATAATGAATTGTAAAAATAATGCCTAGAACTTTACGTATATATTGTACTATAACATCTTTCAGTTTGTTTTGGAACGTTACAATATAAGGAAACATTTTATAACAAAGACACACACTCTTCCTTTCATGTGTCCTTCCTGCTTAGCGGATTAAGAGGATCGCAGAATGATTATCACACACGTTTCAGCCCTCATTTAATGTATTATTAAGTTAAAACTTATGTATTAAGAATATTATTTATACATTTTATATATATATATATATGGCGTTTATATATTATATTGGAAAAATAACATCTTTCGGTTATATAAATTTCTTATAGTCTTTCTGAGATTCTTTGTAGCATACGCGGTTTGTAGGATGTTATTCTGCCACGGATATGTATATACGCAATATCGAGAGTACATAATAATATAACATCCGAGAGAAATAACAACGTCCGATGCTTTTCGTCACGTGCGAAAAGTTGATCGAAAATGCTACCACGTCTCCATGTAAATAGGTATGTTTTGTCATTTTTGCATAAGTTTTCATGTAAAAAGGAACATTCGCGGTATACGAAAAAAGTCATATACATTGTTTACAAAACAGTTAAACACTACAATAAATTAAACGAGCATAAACGCACGTGCACGTGAGAGGGAAAGAAAGAGAGAAAGGAAACGTGATAAAACTTGACGTGGAAAGAGAGAGAGAGAGAGAGAGAGAGAGAGAGAGAAACTTTTGTTAGTAGCGATAGTATTCACATCGCACCGCATGTCGGAGATGACATTTAGATTTTCTCTCTTTCATCCCCTCTCGTCGTAATGGCAGACTTTGCTTTCAGACACCCCACTGGGTATCGCGGTGGTAACAGTCGTCATTCTGTCCTTATAACATGCCTAAAGAAAACGGAGACATCTCAATATTTGTATAACAGTCCCTTCCCCCCTTATGTAAATATGTAATGTAACAGCGGCGGGGAAAAATAGCTTATTGCGTAGACTTTTCCTCCTGCTTCCTCGGATGGAAGCTTATCGAGGCGGAATTGATGCAGAAGCGCTTCCTCGTAGGCTTCGGCCCGTCGTTGAACACGTGTCCTAGGTGTGCGTCGCACTTCGAGCAGGTCACTTCGGTCCGCACCATATCTGGGTTTGCGATCAGCAGTAGTAGATTGCCGCCAACTGTACGCGTCGTTTTTTTGCGACGCGATTTTTGTTCATTGGTGTTTTTTCAGTGGTGAGAGTGAAGTGGTGGTTGGTGGTAGTAGTAGTAGTAGCGGAGTGGCAAAGGAGGGCGGAAGGAAAGAACAATAGAGTGTGATGATTAGACACGCCCTTCTCGTCTTACATATGACTTTTTATCGCTAACAGAAGCCCTCTAAGAGGGCTTCAGTCCAGAGGATCGAACTTAAAACAGCGGAGATCCGATCGTGAGAAATCAAGTAACAGAGAACATGTATCTTTATATCAATACAAGATACCAATACATGAGCAACAACAGGGAGATACGTGTACATATATGAAACTACTTTACTTTCGATAAATATTTCTACGTTTCACACGCGAGCTCGACCGTTGCTAACCGTTATTTTCGACACGTCCAACATTGCTCACGACTAAGCGTACTGTTTTCTTTCATGTACAAAATAACGCATAGGAATAAATCTTTTTCTATATCAATCGTTTACCTTGCAATCTTACTGTGCAGATACATTACGTACGCAGCATCCTTTAATTACGACGCTGTTAGTCTGTACCTTTAGTTGTGAATATCGAAACACACTCGCAAACAACAAAGTATCGTTGTTATCTCAATTATCACTTGCTATAACGATTGTAACAACTAACAAACGTAAAAGCAGAAAAATTTAATTGCCACTGCAGAAAGCAATATCTATGTATTGAGAATTCGTAATCGTGAGAGGACAAAAATGTCATCCGGCGATGCTTGGCCATCTTGTAAGAATTTAAGCTACGTTAGAGCGATTATTGAAAATTTCGCGCTTGCAAACTTAGTGATGAACAACAATCCCGATTCAAATTCTCAGAAGATCGATACTTTTTCTCTGAAATTCGATTTTCTTAACCGATTCTTTCCTGTTCGATTTTTGTATACATATCGATTCTTTCGTTACAGAATCGATTTTCGATTCGTTGTGATACGCTTATTTATCATTATATCAAGCAGCCAGAATTTAACCGGTTGAAATTCTGGTTACTCAGTCTAGGTTTTAATTACACGGTTATTTCTACTCAGACAACAATATATTATAAAGTAAGCTCTCTAAAATATTTCATTTCCGAGCCTGATAATTTAGAGACACTTTCAAAAGATGACATGATAATGTCAGAATGTGATCTAGTGTGCTGTTTTTTTTCTGAGAGCGAAAAGCTGTCACGAAAAATATGTCTAAAAAATTTCTCAAATCGGATATCTTTAAAATATCTAAAGTGTGTCAACATGTAGAGCGTGTTCACGCAGACGCTATTAGCGCTATTTACCGCTATAGACTGTTTGTGGAGCCAGATAATAAAGCTAACAAACGTATGACATAACTGATGGTAGCGTTGTACGCTATAATTACGCGCTATCGACGCTATTTCTTCCAAGGTAGCGTAGCAATTGTATGCTCCGTGAACGGCTACTCCGAAAAACTTTGTGCACATCTGTCACTGTACGTGAAAAACAATATCGGTACATTATTATTTATTATTTTACTATTACTCGCGTACGTAGTGGACAATGGCGTTTAAATAAATCTGTAGGATGTTAAAATTGAAAAGGCCTTTAAACTGCGGAAACGGTGCTGTGATGCCAATGTCACGTTATTGTTGGAGCTCGCTGTCACTATCGCGACATTGGTTTCACGAGCAGCTTTGATGACGTCTGTATTGGTAACGCTAATAACGTCTCCCCGAACGCACCTTAAGCGCGCAGTCACGCATACCGCAGGAAGCCCCGATCATCGAGCGACCGTCATCTTTTATATTTCTTGTTTTGTTGAACGCCTCGGTTACGACGACTTGCTCGCGTGTGAATATGCGAGACTGCGTGGCAATTTGATAGTATTCGGCTGATCTAGCGGTTTTTAACAAGAAAAAAAAAACGTTTACTTTACACTAGCATTGGTAGATACGATTTTATATGTTGGGTCCGTTTTTGGAAAATATCTTTATATTATCTAAAATAATACCATAAAAAGACTACATGTTCAAGAAATCCAAATATTTTCTTTAAACAGCTTCCTTCAATTTTTCATTCTGACATGTGTGCTGTTTCTGAGTATCTTCTTCTAGAATAGAAATGCCTCGTTCTAACTGATATTTGATTTATAGTATGTCATTGGATCTCAGTAAATCCAATAATCCAGCGCGAAAACAAGCATGTCGTCGGCATTAAAAAATAAAAAGAAATGTTTAAATGTGCTCTTATCATGTACGATTTGTTTAGATTGATTTTTAGGAAGTTCGGTTCCTTTGGATCGATTTTTTTTTTTTTTTAGTAAATCCGTCTAGTTATTTCGGTTCCAGATCGGTACGAAAATCGATTTTTTTCTAAAAAATCGCCCATCACTAAGTTGCAAACACAATTGAGTAATATTCTTGCTTATTTGCTCATATTTTCAACAGGTGTTTCATAATGTACAACCAATGCGATATATTAGTTCAATGTATATAAAGTGATAAAAGTCTAACACAATCACACTCTAAGCGAGTACATGCAGGAACTGGGGGAGAATGGGGAGTGTCAATGTTCAATGTATGTACAACATTATACTGTGTACTATGTACATTGTAGAGCTACGTGTAAGCGAGTTTACAAAGAAAATCCTCTTTTTCTTACAAGAATTTTTATAAAAAAATTTAAAATATAATCTCAAATATATATACGGTGTACAATTACATACAAGAAAAAAGAGAAAAGGATTTTTCTACTAATCAACGACCGATATTACAACGAAATAAACAAGTGAAGCATCAAGTAAAAATCATTATGAGACTGAACAAAAAGTCTGGTTCGAGTTTTAAAAACATTAAAGTTAAATTTAACTTTATTGTATTTAATAGCAAATTATTCATCAATCAAGTAGTCGCTCGTGTTATTTATGATTCTTGCGCCAACCGTTCGCTGGCAGCATTTGTCGTAATACAAAGCAGCCGATTTGCGATTAAAGACACAGAATCGAACCGGACTTTTTGACTGACTTTTGATACAATTATGATTTCTCTTTTATGACTTTACTGGGAAATATCGAAAATTGAAGCATTTAGACGGCGATGTTACGACGGGGATGTGTAACGATGCGTCTTGTAAATAGCAAGCAGGTATGTCGGTAGAAAATTGACACCGAACAAACTTCTGCGCTGTGTTGCGCGATTTCTTCAATTCGTATTTCTATGACATACTCGCGTGCTATCAAGGATTAATGCGATATCCGATGTTAAAGTGCGTACTATCGAGGATTGTGCAACGTCTGATAATGTGAAGATGAGAGTGAGATATATATTCATAGCGCCATTCTAAGAACGCGAACGTAATCACAAAAGATATATAATAACTGAGAGCAGAGCTCCAGCTCTTTGCTTACCATGAGAGGTATCTTTGGTAAGTTTAATGCGTCCCTGATCCAACACTTCGTTGAATGCGGGCCAACCGCATCCACTGTCGTACTTCGTGTCCGAGGAGAACAATTCCTGATCGCACACGACGCAGGTGTACATTCCCTTTTCGTAAAACTTATTGTAGCAGCCGGTGAATGGCCTGCATCGAATAAAACGAATTCAAGGCGTTAGCGGGACGCGAAGGAAAGACGGTAAACTCTCAGTGACACACATACGTTTATTTTTAAACCCACTGGCCATGAGACAGCTCAAAGCCAGGTTGCCTCTTACGCTCTTGAAAAAAAGTTATTTCGGTATTCTTCGTCTAAGATTAAACGCGCACGAGCGGTGTCGCGCGGGAGCGGGATTGTACGTGCATTGCAAATAATTTCTAGTTATTAATAATTTCCCATAAAATGTTTAGACATTTGACCGACGTTGCTTCCAAATGTCTCAAGAGGGGTGTTTCCGATGCAGGTTAGGAAACCTGAATCTCGCTCTGCTGGAATCGCCCAGCGCTGGGCGCGGATACACGGGAGACACGAATCTTGTATTCGTGCCGTGGATTGGATAATAAACTATACTCAGAATTGAAAACACTGAGAACTAATTTCTATTATCGATAATTATTTACAATGCACGAACGAATTGAACTCGCAAACGCGAGGAGAAGCGGCGACGACAGCAGCGAGTGCGCTTTGTCGCTGAGAAAAAGAAGCTCCGAGCACGAGCCGCCTAACTGGTCGAGAGACGAACAACCAAACCAACCAACCCTTCTTACAAAACCCAGTGAATATATAATTTTTGAATTCGAGCAAGAGTGGCACGCCCTGATTGGTTGGCAATCAAAACATTCGTCGATTCTCTCGGATTCTCGATTCTTCGACGTGAACCTATTGTTGCCAAAGCTCTTCGGCGGAGCGTGCTCTGAGCTGACCTTTATTTGTGTCGACGACACAATCGCGATTGCTAATTATGTTGCCGATTGTCAACAGGACGATCGACGGCGCGCGCGTATAGCGATAACGGTTAAACGCTGCTCCCGCGGAGCCTCACGATATCACTCGAGACTTCCGGACGATTCCCTTGCCGAATAATCTGGAAGCCTGCTGACAATTTTATTTTTAATTCTGAACAAGGGGTTTGCTAAAAACGCATTTCTCAAATTGGATAATATGCGTCACACGTGTGAAGGAGAGAATTTTTTTTTTTTTTTTTTTTTTTTTTTTTTACGAAATTACGCCAGACTGATGTGAAGATTTCTTCAAGATTTGGACAGCGCATTGCCAGACGTGCGCGATCACGCGGGAGCGAGTCAGATGTAAGGCAAACGAATCTCTCGGATCGGGTAAATATAGAGCGTAACGAACGACGTCCGTTCGTGTCATCGATAAAATTAGAATAATTCGACGTCCTGTGTTATCACAGTTACGCAAGATTACTGCGCTTCGGCCGGCGATTGCAAAATCAGCGGACACCGCAATGGGAACGCTCGGCTTGCCACGACATCCGTCTTGTTTAGCGAGATAAACAAGAACGTCTCTCTTATCGTTAAAGAGCAATTGCTGAGGATCGCTCTTGGAACAATTTGGAGCGTAAAAAATTTCGGACAGATAGACAGAGAGGGAGATATCTCGAAGGGGCATATCGAAATACATCGAAGATCAAGACCGGCTGGAATTCGCTCGGCTGAAAGTTGGCCTCAAAGGACCGAAATCGGTTGCGGAATCTTCGGTTTTCACTATATAAGATTGATAGGTCGTAAAACTAACTTAGAATTACATTCTATAATTGATCAGCTGCTCGCGCGGTTAGTTTCGCCAAACTATTTCTATTAGTACAACGAGCTTGAAGGGACGTGGCTTGAACGTTCACGGCCATTATTTCTGTTTATTTATATTTATATTATTATTTTATATCGTTGGTTTATTATTTGTCTGGTTTTAGCTACTACTTTTGTAACACCAAGCAGTGAAATGGATAGATTTTTTATTACTTATCCCGACTACCGAGTCCCTCGATCGTAAAGTCGATCTGAATCAGCTGATCAATTACGGAACATATTTACGTTAGTCCAAGGCCTGCCAACCTTACGAGCAAAACCAAAGTTTCCGAAACCGACTTCGGAGCGGCGGGCCTCGCGGGACACGCGGAAGAGTCTCGTTTCGGAAGAGTCTCGATTCCTATCTCGCGACCGACCGTCGCGAGATAGGAATCGTTTTCGCGGGAGAGCAAAACTGTGAGAACTGAGCCGAAACTCGACGTCGCTCTCGATCAGCGCGAGAGTTGGCCAATTCGAGTTGGCGCGTCGTACCGCCTCACCTCTCCGTGCCCTTTTCCTGCGTCACATGCCACTGGATCGGCGTCAGCCGCTTCCTCGCTTCCTCCTTGTCGACCGCCGTCGTCATCCTCCTGATCGCGGCGAGCGTGAGTCGCAGAATCTTGACGCTCTCGTCGGGGACGAACGGTGAGACAAACGAACGTCAACGGTCGAACTCGCGCGGCCGGGCCGCTGATGGGACACTGCGAGTAGCGCACCGAGACAGCAGCCTTGGCACCTTTTCGTCGATCGCCACCTCCTCGTCGTCGTCGTCGTCGTCGCCGTCGCCGTCGCCGTCGCCGCTGTGCTCGACCCCGCGCAGTCTCGCGCTGAATCGAAACCGACTGAATCGCGCTCCGGACACGCGATGCACTGCGTGTCTCACGCTGGCGGTCGCTCGCTGGCGCTCCAGTCACGTTCCAGCGCCGGCGCGACTCCTGGAGTCGCGTCGGTAACCGCGCGAGTGCCGAGTTACCACCGCGCCGTGCTCGATCGACTCGTTAGCCTCCGCACTCCGTAGCGACGACATCCCACGTGCCATTGGGTGCGTTCACGACACTCAACGGTTGTGCAACAGTTGAGTGATTTCGTTCTGAATGCTACTGAGCGATGCACTCAGTCGCAACACGTTGAGTGAACGGTCGCCATTTTTCTCATCATAAATGGTTGCGTTCAGAAAACAAAGCGCTCACTGAGCGCTTAGTAATTATTGGTCCTTACTGTTAGATCCTTACATTCAGACCAATAACGTTGACGAATTACTCAACCGTTGTGTAACCGTTGTGTTTTCTGAACGCAGCCAAAGGCTGCATTCAGCAGACTCAACAGTTGGACAACATTACTAGATTTTCCATTGAATCTCGCTCCTGATTGGTAAATACTTCTGGGTTTATGAAGAATCTAAAAGAATGCTCCAATCACAGGCAACAATCACTAAGCGCTCTCTGATCACTTCGTTCTACTGAACGCGGCCAATGGCTGCGTTCAGAAAACACAACGGTTACACAACGGTTGAGTAATTCGTCAACGTTATTGGTCTGAATGTAAGGATCTAACAGTAAGGACCGATAGTTACTGAGCGCTCAGTGAGCGTTTTGTTTTCTGAACGCAACTCCGATATTCGTCGCTACCTTCACTGAGGTGTTTCCGATCCAACATGGCGCAGGCCATGAATAAAGAAAATAACAAAGAAAATAGTCATATAAATCCAAATATATATATATGTCGGGGAATGTCAAGGATGGCGTAGAATTACATTGTAACAGACACATATGAATTATATTTATAAAAATACTTAACAATTACAAGACACATGAGCGTGTAGACGGGCCGTAATATTTAGTACGTTTATCTGACATTTTTCCCGCGCAACCGAATCGCGCAGAACTCTGATCAGTTGCGTTCAGTGTACATTTCTACTGCTCACTCATCGGATGCTCAACTGTTGAGCTTTGTGAACGCACCCATTGGCTGCGTTCAGCAGAACAAAGTGATCAGTGAGCGCTTAGCGATTCTCGCTCCTGATTGGTAAATACTTCTGGGTCTATGAAGAATCTAAAAGAATGCTCCAATCACAGACAATAATCACTAAGCGCTCACTGATCATTTTGTTCTACTGAACGCAGCCAATTGACGCTCGGCGGTGAAGATCCATCCGGATAGATTTGCATAGCGTGATGCGTAACGCGCAGGAGAACCGACCAATCGCGCGGCTGATTTCAAATATACCGAGTCGTTGCGCCGCTCAAGCCGGACGCGCGATTGGTCGATTCTCCGCGCAAATGTGGTGCGTGCTCGTGCGAATTGTTCCGGGAGGATTCGTCCAAACGGATTCGCACACTCGCGCGGTTCTTAGCCGAAAATGGGAGACTTGGCAATACGTGCCGCAAGATGCTCGTCGTCGGCAGCGTGTCGAGCACAGCTTGCCGTAAGTAGTCATCGACGAGATCGGTCACCGGTCGATATTCTTTTTAATTACCTTCTATGGCTTCGATGAGCACCGACATGAATTCACCATCGTCGACTTCCTACTTCTCACGGTATCTTATAAAGTCGCTGATGAAGCTCGCGACGCACGTTCGTGTGCACGCTTCGTTAGTAGGGTCTTCAGCGATTTTCAACTGTGCCGGCCAATTGTTCTGCAACTTTTTGGTAAATTAACTGATAGTTAAATCGTACGTTTGCCTTTCTTTTCTTCTTCAACTCAGACAAAGACAGACATATGATTTAACTATCAGTTAGCTTAGGCTGATTGTTCCAACCTCCTTGGTAAGTTAACTGACAGTTAAATCGTGTATGTCTGTCTTCTTTTAAATTGAAGGGAAAACAAAGATAAAAATATGATTCAACTATCAATTAACTTACCAAGAAGTCGGGACAACCGGAAGCCCTTGGGTAAGTCGACTGATAGTTAAATCATATGCTTATCTCTGCTTTCTCTTCGACTTAGACAAAGACAGACATATGACTTAACTATCAGTTAACTTATCAAGGAATTGGAACCACCTGTCCTACATGCGTATATGCGCAAGGTTAGGGGTCCGATTTTCAATCGGTAAGCTCGATCTTGAATGCAGCTTTGCGTCAGCAATGGCAGATGGCACATTTCGGCGAAAGCCGCTGAAGACCGCGAAGCGACGCGGGGAGAAAGTTACGAAATGCGCGAACACGTTCCTCTCGATCTCCACCGTGCCGTGCGAAATCGAAAACTCGTATCTCGGCGCAGGTGCGGAAGCAATCGCCGTGCGAAAGCAGTTCGCGGCGAATCTCCGCGTTCTCCGGATGGACATCGCGAATGTTCCTGAGGAAGGGCGCCTCATGTTGGCAACTGCCGAGGAACGTCAAAACTTGCCGACTTGCGATCAATGATCGCGAGGAGCCGAGGCGAAGCGAGCAGCGCCAGCGACGTCTCGCTCGCAGCGGAGGCGAAAAGAAGCGATCGATAAGCCAAGTGTGTGACTCGCTTTGTGCGAATTCAGTCGAAGGTACAAGGGAGCCGCTATCACAGGCCGAGGGGAAAGAGCGAAAACCGCGCGTCATTCGCGCTTCATGCGCGCGGCTCCGCTCTCGTCCCTCTCGCAACCTCCTCGCGCAACGACTGGTCGTTGCGTGACGTCACAGCGGGTGCCGAGTATCCGCGGCGGCGGGTACCGGCGATTGGTCGTCGTCCGGCCGGCTCGTCGGCGCGGCGCGCAGAGCTGGCAGTCACGGAAGGGGAAGCGCCGTCGGCACCGAGAGCGCCGCCATCTTGACAGACAGAAGGAGCCTGCTGTCCGCCGCTATCCGCTGACCGTCTCGTCGTGCCGTGTTCCAGCTGAGCCGTTACCGCTCTGTTAGTGCGAGCGCGAGCGCGAGCCTCAGCTCCGCTCCGTTGGTTATCGCGTGTAGGATCCGCGGCATCGCTCGCGAGACGCGAACTCTCGCCAGCTGAACCGGCCGAGGCCGAGGCGGAGGCGCGAAGGCGGAGGACGACGGGAAGGAGGAGGAGGAGGAGGAGGAGAGGAGAGGGGAGGAGGAGGAGGAGAGGTACCGGAGGGCCGGAAAAGCACACAGCGGTGGTGTCGGAGCGAGCTCGGGGAGAGAACGGTACGTCGTCTCGCGGGCGCCTCGCGCGGTGCGCCTCGTGTCGTGCTCGTCGTGGTGCTAGCGTGTCACCGTCGCCGTCGCCGTCGCCTCGTACACGCTGAGAAGTTGCACCAGTGGCACCTCGCGTAACCCCGCGGACCACGGGCCGCCTTGTCTCTCTCGCTCTCTGGTCAGCCGCTCTGCCGGGAGCCGCGCGCGCGCGCGCGCGCGCGATCGTCCGCTCTCTCGTCGCGTCACGTTCGTCGTGCTCGCGTCTCGCCGAGAGCGCGGTGCCAACGGAGAGCTAACACCAAGAGCGAGGCTCCTCCGGACTTTCTCTGTCGCTCTTCGCTGCTCGTCACTCGTGGGAGAATCCGCGACGTTGCGGACGTAACTGCTGTTGCCTGCTACTACTGACAGCGCGACAGTATGGCGGGACAGACGATCAACGACAGGCTGTTGGCCGCGAGACACAGCATCGCCGGTCAGGGTCTCGCTAAATCCGTCTGTAAGGCCACCACGGAGGAGATGATCGGGCCCAAGAAGAAGCATCTCGACTGTAAGTAAGAAAGAGAGAGAGAGAGAGAGTATCCCGGTGCGCGCATGGGGAGCGTCGTCGCCGTCGCGTTTCCCTCTTAATGGCAGGGCGCTCGGCTCCGCGGAGATCGGCTTCGCGCTACTTTTCCGACTTTCCAGCTCGAGTCCTGCGAGCGGAACGATTTTCGACGTTCTCAACGTGACCGTGACGTTATTTCCTGGACGGGTCTCTTTGCGGCGGGAACGGGGAGGGGGGGGGGCTAAGCGCGTCCAGACGCGAGATTATCGATGGGTGGAACGGACACGGACGTTTCGATCTGGTTGGCGACTCTGGTCGGGGGTCGCCCTTACTTTCCGATGCACTTCGCTCGCAGATCGGCGTGACCGAGCTCGACTGTTCGGCGGAGCGAGTGACAGTGCGAAGAAAGCAGCGAGGAGATCGCGAGTTAACGAACGCGAACGGCGAACGAGAGTCAGCTCACCTCTTCCGTCCGCTCCCGTCGAGAAAGGCGAACGAGAGCCGCTCGCCACTGTTGGTTTCGCTTCACCCGGTGCAAGCTGTTCCCCTCGCTCGCGAGTCAGCTCTTTCGATCGTTACAAAATTCTTCTCTCTCGTGTGCGGCTCTCCGAGAGGTGGAATGTCCTCTCGGCAGACGATGCGCGTTGTAATATTTTCCCCTTGACTCGCTGGTCGTTCCGATTCCCTCTCGTTACGTTTCAACGTATTACGAAATATATTCATGCAAATCTCCAACGGCCGATCGATGTGCGAGAGTCGTTCGGCGAAGGTGGAGTTTCGAAAAATTGCATGATGTAACAACTACACAATAACAATAATAATAATTATGCGCGGCCGCTCAAGGAAACGGCCGGAGGTCTGTCTTTCGTAGTTTTTTACTTTGAGGGATTGTCGAGAGAGAGAGAGAGAGAGAGAGAGAGAGAGAGAGAGAGAGAGAGAGAGAGAGAGAGAGGGAGGGAGAGAGGGAGAGAAAGAGAGAGAGAGAGAGAGAGAGAAAGAGAGAGAGAGAGAGAGATTGGATAGGAGAACGTGTATCGAAATGTCAGGTCTGCCGTCTTCTCTCCTAGTTGCGTTTACATCTGCTTTTCTTCTATCAACTCTCAAATGTGTACTTAGCAGTTGGAAGAAGGAAGGTGGAAGAAAGGAACCGTCGAGAGCGCGCAGTGGAGGAGGGAGGACAGGTCTCGCGCTTCACGCATATTCGATTTCCGGAGAAGAAGGCTCTCCTTCGATTCGCACGATCGTTAACAGGTCCTTTCCAGTCCGAGGAGAGAATTCGGGACGTACGCTCCGTCAGTCGATTGTGGAGAAGCAGAAGCAGGAAGGGAGAATTAGAGGAACGGGAGGAAGGAAAGAGGGAGGATGAGTGATAAAAGACATCCCGCAAGGGACGGAAATTTACGAAGGAAACCAAGTATCTTTCGAGATGTAATCTCGGTGTTTATCTTAACAATGACAACACTTGTAGATTACCTTGTACCTACATGAGACAATATATACAACATACAAAATGCATAGGGGAAAAAGGAGCCATTGCAATCGCGTGTTGCTGATGCTGCTTTTATACAATCGTCGAAAATGCCATTGTTCTAAAGCTTCTCGCCGATCAGACAGGAGAAACAATTGTATCGGTAGAAATCGAAACTCGTCGGGTCGAGGTTCACACAGTCTGTACAAATTTTCCGGATATATTTCTTCACTTCTCATTTACTCGATTCGACTCTGCTTTTCAATTATTTCAACCAGTATATACTCCGGGCGTGTATTGTATTTCGTGTCACTATAATACAATTACACTCGAGAGCTCGCAGGATAGTCGTACATTGCAAAGATTCATCGAATTTGTGTAACGTGTACACCTATAGATTGCGACAACACACTTTAACTGTGGTGTAATCATACGTGTCTCGTAGTGTACATTGTCGTGTTTAGGATGAATGGCGAGGATCTTGAGTGCGAAGAATTCCCAACGAACCTTTCGCGACAGCGGTCGTTAATCATGTGACCATTTCGTGATTACATATCGCTGGTGATTTCCTTCCGTTGTCGTACCGCGAGCAAACCACGTCGGGACGAGTGACAATGGACTTGATAATTGATAGCGCTCTCTCTCTCTCTCTCTCTCTCTCTCTCTCTCTCTCTCTCTCTCTCTCTCTCTCTCTCTCTCTCGTTCTCGATAAAACAGATTTTTCAAACTTTAAATTATATACAAGGCACTGCGCGCACACCGATGTCGTGGTTGAAGCTCGTTCGAATTTACGAGTTTGCCCCAATTTGGACAAACATGTCCCGATACCTCACGCCAAGCGCGATTATGGGTTGAATTTTCCGGCTGCTTATCACTACCGCGTCTTCTTGCGATACAGAGGCTCTTCAGAGCACTCTTCGGAGACATGCGTCTGTATTCGCGACGGAATAATATTTATTATCACGTCTTTGAGACTTATCGGTCACTGTTGATTGTCAGCTCGCGGATCTTCGCCGGGTCGAGTCGAGTCGGCTGTTAAGAGACGCGATACGAAAGGTGCGCACGCGGGATATCGCGTCTCTCACCTTCGCTTTCAGCAACCACCGCGGTCTCAGCTGATACTTTCGTGTGACTCCTCGTGTGACTCGCGTTTATTAATTACACGCGCGAGCGTCGACCGGAATCACACGTACTGTGTCGTTTTACCATCTCTCGTTAGGTTACCCTTTATTTGCCGACTACTTCGTCACGACACCCGGCAGCAGCGCGGTCGTGCCTACCGAAGGACGAGCCTCGGAAATTCCCTCTCTCGCGTGTTTTCTCCTCGCAACGTCGGTCCCGGCTCTCCCGATTAATTTCTCCCCGCACGAACCAGTTCGATGTAAATCAAATTGTGAGATGTTCGACAATCGCGCGGCGCGGGCACGTGCGTGAATCCACGGCGTGAATCCGAGGGATTAATGATCCGAGAGAGATGCGCTCCTCGAAAACCGGCAGCCACTCGATCCTCGTCCTCGTCCTCGTCCTCGTCTGGCCGAATCGCGAAGCCAGCACTCGCGAAAGCTCACTACCCGCGGCCGATCAATAATTTCGACGGAGCGACGAACGCGTTACGTGTCGCGTTCCGTGCGCGGCGGTTACGAGAAAATCCTCGTAATGTCGCCGCGTTATTTTTACGTCTTGCGACACCTTCGATCGGGGGACGAAAAACGCGAATCGCTGGTAAAAGACGTTGCTCGGACTCGCTGCGCGCGAACCGTCTCACGCTGCAAGGATCATCGTGCTCCTGTCTACCAGTAAAACGGGAAATTGGATTCTCGCCGAAGTTGCTGTCTCGACCTCCAGCCGGAATTTTCCTCGCGGCTCGTCGGCGACGCGATAGCGGAAACGTGACTGAACGTGATGAGCCCCGGTTTACGTTAGATGCGGGATCAATGTTCTTTGTCGAAGCCCTTTTTGTACAATCGCGTGCTCTTTTGTAGCACATCTATCTGCACATGTATCTGTAACACATTTTCTTTTTTTTTTTTTTTTAGCGATATCAAAGGACTCATTTATCTATTGAACTTATGTGAGACAAGGTCGAAATTGTACTCCACTGTCTCGATTCCAGTCCGAATCCTGCTGCAGGATACCGCTCGTCCCTCCCCTCGTTTATCCCGAAGGTGTACGCGTGCATCGTGACACGACGAGTGCGCCGAAACTTTCTCGACGCGAATCAATTCTCTTATTAATTCTCCTTTGTTGCACGTTTTTTTCTAATAAGTATAATTTTGTGAAATTTGTTACTTGTTACTTGTTGAAACTTGTTATTTGGAGGTTTTTAGGATCGCTGAATACAAATCCGGTGTGAAAAATATGAAATTCAAAATGGCGAACCCAATATGGCGGGTGAAATTTTCAGAATCAGCCGAATTCGCTTGAAATTTGTTATTTAAGGTTATTTTCGAGGTAGCTAATTGCAAATTCGTTATCGAAAATTCGAAATACCAGAGCTATGACGGATATATACGGCAAGGTTCGCCGGCAAGGTTGACACCGGTCCAAGTTGCCCGGTTCTCAAGCGCAGAGTCAGCTTGTTTGATTTCTATAATTATGTTCACCATATGAGGCCCGTCGTTTTGAAATTTGTATTTTTCACACCGGATTCGTATTTAGCGACTCCAAAAACCCCCGAGTAACAAGTTTCAAGCGAATCCGACTGATTTTGAAAATTATCTCCACCATATGGGGTCTGCCGTTTTCATTTTTGCACTTTTCACACCTGTGGATTTGTATTCAGCGATCCCAAAAACCTGTGGATAATGATTTTGAAGTGTACGTTATTACTTAAAATTTCATGTGAACGAATTTATTCTCTAAAAACGATGGTCTTGTGTGTATTTGACAGTATATGCTTATTGATAACAAATTACTTATTTGAAATGATGACTCTAAAAGTTGATGTATTAACTAGTGGAACATTTTAGTAGTCCAGCAATGCTAAAGCAAATATGCTAAAGAAAATGTGAAAAATTTTAATTATTGGAAAAATAATTCAATAAATTCAAAATGGCGAATCTAATATGGCTGACGTCATTGTGGAAGAAGTGTTCAGTTTTACGCTACATTCGACGTTGGGTAACGACAGTTTACTCTTCTGCAAAATTCTTTTTTCTTCTTTTCTTGTTCATTTCTTGTTCATTTTTTACCAGATTTTGACGTTAAAATGAGTTTGTTTGCTGGATAGTGAGCCGAAAGATTATCCAACGTCGAATGTAGTATAAAACTCAACACTTTTTCAACAATGACGTCAGCCATATTAGATCCGCCATTTTGAATTTTACAAAATGGTTCTGATTCACAATCGGCGACAAGTTTCAACAAATCAGATAGATATATATATATATATATATATACATTTTTAAGAAATATTGTTTTAAATATGTACAAAATAGTGTACTAGTGCCAAACTTCAAAACTTTCGAAAAGATTAATTTAAGCTAAAAATGATAACAGATTTCTTCATATTTTGACATGAAAAATACCTATAAAA